CATGGTATTTTTGTGTATTAAATTCAGAGTATAGTATAATACATCATTTAAAAACAAGCATCACTGAAGTCACTGAAGCTCAGTGAAGTAGTGTGACTTCCTCTATTTATTAACATAACTGTCATCTTTGGCATGGATTATGGGAGTGGGATACGTTTGTTTACGCATGCATGTGATGGTACATTAGAGGAAATAATGTGCGTTGGCATTAGAATCTCTACATTGACGTTTATAGCATCGTAAAACTGCATGGCCACGTATACCACGTATTAACACCAGTTAGACTATGTGTAAAACAGCAATAACTATTCAAAGTTTATTAAGCCTTTTGAACGCCAAAACTTGTGAACATATTTCGATATATGCTTAGTGTATATATTATGATCGTGAAGCTGTTTGCCGTTTGTTCAACGGGCTCATTACTATAATAGAAGCGGTATATACTCTCCACACGAAGTAACTTCCTATAAGGTAACGTCACAATTACTATAGTTTGTAACTCGCGCTGGCCAAATATATTTGTTGGCATACAACAAAATCAAGGTTTATTTACAGTGAATCTGGTCTATTGGCGAGATTGTTCGCCAAAACCTGAAGGTATGCTGTACAACTACGGTAGTTCATGACTAAAACTCCTTTTTCGGGTGATTATAATTAGTGTTTGTCACTGATCTGGTGTTGGTAGCTAAATATAATTATCCACGTACAATAAATCATCATGCATGACATATTTAATACTACTTGCGGTCTATTAGCGCGAAATATTATTTTAGCACTCGGTGCAATCTAAAGGCGATTTTCCACTTACAGCGAAATCGTTCGCTAGCGAAATATTTGCATATTTTCTTTTGAATTGAAAACAGTCAAGTCGCACTAATTTATTTATGCTGTTAAAATTCAAAAGAAATATGCAAATATTTCGCTAGCGAACGATTTCGCTGTAAGTGGAAATCCGCCTTAAGCCTGGGCGGACATTTCGACTCCGCAGAGGCTGTTGGTGTATGAAAACTAAGAACGTAATATAAATGAAAAACAGCATTTTTGAATCAATATTTCTCATTTCCATACATCAACAGCTACTTCTGTAATTGCACCATGTAATCGAACCCTTAGTACAATCTAATTGTGGTGCTATCGTAGCTATATTGTTCGTAACTACAGCCTAGAATTCGCATCGCAAGCTAACGCCAGAGTGGGCGTCTTGTTATTATTGATTATATGCAAAAGGGGCTTACCACTTACCAGCTTCTCCCAGATTAGCCTGCAATGACTGGAAAGGTTCTTTGGAAATGAAATAAACAAAGCCTTACCAATTGTAAAATTTATTTTCTTTTAATAAAACATTGTAATTTGTAAAAATAATAAAACAGTTTCTGTATTTAAGAATGTGTGTAGTTCCTGGGTATAATAGTATGGTTGTCTCAATTTAATTCTCCAGAATTTTGCATAACATGCCTCCACTTGATCTACCAAACCCTATGTTATCCCTGCAAAAAGAAAGATATGTCAGAGATTAACTGCATGTATAATACACCCTGTAAGTGTTGACAAAATTAGTACAGATAATTTAGTGTCAGCTACTGAGGCCATGATGATGCCTCAGTTGGAGGTGTGAGTGAATTTAGGCAAGTTATTCTCAGACCTTGCTCCTTCAGATTATATTTTTGTTCCTATTGCATCCTTTATATACTTTGATCTAATATATCTTGTATGATTTTTCATGAAAAGATGGGCTATAGACACATTGATGATTGATCTGGTTAGACCTGAGTTTTGGCTCAACTACATGGATTTAAATCAGTGTAAAATATAATGGATAAACAAATATTAATAGAAATATGTTGTAGGTAAACAAATTAAATGTTAGTAAATATATCATTTCTGTTTTCAGATCTTTCATAGCCGTCGAACTACGAAGCTAAATTTTTTACTTGACGTTCAGAGTTCAAACATCAAAATTGCGAAAAACTCTTACCTGAGTGCAAATCGCCAAAAATTTCCTCTTTAATGAGTAAATTGCGGTAGGAACAAGCAGAGCAAATAGCTGCTTCTTTGTTGAAGTTGAAAAGAACCAGCAAAAAAGGAAAAAAATCCATGTTTTTGTTCAAAAACAAAAAATTTCGTAAAAACCAAATCCTGTTTTTATCGAAAACCAGGAGGGTGCTCGCATTTTTTCATGCTTAGGATCGCGGTTGGTCAGTGGTAACTACCATTGCAAATAAGAACCAGTGGCGTCAATCTGGCGTCAGCAAAGGCCAAAATCCGCCATGTTTTTTGCTTCACTTTTTGTATTTCAAAACATTAGGAGCCGGTCCTCCAGGAATTATATTATAGCTCAGTGTATTGATTGCTTCGATTGCACACCACTGATCTATATAATAATATATAGCTCAGTGTTGCACACATGCACGTGCATCTGGAATTTTGAAAACGACAATAAACGTCATGATATGGAACGACCGCTCTCAGTGAACCTTTTGCAAGCAAGATGAAGCTTTTCTTTTCATAAAAAAATACTATTGTAAATACCAGCGTAATCTGACTACATGCATTCACTGTTGGATATATATTATCATAAACCCTAAGGCAGGAAGCCAGTAAAGTACTAACGTTCAACAGATACGACCAAAAAAATGGTTGTCGCCATTAAAACAGAACAAATACGCCATAGTCTCAATCGTTTTTACCATATTGCCAATGAGTCTCGATAACATAAAAACTGTTCTCCGCCGCTCCCTTTCTCGCCCCAAAGCAAACAAGAAACACACACAAGTTCAGAAAACATTTATTTCTTTAAAAAGTTCCAAGGGCATCACGCTGTCCAGCTTCTGCTTTCCAAAAAAACCAAACTTCGGTGAATTCGCGCGACAAGTTACAAAAACTTCACCTACCTTGCGAAATTTCACCATTACGAACATAGAAGTATTGTATATTTGTTCTATGGTAATTTGATTGGCTAATTTACTTTATTCCATGCAATTCGACTTATCCTATTGGCTGGCATATTTCGTTCCATGCAATCTGATTGGCTAAATCAAACTTAGCTTTGGGTGCGTCAGCGTCAGTTACAAGTGACGTAACAAACAAACACATTGCGACATTCTAGTTTTGTTTGGTGAAATGTGATTGGTTGGTTGTTTAAGGTTCCATGCAATATGATTGGCTATTAGCTTTGTAACACGTCACCATGCGCTGTGATTGGTTCTCTAAATTGTTCCGAGCATTTGATTGGCCCATCATTTTGTTCTTTATATTTAATTGCTTGATCAACTTTATTCTAATTAATTTGATTGGCTAATGCAGTAACTAAGCAACGCGAATGTTTCTATTTAATTACTGTCGTTATAAACAGTCCAAAAGACAATCCAATGTCTTTTGGATTGTCTAACCCAAAATTAAAATACAGACAACGCGAAAAACCCTGCATATTTAATCATTAAAATTTTAAAATGAAGCTCTATGTTGCCGAATACTGAAATAGATTTCACAATTATATACCCTTTGACTGTTTCCGAAAGGGACCGGGTGATTTCATAACCATATGAAAATTATTTGGTTAAATGGCTCCGCTGTTTTTGTTTTTGTTTTTGTTTTATTTGAAAGATTTTCGCGATCGTTATCGTTTGGTTTTATATCCAAGTCGCGCTTTACCGCCGGCGAAATCGCGCTGATTCAAGAATGTGGTTTCGATGTCACCCTGTCCCATGAACCCAAGACTTTATGATATTAAACTCATTAATAAACTCACCAGTGACGAGCGTCCATATGTTGGAGGCGAAGGAAGCCAAGTGGTTCATTATATATTTAAAACCGAATATCTTGATATTCGGAAAAATTCATTTTTCTCACTAAAATTCGCGGTAAGAAAAATAAGCGTCTGATACTAATTAAAGCTTTGACATAATGAGATTGTTACGTAACGTAATTGCTTTAATCAATTGGCCACTTAAGGCAGAACGGTGATGTTTTATTAGGTTCTATTTCCGGGGGTTTGAAGTTGGTAGCATTAAACGAAAAACAACATGGAAAGTAGCCGCAATGATAGGGAAGGTGAGGGTAGACGTTTCCGTATATATTTTCGGTATTTGCAGTTCTATTTTTCCACGAAGCTCTATTTTTATGATATATGTTTCCGTGAGAAATACGAGGAGATATAGATAACACTTTTTACCAGTAAGATAATTCAAAGAAAGAGTTCTTCTTGCAAAACAACAAAATAGAGGTGAGGCTGATGGAAATTAACGTGATTGCTTTAATGTCATATTAGATGGGGGCAGAGGAATTTTAGTCACAACACGATAATACACTGCACAATTGTGGAAAACCAAGGAACCAACTTAGACAAAGACAATAATGATTATCGCGGGAACAGGTATAAAAATTGCTGGAGAGAGATTACACACCAACACAACTTTCAGCTTACCATTATGTAATTGCAACTACTTAGTAAACCTCCTGTGGCAATAATACTTTGTGTTTCTACTTGTGATTTTGTCCTACTGCGATTATTTTTACTTTAGTGAACATGAATATACAAATACCATCCCCTAATTCTGCTTGAAATCCCGTTGATTGTTTTTGCAGCTTCTCGGCCATTTTCTTTGTTCTTTTTATTTCAATCTTCTTTTTTTAACTTGGCAACTATGACGTGCGTTGCTACCTTTTCCTTTCCTACATTTTCCCCTGGCAAATTTGAATCATCAATCATGCATTCCCAGAGCGCATGTCAGTAGCTACTACTATGTACAATTCATTATAACAGTATTATTTTCCAATATCACATTTTGTGAGTTTTTTTTGTAATCGGACCTCAAGGAATATCAAATCAGGTTCACAGTTTGCATTTGTTCTAAAACTATCTAATTCTGGGTGTATTAGGCATTACATCAACATTTAAAAACAATAGCAAACATGCTCGTAACGTAGACCTTTTACGTCACAACAACATAGAAATGAGGCTAAGACGATAATGATTATCACGCAAACATGTGTAAAAATTGACGAAGAGAGATTACACACCAACATAACTTTCAGCTTACCATTGTATTTAGTAATTCTCCTTTGGAAATAATACGTTCTATTTTCAATATATAGTCCTACGTATTATCTACTTTATGCCAGAATTTTTCATTGTTTGTGATTTGAAATATCCTTCCTTTCCAACGACAACAAAAGGCGAACCTTTGTATTTCGCAACACCATCTCCATCTGTATGGAGGTCAGGTTGAATTTTCTCAAAAATCTGAAATGAAACAGAGAAAAATATTACAATCGCGACAATAAACAAATTATCCTCACGGTCAGTGATGTATTGTACTCTAACAGCAAACCTATGACCTATGGTTTTAGTATATCAGTTGACCCTTTCGATAATTACGTCACAACATTACCGTTTTAAATTTGTAACCACCTTAACTGAGATGGATTTTAAGTTTTACTCTCACAAGCTATGTGGAAAGATGCAAAACATCCTTCTTCAACACATGCATGAAAAAGAATTTTTCATTTTGATCAATAAATGTGGAAATAAGTCGTATCACTAAGACGAGGCTACCAGGCAACAACCGGCAGCCTCGTTCTTGTGTTATAGCTTATTTTCACACTTGTTTGTCAAAATGAAAAATTCTTTTTCATGCATGCGTTGAATAAGGATGTTTTGTATCTTTCCACGTAGCTTGTGAGAGTAAAACTTGAAATCCATCTCAGTTGAGGTGGTTACAAATTAAAACGGTAATGTTGTAACGTGATTATCAAAAGGGTCTATTCGTTTGTCCCATTGGCGGCGCACGGACGCTGCGAGTGGTAGCGCCAAAACGAGTTGGTTTGAAAGAAAGACAAGGAACGGCGTTTTAACGACGTACTACAAGTTCATTTTAATGTTGATTCTCAAGTATAATAGGGGATGTACATACAGTTATAATATTGTATTTGTGAAGGGTTCTGGTTGTATAACTTGTATGTTGTATCAGTTGCACTGATTTCGACATAATGGTAACATGTAACAGAACGCCCAAGTGGGTGAAGCGGACAGTAATGGAGAATCGCCTTTTGCTTTAACAGCATATAGCAATATTGTTCACAGTTCCCAACAACACTGGACAATATTGTTGAAAATGAATCAGATGTAACAATATGGTTTAATGTTGATGACCACTACAGTATGTGAACAATATACAGAGTGTATAAAAAAAAACAGCGACGTTAATAATTCCCAGGGACCTATGATCTTTTGTTATTAAAAGAAAGCGAACATATATGAATATTTGTTCACAGGAGTTTTTTTATGGCCTGTAGTTCATATCAATATTCTGAGAGTGAACTTACTCACCTTTTTCTTTGGATTCAGCTGTTCATCTGGTGTTCCAGGGTATCCCTCACAGACAACTTTATCTCCAGGTACAGATCCGGAAGGTGGATCAAGGATTTCCACAAGTTCAGGCGAGCTGGCACACATGACCATCGCTTGAGAAAAGACTCCTCGCATTCTACAAAAAGGAAAATGAGGTACTGTTTATAGGACTAGCTGTTGCCTGCTTCTGCTATGCTGTTGTTCTTGCCTCATGTTATTGTTGTTAAGTGTTTTAAAGTGTGTGTTAAAAAGTATTTTTGTAATTCTTTTTGTCTACTGTATTGTTGCAATTTGTTTGTTTTTGTTTAAAAGTTAAAACTTACTTTGCTGGTTTCAAGTTACATAAAGTCATCACGAAACGATCCTGGAAAAGGTAAAACAATAGTTTCTTTAATTAATATTTTAAATTACGCTTTGCATCATTTGCTAAAAATGCAAAAAATGCTTATACAAATCATAGGAATCCAAAAAAATATTTTTGAAATATAAAAGTTATCAGTTGCGTTGTGAGTTCAGTGACATCGGTGATTGCAAAGCATAAGATATAGTTGTCGAGAATCAGATAGTTATCTCAATAACTATATCTTATGCTTTGCGATCACTGATGCCACTGAACTCACGATGAAACTGAACTAACTTTTATTATTTCAAAAATATTTATTGGGATTCTTGATACAAATTAGGAAAATAACCTGCATCTTTTCAATTGGAATGTGTTTAACAAGGCCACTGACAACAGTGCGAGGTTTTTCTTCACCAACATCAACTAAAAATGTATTGGGTTTGATTAAATTGAGACTGATACAGTATCAATATTATTGGAACAATAAAGATCACTTTTTCTACCTATTGCCATGTAATTTATCAATAAAGCTTACTTACTTTCCTCCAAGTAAAGTGTATCAGCATCAGGATGTTTTTGCACTTTGATGATCTTACCAACTCTCAAGTCTAGCCGTGATACATCCACTTTCTCTCCAACACTCTCTAATTGACAAATTTATACAAATTGTTTGTTCAATTATATCCTAATAAAAAACATCATATCAGCTATTATCAAACTCACATGAAACTAAATGACTATAATCTTATTTATAAAATTATATAGTAGCTACAGTATTCTTGCAAAACCTGTGCAATTGTACCTCCAGCAGTAACATTAGAATTTGCACCAGTCTTTCCTTTCTTTCCTGCTTTCTTCTTTGGGGCTGCTGGTTTTTCATCTTTAATTGTTGCAGGTTTCTCACTCACTTGAACTGCGGCAGGAACTTGGTTAGGCTTAACAGGAACTATTTCTTCTTTAACACAAGGCAAAGGAACAATTTTCACTATAAAAAAATACACAATATTCCTCAAAATGATCATTCTCAGAAACCATTTATCGGAGTGTAATTATACAATTCAATTAGTTTATTGGTCTCAGCTAAACTCATTCTGAGATGGATTATAATGTAAAGCATTTGTTAGCAAGAATTTGGAAAATTGTTCCTTGGAAAAGTTCTATAAATATTGAAATTCTGAGATTTCTCAGAGCCTGAGAGAGAGTAAGATATCTTCTAAGAAATATTTTCCAGTTTTAGCAATAAACATGGACAAAACTTACATCCATTTCGCATTTCAGCTTTCTCTAATTGTTTTTTTAGGCATTCAACTTTTTGTCTCAACACTTCATTTTCCTTCCGTAATTCCTTTTTTTGTGTCTATCAATAAATAATAGAAACCAATCATAGTAGCTTTCAGAATATAAATTACTATTCACTTATATGCAAGCGCAACTAGTTCTGTCTGTTGTGTTGGGTTTGAAGTCACAACATGTACCCCACAAAATTGGAATGCAATGTATTATTGAGGAGGCTAGTATGGAATAAATTTATGCTGAAAAGACTACTTTACCTCAAAGAATGCCTGAACTCTATCACTATCTAAAAGAGAAAAAAAATAGCTATCTAGATTTTAAATATATACTAGAATAGTGAAAATTTTCAATGCTAAAAAGTTCAATTGACTAAATCACCATCAGAAGATTAAATTACAGATGCAGTGGCTTAACCAGCCTGACAATTTCGTCCCGCTATGTTAATTTCGATTTTTCATTTGCTTAAATAGTCTAGTGTTAAAGCAGGTAGCCTGCCTTAATATTCATCACATGGCCTCTAGCGTTTTGTCCATGGGTGGATCTGTGGATCCGGAAACATTGCAAAAAACGAAACTTGAACATACACCTCTTTAACATTGCTTCTTTATGAAATATTACTGGTTATATTAATAATAATGGTACATTGTTTCTGCCTTCATTATCCTAAAATCAACCAAATTCTTTCAATGGGCAACCCATTTGGCATTAATTGTCTCACTTCTCAACTTCCCTGCTGTGCTCTTTACCATGTTAACATGAAGAACCCAAAAAGCATTTATATCAAATTATTAATGACCCATTGAGTAAATGACCTATCATTATTATCTGATCATTACAATAGATTTGCTATACATTCCATATAGTATTTATATACTTACTAGCCTCTGTCTCCAATAAAGATAGTTGCCGTTTTAACATAGCAATGGTCTCATCAGCATGTTTGGCATTCATTTTCAATGCGTTAAGAATTTTCCCAGAGGTGGACATTTTAACACAGACTTTCACAGACACAGTGAAATTGTTATTGAAAAAATTATTTAAAATATATAATATATTCCAATAATTTTCATTGACTGCTTTTAACAAACTCCAGTGTACATTTTGAGATCAGCATCATGCTCTTTTCCCATCAGTCACTGCGAACTCTCTTTGTTTTCTGAGAACGTCATGTAAGAGGATTTTATAGGAATAGGGCGAGGAATGGAATAATAAAGAAAACACTATTCTTATTGGTACGTTCTTGTTTATTTTTTTTTAATATTCTGTTATAATAGACGGTTAATAGGCTTAATCATAATTACAATTTGCCATTGCACATTTCACTCGGATTTTTTCATACGAATTACATGTTTTTATGATTGAATCTTATTGTCCGGTTTTGAATGTATTGATTATCATATATACTAGGTAACTAGGATACATTTTAATTTATTTATATTCCCATTTACCTGTTCAATATAATTACTACCATGAATAAAATGTCACTAGATTAGAGTTATAAAGCGTTTCGAAGGTTTTCATTGGAGGTCTTTTAGTTATGTTAGTACAAAATTTTCAACACAATGAACAGATTGTCAAAAATTAGTTGCTTTTATATCTAGTTAGGGATATCTTTCATACGATTAGTATGGCAACAAAACTTATCAGAGCCATGGAAGCATTTTGCAGAAGAAAATAAAAATGTATACAGATTGTGAAACTGGCATTTTACAGAACAATTTTGTAATAAACACATACATTAATGTTGCCAGAAAAGTTGTGTTTTAAATCACTCCAAAATCTCCCATAGTAAGGAATAACTTGGATTAAACCTATGTATTTTGAATGCATATAATTTGTTTTCAATTGTTATGAGAATATCCATAGTTTTAGCGTTTTTGAAATGTCACAATAAACACTTTCCAGCCTTGGAATGATTGGGTATGAATTTGTGGATGACTGGGCTAAGTAGGATTGATGTTTGCATGTTAGTGTTTAGACTAGGATCAGGAAATTACATCATCACAGTTATAAAAAATATGTGTGATGTAGTCAACACATTTCCAAAAGCATTTTGTGGTTCTCCTGTTCAGAAAAATTCCAATTTTCCATTATGGCTAAAATGGTGCCTAGCACTTAAATAAGTCAACCCACACTTATTCCCCTTAATTTTAGGCAGAACTATTAAGTATATTTGGTAACAGTTTTGTAATAAAAGGGATAAAGAGTGTTAATTATAGGCAGCTGAGTTATGAGTACCACTTTAAACATTTATTATTAGTAATTACAGATATACAATATGAATAAAGTAATATAATTTATATTAGTGCTAGTTTAATAGAAGAATATGATAATTTTTTTACACCGAGACTAAGTTAAGTTAGAACATCATTTCGTATAGGTGAGTTTTGGGTCTGGATATTAATTTGGCATTTGTGGAAATTTGATTAATTTTATGTATTTGTCCGTCTACTTCAGTTGAGCCAGTTATGGTTTTAGTTCTTCCAAGATCTGCTTCAAAATCTAGCATAGTAATAATTATATTACTCTTCAAATTGAGTGTTGATGATAGTGTTAGAAAAGCAAAGGCAGAAACAGTGTTGCTTCAATTCCTGTTCTATGACCTGAGTTGCATTTTCACAAGGTTTCCAGTTCGGTATAGATAATTATGTTTCTGCTTTTGTCCTATTAAAATACCATCAAGATATCATTTATTTTCAAATGAGAATAAGGAATTATTTATAACCCAATTTTTGCCAAAGTTGCAGTACCGAGAAAGGCAGATACCATGTTATTTGTTTGTCCCCAACCTGCATAATCCCCAAATGATCAAGTAGCATCTAATGTTTGAACATCACATTACAAACATCACAAATTACATCACAAATACTTGAAATTAGCCTAATTATAATACTGACCAGATTAAACAAACTGAACAGCAAAATAACCATTGAGTATTTATACTGGTATATCCGTATTTCCAAGAGAAGCTAAATGCATTCTAAAAACCTAATTTTGACCTGTCCATATGTCCATGGAATTTTCCTGAAAAAACATGTTTGTCTAATGTAACAATGAATCTGAATTGATCAATGAAGACAGGCCTGACTAAATTCTTCAGTGTGTTTATCCCATCAATATATTTAGGATATCAATAGTAAAGAGCAACTTTGTGTACTTTGATAAACATTCTTTCAAGAGTTCCACAGCTTATGCTACTGGAGATGATCTTCTTAATGCAAGTTTGAGACATTGAAGTATTTTTGATCATCTTAGCAAGGACAAAGTACATGAAAATAGTTGACACTAAATTTCTGTCATTTCGTTTGTAATCATCCCGAATAGTTATTCCTCCGAATTCAGTTTGATATGAATGTAGGAGTACTCTTTTCTAGTTTAAATAGTTCTCCAATTACAATGCTAGCAACTAAATTAGTTGTATATACTCGTAAAACGCGTAAATGGATGTTTTTACAGTTTTACTGGAAAATATCTGCTATCGCTGATAAACTTTAAGATGTTTTTTCGGCACTCGATAGGCATTTTACACGCAATTTTTTTTATCTTATTCCTAATCTTCTCATGTCAATGAGAAGATTAAGATAAACATTTTTACGTGTATTTATACAATTTTTAAGTTTAACAATAACAGCTGTGAAACATGTAACTTTGAGTAAAATCCTCTGGCTCTGACATAAAGATCAAACCTACATACCAAAAAGTACTCACTAGATTTTCGTCGTAAACAGAGTGCAACAAATATTTAAATAATTTTCAGAATTTGCGAGAAGAATTCTTTTGTCTTTGAAAGAACTTAGACTTAGTATTTTTACCCAGATGTTTTAAAAGATGTTAAATTTTTGACAGAAAATTTTCATGTAAATCTCGCGAGTATTTGCACTTGATTGACATTCTTAACTGATATAATATGGAACTGTCTTAAAATAAAAATAATCTTTGAGGATGAACGGTTCGCGAACGGTTACATGAACGGTTCGCGAAAGTATCACGAATAAACGAAACATCAGCAAAATGACTACTACTATTAACTATATATGATTGAAATCTAATACCATCCAGTGTTTAATTACACACGTTAACGCTTGTCATGTCAAGTTAAGCGTGGTGTTAAATTTCATCGTGCAAAAATCCTAATGTGACTATTATCGACCCTTCACGTTCGGCTTCAACCATAACAACCTCTTTGTTTCGAGAAATTCGAAAATTCACTTGACAAAAACGGTTATTGTCGAGTCATTATGGGCAATTAACGTTTAATTTTTCCTTTTGCCGTTCGATATTCATGCTTTCCATCATCCAAAATACTTCAAACGGAAATAGCTTGTTTACAACCTATTTACAACAATACGCTGCTATGCGTTAAGTTAACACATGTATTCTTACGAAAACATTACGGCGTTGCCACGGTTTTTAGCGAGGAGCCTACCTCAAAATGAAAGTAATTTATAAATATGTTGCATAGCGTACATGCGTGGCATGATTGCGGAAACTGTAGACTGTATAAGGTTTGTGAGAAAAAGGTCTTTGGGTTAGGATCATGGGAAAGACGCCTTCGTTTCCTAATACAGTTGCTATAAAGGGCAATGTGCCAAAAAGAGTTCTGTCGTGTAACGTGGGTTTTCTTACTGCTGTGAAAGGTGTAGCATGCGCCACAGACCCATAACTCATAAGGTAGATTACCTGTGAATACCAGATCTGGAGAATCACAACTTATAGGTCTTATATCACTAATTTATGATTGCTCTCATCTCTTATGATGCTCCATAGCCCCAAAGTGACCTTCTCTTTATTTCCGTAAACCTTTGTCGTTTTTTCGAAGGCCGCTCTTAATCCTTTGTTTCATGTTACGATTCGACTAACATGATTTGGTTCTCTGTTGAAATTGGCCGGAAATTCTCAAAATTTTAATATTTACAATTTGACAATCATCATAGGAAAAATTTGTGGACTTCTGATGGAGCACTCCAAATGAAATAACTAAACAGGTCGAAGTTCCATCAACCAAAGCTCTCTCGTCTCTACTTAAAGTATGTCTATAACACTAAGCACTCTATGTTTTTTTTAATTCCAATCAACAAAACCTTTTAATTAACCAGCATAAAAAGAAACACATTCCTAAGACTTGAGCCATCCTGAAATTCAAGATATGTTTATGAGTATTTTTTTCCAGGCATCCTCAGTTCATGTGCATGACAGACAATGTTGATCACAGTGCTTGCTGATAATATGACGGCTTTGTCGACTGATGACCGTATTCTTTGAAATTTGCTTCTGTTGAAGGTTTTTTGAATAATTCTTCCCATCATATGATGTTACCATGTCCCTATGCCACCGGAGTCGTGAATTTCAGCAACAAATTTTCGGGGTGCAGTATTCGACCTTCTTGTGTTTTTTGTCTATTTTAAAAGCATCCGTGTCTGATTGTGTTTACTTTTAAACACATTTGTTTGTGTTTTTTAACGAGTTTTACCAATCCTACAATAATGTGTTAAACTGGGTTCATATAAGCGAGTGGCTAGCATATAATCGTGTCGGTATTATCGCTGCTTCTGGTTTAAGAAAGCACCCCCACGATCAACCAGTTGCTGCATGTATTTTGCAGACGGTTGCAGATATAGTGAAATCAAAGACGATGAGAAGGCGCGAAAAACCCAAAAATATAAAAGACATCGAATGAACGTCTCGATATCAGAAACACACATAAATTTATTTCGAATGAAACCAATATTTTAGGGAACTTGATTCAAGTGAGGGATGGAGGATACGACGTCAATGACCTAGGGGGTCGCGGTAACATCATATGATTCGATTCTTTTGTTTGACTTGACATAACCAAGATGTTTGCAAATCAGGTTTCAATCAAATTAGCTACATGAAAAACATAAAAAAAAGAGAATCGAGGGTTGTCTTACAGTTCAACATCAGTTACTTTATTCATTATAGAAAGTCAATCGAAACATATCTAACGTGCCAAATTGCTGCAGATGAATCACTTTCCTTCGTTAAATATTCTCGCGGTCAATCTCAAAAACCAGCCCTAAACTCAAGTGTTGAAAGTGCTCAGAGGTGTCACGATACCCACCATGCACCTCGACTCGCTAGCCACGAGCCACGACAAGGCTCCAATATAAGTATACCCAACATGTCACGTGTTTATTATTCCAAGCACTTACACTGAATACCAAAACACCTAACGATTATCGCGGACAAAGTCCTAATGGTTAAATTAACTTATAGTCTTATACTATCGCTTCTGATCAGCGCGTGATGATTTACACCATTACATAGCCAATGCCACAGACGCCTTATCTTAAACACCGTGAGGGCAAATTTCTGCTGTGATGTTTGAGGAATATATTGAAGATTGGTTGGATGTACTAAGTATGTTACTAGGATATATTGAGGCATAAAACAGCGTTGTATGCTTCTGATAATGCTTGTGTTTACGAGTTATTATTCTCATGTCTGAGTTAAAGTTATCGTGGGTATACTAAGATGGCTTGAGCGCTAGCTTTTGAAATATTGCAAATCTTTAAATTGTGCAGTATGGTACTGTGTTTATAACCGAACTCTGTTGGATATCGTAATTTTACCAATGGCATTACATCAAATGTGTTAACCATTTGTTAACAATTTTGCTTTGTTCAGTTTTAGGACTCGAGCCGGGTGATCAGTCACGACAATACGATTCGTCAGATTGGAAGGAGTATTTCTGTGTACTTGAACGCGATCCCCCAGCTATACGGATATTTTTGGATGAACAAGTACGGTCGTTATGCTTGATTTATACTATATTATTATTACGATTTGATTTACCCAACTCCAACTTGTTTTGATAGCTCAGTCATGCCATGGTTCCATTATATGCTCAATTCTTGGGCGCATTTGTAGGTCATGTTCTAGAATACCAAAAGTTAACAGCTTGCATGATTTTAGGGCACGAATGAAGTTTCATTTTGAACAGCATTATAAGCGTGAGAATTCTATTGTGCAGTCGTTACGCGCGAGTGTTGAAAATATGAATAATATGATGAAGTCTAGTTCTACTCAAGATATTAATATCGGAATTTTGCCCACGGGTTAACTCTCCTAAAAAAATCACAACAATAGTCACACAGTGCGTGATGACTGGCAACACAGGACAGTCGAACCGTTGAATAAATATTTTATCCATTTCCAGAATTTTAATTGTTTGTATTTTTTGAAATTACTTTATGGTAAATGCAACTTTTAGTCACGAATCTGCGTATATTATAAATGCTGCTAATCACTGCTTAGACTAGCTTAGTTCTGCAATGATTTCGTAGGCTACTATATTGAATGATAGCTTTACTCGTGGATAAAATATCCAAGAATATAAATGGAAAGGATATCTTCAAGGTCTAATTTAATTAAATCAATGTGCTCACAGCACCAAATTTTTAATAACAAGGATCCTAGGATATCTTGAACTTTGTAAACTTGATCCTTGTAAACTAACGAGATTTGAGTTGAGTGCTGTTCAATGTTTGGTTTCTGTCAAGAATCAGTGGTGAGTGGTCCAAGGGCCATGATGTATCATAGTAGATAAATATATATATTTTATATTGAAAACTGTTCGACTGCGTACGCAAGCGATTTTTCAACGAAATACTTAGTGTTACAGTGACATGTTATGTATTAGCTCCACTATGATTAATCAATATATAATAATTCTTAAGCTCACAGTCTTCTCGTGCGATTACATTTATTTGAAGAAAATGTGTCTATTATAAAACTCAGGAAATGCTATTGTGTGGTTTCACAATACCAAACGCCTTGCTTTACATTATGACCCCACGCAAGTTCTGTAGTTAAGCAACTGGCTGTAGTTTCCTAGTGTTGTATTTCTGTTTGCTGAAAACACAATCTAATATAGGTATGTAATTAATGAAAATAGCTCTCAATATCCACCCGATATATATTTAGTCCTTTTAAAAAAACTTATATAATTTTGTCGAATCTGAAATTTTGCGTTCGTTTCCAACGACAACGTACTTTTTAAATGTAAGAATTATGTTTTTTTGAAAAACTCTCTTGCTTAACTTTTGTCCGTACTCACAGTAAAAAGCTTTATACTAGATATAATTTATCCAAAACAGTAGCCCAGGTCTCGATACACCGGCTAATATATGCAATCATCAAATCATAATTACCGCACGAGGCAACACATTTTAAGCCAACTAAAATCAGACGGTGTTAAATTGATAAATATACGTCAGGCGATAGACGAGGCAAAACCTGATTTGTGTGGGCGATCATAAATCATTTGTCCAAAACGCCAAATATGATGCTTTCCTGAAGTATATTCATTCGGTTATAATTTATTGTGTATAATGAGTAGTTGGACATTAATAAAGTCCCGATGATCGATGATGAAAAAAAAGCATACAAGCATACTAAACATTCAATTGTACTTCGATGCCATCTGTGAACTCTATTGTAACAAAACGTTAATTTTGTAGTGTTTAGTATAAAATGATATAAAATTGGTGTGTATTTTATCATATGCGTTAGTACTTATCTTTGTGGTTTAATGTGCAATCTTAAAATAATTACATCTCTGAAGAGTCTTCAAAGAGTTGTTTATTTGGATATCAAAGAGGACATGCTTCCATTATAATGTTGAACCAGAAAAATGTCCAATGTATGTACACGATATTAGCCTACCTGCATACCTCTTATCTGTGCCTTGCTTTGATTCACGACATTACCGGTATTTAAGTTTGAACGTTATCATGCAATTATAGTTGTTTAAAAATACATAAAACACACATGCATGTATTGATATTTAAATGTTGTGTATATAATCTGGGATTTTGAAAAATGCTGTGTAATTTTTTACCATTTAAACCTCTTACAACAGGAAGACATTTGATATACATTAACACACATGTGTTGTTGTTTTAGTTGCGAAATAACAGGTTATTAGCACCTACTGTGGGATCAATGATTTCGATTATTTCACAAAGTCGTTTGACGCACTTGCACAGTTTAGCTGCTTCTAAATCGTGCAAAAGCTCAGATCTGGACAGCGCCTGTTTTTCAATTTGCATCAAGGAATTACCGGGAGGTCTAGATTAGCTTGAGGATTGAATTCCTTAACTTTTTAAATAGAATTCCTGGATAGATTTCAAAGCCGATCGTCTCGGGGACAAACCCTAAGTCTCAGACAATAGGAAATTGTCATCTTCATTAATTTCATGTCACCCAGCCCGCGGATTTTGGTTCATTAATCTTAAAGAATATTCAGACCATCTGACTCATCGTGTATTTCTGCTTGTAATTTGATCAGTAGTCATTAGCTGCGCCACTTCCATTTCAGAATGTAGACAAATGTCCCTTTAATAAAGTAGGCAACATTGAAGGGGGGATGGCTGATGTCTTTATCATAAAATTTTCGTGTTCTTTTTTTTCGTACGTACAGATTATTTAATAAAAGCATTTTACTTAAAATGTGGAATCCTCTTCGTCATGTTTTTATTATATCGCACAAAATGCTAATGATGAAATGTTAAGGATTGTAGAACTGATATATATATATATATATGCACTGAAGTTATCTCAAGTTGCTTTGCCGTGTTCTGTCCTGTCGAACTAAGAAGTGAAATAGAGTTTCCATCAAAGATATTCACTTTCAATGCCAGATGATAATTGAAAGTGCAAATTTTTTTATTTTCAGGTTTATTTTCAGGATTTGATGAATTTTACTACCGTGATTCTCTCTTCGTATTTTAGGAATATGATGATTATCAAAACTATCCAAGCCCCATCCACAGTCCTCTGGGACGCAGACCGTCGTTTGGAAATCTTCTAAGAAACGGTAAGATTATCACACATAGAGCAATTGTTGTACGTTCTTGGCAACTTGGCGCAATAAGCTTAGTGCGAACCGGAATCACAGTTACGCTCCCAAAAACCTGGTTTCCATGCTGACGCAATGACGTTACCAAAACTCGAGCTCAGCCAAGGGGTGCTTAGGTATATTGGTAGTGTCTTCAAAATAGCGTGGTGAGAAAGATATAAATAGAAGGAAAACTTTGACGCTACAAAGGGTTTTTGGCCGAAAAGCTGAATTTCAATTTATTTTTTTAAATTTTAAGATACTGGACGCCATTTCTTAAAATAACTCCCCTTCACTAGTATGATTACTGACTCGTACCCCAAAGTGACTATATGGAGACTGGTGTAAAGGATTATACAATTTTGGGTATATTTTATACTATACCAGTATGCCACCGTTGAAAACGATATGGACAGATTTAAATGTAGCCAAGAAAACGCATCTTGAGGACACACGCTGTCATTGATGAATTGATACATACGCGGAAGTCGACCCAAACTTAATTACCACGCACTTCTTTTTTTAAGTAGTCATAGCTCGAGACTATTCTATTCTCAATCTGCACCTCGGAAAGCGAATATTTGCCTTCGAGGTTTTTATTTAATTTGGCACCAAAATAGCCCCATTTCAGTTGTCTGGTAAAAGAATAGCAACGCTCATAATCATTGAAAAATATCATTCGCTTGCAGCTGTGTTTGAAAGATAGGAGTTTTGACGCTGTTTTTTTCTACAAACTGTCGCGAAAACGGAGACATTAGCGATTTTAGAGATTTGTTCTAATTGTACATTTCAGTGTTTTGTCTTCATTTTCCAATAATTGAGGTAATTTGGTAATTGTTGATTTTTCTTGTTGTAAATTGGTCAAATTACCGTATCTAATACTTCAAGATACTACCGACCCATATTAGGCTGAAACGATTTACAAACTCCAAATTTATACAGCCCGTGTCTTTCATCTTTGACTCGGTGCACGTAGGTGTCAATTTTTGCAATGTTTTGCCTGGGATGACGCAAAGTATAAACACTACGAATTTTTCGTGCAGTGTCATACGGGGCAACGCCAACAGACATGGCATTTCGACACGGTCATTGCTCGGCTTCCTGTAGTATGAAACTGACAGGGCTGTCTATTCAATATTCATTTTATTTTAATTCAAAATGAGTGGGCCATTAAGCTTATTTGGTGTTCGGCATTACCCTATAATCCCTCTTTGCTTTTCTGTTAATTTAAGGAAAGTATTCGATAGGGAAATAATGCCTGATGAATTTTCTTCTTGGTTTAAACGGTGACTCGTAAGGGCCCCCGTGGTTTTGGTTTTGTTGTAGAAAGGATATGATCTTTTGCAGCACAGAGATATAGCGTTGGCTTAAGTGTGAGCTCACAATTTGTTGAATTAGTCCTGAGGTTTGAGTAAATATTAATTACTTCTGTGTAAACTTCGGTAAAACTTCAATTGTTTCTCAGGTTTGTCGGTCGTCTTTGCGGATTATGTGGAAATTTTTAAGCGTAAAACTGCTTAGCCTATGCAGGATGCTTTTAATCATAGATATTTATACAGCTGTAAGATTTGATGTTCATGCCAGAATAAGGCCAAAATTTAAGACAAGATTTTCCTGATAACACCGCCCGCGTCTATCAAATGAGCGAAAGACAAGCCGCACCTCATATTATATAGGAACTTATTATAGATGCACAAAGGTTTAGATATGTGTGGAGTTAATATTGGCCTCACAAAACAAAAACTATAGGTTACGTTGCTGCTGAAGCAAATCACAACTTGAAACATTTGCCCGTTTTTCTTAGTCATCAACAAGTGAAAATCTTCCTTTAGTTCAGTATTCCAATCCCTTGATTCCGTTTTACGAAGGTTTGTTTAATACCAGACACCCGCGTCGTTATTCCATTTATACTTCTGAACCGGATGAATCGCCGATCCCCGGACAAACCTAAGTTTGTTGTTACACAACAACTCCATTTATGTCCATGGAATTTAGTGAATGAGACCAACTATAGTCATTTTAAGATCCTTTTAGGACGCCTGATTTTATATACCTGCTAATGCCGCCAAAACTTAGAAGATAAAAAATGGTTAAAGAAATCAAGTGATTACAGCCATGTAACGCAGGAAGTCATTTCGTTTTGTTATCTCCAAACTTAGCTCTGAAATCGAACCAGATTTATACACAGGAAAAAACTAGGGATCCTTTTAAGGATAAGATGGTCGATTTGTATCAATTATGAGCTATATGGGAGCGTTTTAAAACGTCGCGATGGTCTATAATGAATGTGCCAAAAATAAAAAAAGGAACAAACTGACCTTTTTCTGTGTTAACGTTTGTCATAAAAATCGTATACGACAAGTTATGTCTTCGATTCTCGCGAAGTTTTGCTCAAAAAGCAAACTGCGTTAAATACCTTCTAATCTGATAAAATACACTAAACTTAAAAACTGTTCATTTTTACCCTCGCCATGTAGTCGCCAGTATATGATAAATAAACAACACTTTATAGTTATATATCAACGTTCAATGCGTATCACTTGTAGGTCAAATGCTCTGACACGTTGTTAAAAACAGAAACAACTCCCTCTTACCAAGTTCCATTTATTCCTGGTCGTATACTGAATTAACATAATCTTTGCACCAAAAAATAAATGTATCGATTGTAAATTTCAAATGCGTTGTGCTATACCAGGCATTTTTTTGTATTTATCCTATAGGTCCAGAATCATTTCGAAGGTGTGCTAGCCTAGGAGATCTGGTCTCACCTGAACGTTCCTCGTCACCTGTCTATGTAAGTAATCGTGACTATATTGGTGTTGTTCGGGAATCTTTACCGTATACTATAGGAGCAGAGTGTGTCAACTGAACACATTTTAAATTCTAATATAACTGCATGCATGTTAAGGTCTGTTCACACGATACAATTTCGTTGGATCCTATTCACTTCTGATGGATATTTTATTGTCTGTTGTCTTGTAATGTATATGAGCAGCAAATACACTGAAGCCAATGCAGTACTGCTTCATCGATAACCGACTATATTCCATACGTCAGAAGTGAATTGGATCCAACAAAATTGGATCGTGTGAACAGACCTTTACACGGGGGTGCTTGGGTGTATTAATAGTTTAACGGGGACAAAAATTGGTGTTAAAAAATTTTTTTTTGGTTTGAATTCAATAAATGGATTGTAGTAAGATTAAGAATGATGGAATGTTATGGTTGAGCCTCCCATGCACTTTATGAAGATAATCATGAATCTATGAAAAAGTGTATTGCACTACAATCCAAATATAAAACATACTAAATTTAACCGTACTTTGGTTGAGCTTATAGGTATTTTGAGTTAGATTAATTTTAGATTGGGTTAGGGATTGGTATCCTATGAAATTAAATTGAAAAATTATTTATAATATAGTGTTTCCACATCACTAATGTACCAAATTAGAATAGAAATTGTGTTCTGGGAAGGAAGGTTATAATAGAGGCATGTTTTCGATGGTTAGTAGGGAATAATCTGTGGTGATTTTATCCTATAGTTTATCCTACATATATTTTATCCTACAGACTAAAAGGTTTAAAAAGAGTTTACGTCACGCTTCTCATATGACACACGTCACACGCTTTAAAAGTATTTATACAATGCTATACAGAGGTGATTAAATAGTATATGCATGCAAGCAAGAGTGGCCTCATAACGAAATTATTTGCATGCTTGAAAACTCTCCTAGTTCTTCCAGTGTTTAAAGAGATTCTTGTCATATAGCTAGTGTGCACACCGATTATTTTTTCGTTAAATTTCATAGCCCCTTTTGTGAAACGGCGTCTGCATTATATAAATTATAGCAATATGTGTATTGCGCTGATGTATGTAGTAATGTTGCGTGGTAATAGATATTGTCTCGTTCATAACAATATAGAATATCTAAAATTATTCAGGATATACTGTTCATTGTTCCTTACTTCGATATTGACCAAACGCACGAAAACAGGAAATATATGACAAGAAAAACTCTGAGCTAACTTTGAAAATGAAATAGTTTGTCACGCCGGTTTTTCTTTCGTCTTTTTATGAAATCTGGCATAAAACGAGCTACGAACTTTCGACATCGTATGGTTCGATTCTGCTGTCTTATAATTTCAGTAATTTCCATACCCTAAAATGACAAACGAACAAAGCGCGATAGCTTCCATAATGGAGATGGTAAATATAAAATTGTAATGTCTTTCAATGTAATTCTATTTATACCAGTATACTGAGTAACACGTCTATGTTATTTTAATGGTATTGTAGCGATGTATTTGTGGATTATTCCCTTTCAAATAGAGTGTACTATTTCGTGAAATCGTCATAATTTCACCTTCGTTTATAAATAGTCAACGCTTTTTGTGATTGCTGCATGTCATTAATTAAAGTCACATTAAAATACTAAGAAATCTAAAACCTGCCAAATCGGTGTTAGAACTGGTACAGTATATATATAGTTGTACAATAATAGGCTGTTGTCGTTTGTTTTTGAACTGCGTTGCATGGGGAAGACATTTTCTCGTTCGAAAAGCAATAATTGAATCATTTTGTACAAATAACGTTTCCATAGTACATTTAAAAAACTGATTAATCTTATTCGATTAATTATTTTGTTTTTGTAAATATTACCCCATGAATTCATTAAACTTGATTTTAAAACTTGATATTTTCAATCGTATAAATATTAATAAATGTTTCTTTAGTTAAGGTCAGGTTACCTTATCGTATGTTATGTCAATCCTCTGGAATCTCAAAGACCATTTACACTTAAAATTTTTGTAGCACGTTTTGGCTCGATGTCCTTTTTCCGTGGATGCAAACGAGCTAATAGTTACAGATGTTCTGATATACAATTGCTCATTTATTATTTGAACATCCATAACTTATCCACTTGTTCACATCTGTCAAAACATGGATAGTTAAAAGACTATATCAATTTTATTATGTATCACTTATTACATATCATATTATTAATATCATGTTATGTGAAAGTGAAGTGTAAACGGGCCTTCACGTGTCAGGTTTCTCTGTTTCACGTTTTTCAAACTCGCTTGACATGTTTTCACTTTTGTTTCAGCTCTTTCGTCGTCGGCTCTCGTCGGGTATCGGAAATCTCTTGGCATTGGGACGCCTTGAAAAAGTCACCGAAGAAAGAAACTCGAACCCTCCAAAGAGGTGGAAAATCAACAAGTATGTACACGTCATTGTTATAATATAGTATAGTGTATGTAATATAATGTATTAGGTGGGAGTCGAACGAAGGGTTGTAATTCGTTCAAAAACGATTATAGAGAAATGCAATTATATAGAAATTATAGAGAAATGCCATTTCGAACTTGGGGGGAGGGGCAATGGGGAGGAGCACGGGGGGGTGGTTGGAGGAGGGGCGCTACAGGGGAGCTGGGCGTTAGTTGTTTAAGACAATGTTATGTGGTACCAAGAAAATGGGAATTTTCATTGGGCCTTTATGGGAAAGACATTCCATGTCGTAAACTATTTCTGCACTGAAAAACCGCCAGCCACCCAGGTTAAAGTTACTGTGTATCCCGGTGTTTTGCGGTCCTGGTGGGAATTTATTTTCCTAGACCAAACATCAGGAGAAATGTATAGCCCAAAACTTCAGTTCTTTCAACAAAGTGGGGGATCTTTAATTATCCCCTATTAACTTATAAAAAATGGTGTATTTAAGAGTGATTGACAATGTCTGCCATTTTGAGGTTAAAGTAGGTATACTTTATCAAAGAATATGTATTTATAACATGTGGGTGTGCCCATATTTATCCATCATTCACGTCAAATTGAACAAATATTGATCGATTTTGAGCAAGGAAATTTTCCCTGATCATTGAGAACAGAAAACTAAGTTTTTAATCTTGTCCGTTTCATACAGCAAAATTGCGAAATTTGAAATATTCCATGAACCTGCAGCCTACTGCTGTTCCACAAGAAGGAAAACTTGCCTGAGATTTGTGTTTACAAATTTTTATGCTATTGTGTGGCTATGACAGGAAACAATAATAAGCCTCGTGATTTTAATCTTTTATAAATTATTTTTCTGCCTGAATTGTTGTTAAGTCCGTCTGTCTCTTTTGATCACTAATAAATCCACAAACACACACATATTAATCCGTCTACCTTAACTGCAATTTGCATAAACAATTTTGTAGTTTTTCCGTCGACTGGCATGAAGGCATTGTTCAACAAATTAAACCGTTTTGTATTAAACAGCATGTGGAACTGTGCTTCTGTTGTTTGAAAGCTATTACAGAATTGTGCTTTTAAATAACAATCCATAGGGATACATTGTGGTCATTTTTGCAAACCTTGGAAACCATTTTAAAGTTGTACACATGATATAAACGTTTAAACGAAGCTTGAGGTTATTTTAAGATTATATTTTGCTTGTCTAACGTATTGTTGCTGAAGTTTTCTGTACAATGTCAATCTCCTGTGAAGGGTGAGTAAACTGCTCTCATAAATGGTTGCATGAATTGACATATGTTGCGTGTTCTAACATGTTCTAAGGCTCTTTTGTTTGCTCGTTGACCTGTATTGAAAGTTAAGTGACACTTTGAGTAGAATTCATGTAAGATGGGGTATATGTTTGAAATATAATGTCACGTTGTTGCGTACTGCTATTAAATAGCAGCATAACAGTATATTCGTTTTGTTTTGTGGCGAGTTATTAATTTGCTGCATCGCGAAAAGTTTTAGAGACCAGCTGTAGCTCTGGATGGAAATGTACGTGTATTTTATGTATTTACAATCTATTTTGAAGTGCTTTTCGGTTCACTAAATGCCTAAAAAGGCCAAATATCAATAGAATACTCGTTCAGATATCGTAGAAATATATACGATAAAAATATAGCGAAGATCTTCTAAATAATTTAACTTCGATTCGAATGCCTTATTTCTAAACGCTGAAATTCCGTTTTATACATTTTTAATGTATTTTCCAATATGGTTTGTTGCATAACCTCATTACTTTTATTCCTAATCAAATTATAACTGTCACCAATAATGGAATGACAAATTTTCACGTTCAGCTGAAACTGCTGCTGCCGACTGGTATATATATATATAAGCCTATGGATTTCGTTAAAAATTTTACCTCAAACAGATCCATCGTGTTAAATATTTGGGCTACTGTGGGTATTTGATATACTCCACGTATATTACTAGACCAGACTCCTTCAAAATGTAGCTTCTTCTCTAGGCTTCCATTTTCCGGTTTTACGGAAAATGGAAGCCTAGAAAGAAATTCCTAGAGCAATGTGTTTAAGCTCCACCAAATATAACTGCTGTTTATTTCGATTATCGCGACCTTCACTGCCCGAATGTTAAAATGCATGAAAGCATATACTTGGAGATGATAGGAACTCTGTATAAATGATCTGCAAAGTTAATATGCGAACTATTTGATAGGGTTCTACATTCCTGGAATCATAAAAAGAAATTTTCTTCCTAACTTTGAAATATATATCTGGGCAGCTAACAATATATACAACACAAACACCTTACCACCCCGTACTATCCCAAACATTCTTGACGTAGGGTCCATTATAGCTTCAAAATTTTGACACATGTATGGGTCATACTGAAGATAAGTAATTTGCTCTGAGATAGATAATTTATAATACTGTTTAACTATTATCTTAATTACATGCATTAAAATACAAGTTGAAATGTAAATAGATATATAATTTAGTTCAATTTTTCATCTTGAATATTCTGTTTCACTTCGGTAGCCTGGTTGCTATGCCTAGAATATTTTCCTGTCTCGTATCTTCTGCTCGCTGTGTGCCGAAGAATTTTGAACAAAATTTACATATCTTAATTTATTCAAATTAGTTAAACGGTCTATTGTGTAGAATGATTGAGCAATGTCTCTGACTCATTACACATTCGCTAAACAGAATATCAAATTAGTTAATATATTTTGGTTCTAGATCTAAAAGACCAAAAGACGGTCTTTCGAATACGCAGAAGACTGGGTTCACTTCGCAACAACAGGAATCAGCGACTATAACGGTACGTAAATTGCATTGTACAACGGAGTTAGTGTATTGTCTAGTTTGTTACCGGTTTCAAGGTCGCGACTTTGGTATTTGGTTTAGAATGCATTGTGCATGTAAGCTCGCTCCTCTGTGTAAATACAAAGGCATTCAATCGATTACTTCTAACCTTTCGAAACATATACATTGTTTATTACTGTATGTCCTATGTAAGACATTGGAAACTTTAGTGTTCATGAATTGCACAATTTTGACCATTTCGTATTTGCTAGTGTAAGTTACTCTTGTTTTTCCTTCGTATGGGTTTTCCATGAGTTCACTTGGACACAGCACTCGAAAAGATCAAGATGTCTTTTCAATTCCATTACCCACACTTCGTCAGGTTAAATTTGCTGTAAAATCTAATAATATATATTCTGCTTCCGTGAAGTGTTAGGATATGAGCTGGATGATCTAAGCGCGGATGTTTTCTGTATATGAGGAGTGTTTATATCTCTACGTCATAGTACTTGATTACTGGACTCTTCTGGTTCCATTTACGATGTGATTCAGCATATAGTTTAATAGGCGGCTTCAGAAGAGGTTGTTTTGGAAGTACAAACATCGTTGATTGATGTTGATATGTAATTTATATCAACGAACTAATCTCGAATTTGAAAGTAGTCTTGTATATCTGCAACTAACGTATATCACCGTCCATCTTCAATGCCATCTGCTCTACTTCAAATGCTTCTTGAAAGCCACTATCAGTTATAAAAGATGTGATTATTCTCCTCTTGGCCAATATAGAAAGTAGAAAAGTGATAAACGTAATATAAGATTCTATTAACCACTCAAGTTCTTTAGTTTACATTTCTATTTATTCACATACGTCAAAAGTAGTGCTCACATGTTATAAGAATATAACATTAGTGTTAAACTGTACGGACTTTCCGACAAACTGATGAATTTCAATCTGGTTGGCAGGAAATAGCGCAGAGTAATCGCCTTGCATCTCGAGATGATCACGTAGACAATTCCAGTAACATTTTCTTTCGAAAGTCATTAATTTTCCGGAATGACTTTCAGAAATGTTGTTAATGATCTGCCAAAATACTTCCAGTTATGTGTGTGACATTAGCTATGCGATTTCAGCGTAATTACGACAATTATTATTTCATGCATCAGTTCTAGATGCATTACTCCTTATCAAAAGCAGCAGGAAAGGTCAACTCTTAATATCTTCGGTATAATTACTACAAAAGAGTAAGCGATAACATGAAATTTTCATAACAAAACTTAAATTTATGCAAATTTATACGATACGCATTGGGCTTAGATTAACATGAAGAATTTATTAGTATACTCACCAGCATCCACACTTGTGAGATTAAAGAAAAGACTTTTATTTTGGTTGATATTGATATTCTAAAAGAGTGAGACTTGAGTGTTTGAAGTTACTCGAACGACGACAGGTTTCTTTATTGTTCTTGAAGTCATATGCAGTTACTGCATGAGAACTTTTTCTAAAATCAAAACAAATGTACTCGTATAGTGTAGCATCTGCATGAGAACTCGCTCTGTACCCGATTACACAGCAGTATTTGTTTGACCAAATGACTCTAGAGAGATCAATGGGGATCAAATTGTACCGCTTGTTGGCTTTAATAGTTTACCACCACTTGAGTGTGCTACGCCCGTCATTTCGGCTGCTTGGGGTTTTGTTGTAACCTGGTTACCCCTTGTTCAGTTGAAAGGATCCGATATTTACACCTAGAGGTGTCAAATTATTAAGTGATGCTGCTGTTTTATATCATGCTGGCATATGATTGTGTGGGGGTTTTTTGAACCTAGCCCTTCCATTGCAATGATGACGAGGCCGTTTTCCACTATGGTTGGAATTTTGCACACGAAGAGAAAAAATTTTCCAAACAAAGAAAATGATTCCCCCTAGTGGAAAACAACGTTTAAATAGTGCATATAATGCACGATGAATTACATATGATAACACAGTGGCTACAGTGTGTGTCTTTGGGGGCTTAACATAGGAACCCACTCTTAAATGGTAGGTCCAGAATTCTTTCCTAATATAGTTTACATACGTAATCCATGCACTTGCATTTCAGTTCGTTTCATTTCCTCTTATAGACTTAGTAAACTCAGAATAAAATAAATTGTGTTTTTCCAACGATGTTATCTAGTTGTTATCTAATTAGCCCTCGTTTTGAAGAGCAACTCTTTCACGTACTGTAATTAGATAGTGTTACAAGACTCCGCTATATATGGGCCTGATAACGACGTTTAAGACACTTCCTTGTTTAAACTTTGTCCATGAACGGAATGCCATAACAAATTAGATATTCCAACTCCATTCTTTTTAGCGATTACGCTTCCTGTTTCCAACAGAGATACGTCCGTCTAATATCCATATTTGATAATTAACTTGCAATTTCTACTCATCTGAAATCAATCATGTATTACTTGAACAATATCTTGAGTATAATCGTATCAATACAAGATATTTAGAAACAATTCAGTTTACTCGTCGCTTTTACGCCATATAGGATACACATGAAGCGATATATTAACAGTAAGTGTGTTTTTACAATTTTAAACCTTTAATCTATAGCATTGGCACTCGTGGTATTTGTGAATTTTATAATATATTTTCATGGCAACGAAGGTTCATCTATATTTCAAAAATATTGACAGTTAATATAGAAGCGCGAAAATTGAATTTTACCGAATAATTGTTTACCCAAAACACACAACATTCACGAATAATACAGCTTAATATTATTTCAATCCACACAACATTCACGAATAAATAAAGCTTAATATTATTTCAATCCGGTGAGAACTAATCGATGCTTACTTAGCCCCATGCGATCATACACAGCTATTATGAAATTACTCAAGTATACATATAGTAAATCAACAAAGTTTCTTTGTGATTTGAAAGAATCTGTTGGCCTTCTGTTTACGTTTTTTTAGTTATCGTGCCTATAATCTATGTTTATAGTAAGATTTCTCATTACTCATACTAGCTAAACCGTTCTGTATATATTATAGAATATTTATAAGTTTTATACACTTATAGTTTTAATTTACCATTTTACCGAATATATATTTATACCGAAGTATATCTTATATAGTAATGACTAATGACAAAACAAAATTTGAATTTGATAAATTTAGTTTTATATAATGTCATAGGAATGCTTATTCATTCAAACTGTCGTTGAGTAAAACGTTTGGAAAATTAGGAAGTTATTTCATTGTTTCAGAAAACTATAGTCCGGCTATCTTAGTTGTCTTTATTTCAACGTTCAGTGTATTTGATACGGCCTTATTAAAGTATCACGCGTGATGATGTTAAACTAGTGCTTTTTCAGTAAATATGTTTACCACAAATAATTAATACGTTAAAACGATTTCACAAATTTGAAATATGCATATGCCTGCTTCACTCGATCGCGTGGGAGTTCGTCTATACTATAGGTTGCATCAATATAGCAATCCGGGCTGGGCAATTTTCTTGTATCAATTTTGGGTACTAGTCGTTGTTGGCTTTTTGGTGATCAATGGCGATTGTATTTACTGTGATTCGCACTGGTGATACGTTGTAATTGATAGCTTTTGTTAATGTTTTTGTTTTCCTTACTGTCATCGTTGTCCTTGCTGGCTGACGTTGTTTTTGTTAGCGAAGTTGTCGAATCTTGTAGTTGTTCTTCCTACCCTTGCTGTCCTTGTTGTCCTTTCTATCCATATTTGTCCTTTCTGTCCATATTTGTCCTTGCTATCCTCGCTGTCCTTGTCATCCTTTGTTGTTGTCATTGTTGTTGTTTTTTTTTGCTTTTGTTATCATTGTTGTAACTGCTTGTTTGAATTGTCATCACTGGCGTTATTATTCGCCATGCAGTAAAAGCTACAATAAACAATAAAACATTGTGTAAATTTTTGTTTTCTTTTCATTTAGGACTCAGTAGACTTGGCAGTTGATGGAAAGGTTGAAGTGCGTGCAGTACATCCGAGTATTATTGGCCATCAGTATTGTTTTGTGATTTCAAATTCTCTTGAAACGAAATACTTCTCGTGCAGATCAGGCGAGGAGATGAGCAAATGGATTTCAAGGTAAGCCATAGGCAGCCCAGTCTACTTGGGTCTATTATTATGACTAATGACTACTTTGTATACGACCAGCTCCTTATATATTTTCTTTGTGGGATGCATCGGCGTTTAAGGAGAATTGAATGTGTGATCAGTGCATTTTTTATATTGTGCATATTAAATATCGTAATTTAAAAATATGAGCTGTAAAATTACGTAGACAAATGAGTCAATATCACATTTTTCTTGTGTAACGAAATGCATACCTTACATACCGTCTTTCCTTTTTTTCTCATTCTCGTGATTGAGAGTAGAGATATTGCCAAGTCACAATATCATGCATGTTTATTGCAGTGGTCACTTGATCTATTGTATACACCTCGTCTAGTTTCGAGTTAGGTTGATGTTATAGCTTGTGCACCTGGATATACCAATCTTGTTCTATTTCATAACATGTGCTGTTTAATGAAATCGTTTAGTGTGAAGAAGGCTCTGGATCCTTCAAGAGATCTTGAGTGTCGGACAGATATCAGTCTCTCTTTGTGGATCGTTGAAGCTAAAGGTTTAACAAACAAGAAAAGGTAATGAGGATATGTTGAAACGGTAGAGAAATATTTTGTGTTGATCCTGGACAGTCATAATGCGTACAATCTTTTTATCGAATCTCAGACGTTTTTACCATTTTAGGTATTTCTGTGAACTTCTTCTTGACAATGTTTGTTACGCCAAGTCATCAGGAAAATCTTGTCTCAAGAATGACACCTTGTTCTGGGGAGAACAGTTTGTCTTTGAGTAAGCTTGACCTATAACTTCTAAAAATATTTATAAATATTAATGAATTAAAATAAGTTCCTATTTAACTGTTGTCTTGTTTACCTTTTTCTTGTCAGAGATCTTCCAGAACTCTCCATGATTCAGATAAACGTTTACAAGGATTATGACAAGAAAAAGAAGAAAGATAAATCATCTTTAATAGGTAACAAGTCATAACAAAATCATTTTGTATTTATATTATATATAATCACCGGAACACAATATTATGTTCGTTTATACTCTATGAAAGAAATTCTTGCATCTCAATCATTTTTCTCGTTCTTTCCCAGGAACGATTGACATTCCGACAAATTCCTTGGCCTTGGGTCAAGAAATGGAAACGTGGTATCCAATATCTCTGGTATCAACAGCGCATAATGAAGGCGCTTCACTGAGAATACGTTCTAGATACCAGGTTTGTTCATTGCACGCTCTTGCAAGCTTTCTCATAAAGCTGGAAGCGATCTTCTCCCGTCTTGGCAGTTGATCATTGCAACACTGCCATAGTCTGCCGACGTAATCGACTATCAAGCCAATATTTTGCATCAGGCGGGTCAGGGTAAAAACCGGAAAAGCAATGAAACCTATATAGAAAAAAAAGCGTGAAACGAACAACGTTTGCGAGGACACAAATAAGGAAGTCCTGTAGTTATTATTATTCCTGTAATCAACCCGGAAACTTTTTTCTTTCAGCGTAACTTAATTCTTCCTCTTGGAATCTACAACGAACTTTTGGAGGTAAATATTCTTCGAAAGTCTAGAACATGAAATAATTTCGTCTTGAATTAGCTATCATATCACTCTTGAAAAAAATATGTGATTGTCATGGAAAAATATTTTTAAAACGTATTTGATGTTTTTTTGCAGTTCTTGAAGAACAACTACAGCAGTTTGTGTCATTTTCTCGAGTCAGTGTTAAGCGCAAAGGCTAAGGATGAAATTGCCAAGATCTTGGTCCGAATTTTACAATCGTGTGGAAAAGCAAAAGAGTTTCTTATCGACCTGGTGACCACTGAGATGGAGAAGTCAGGTAAACAGATAATTTGCTGTGCGTGTGATTCAGGGTGCATACATGCAACTGATACAAGAAGCTTTCGACCTTACACGACCCCTAGCTCAAGTGCAAGCTGCTTCCGTTATTAATTTGAAATGAGTTAGATCTGATGAAATTTCTGATGATATGGTAGCTTTAATAGGTGTGTGTTTGCGAGAGCCTATAGTAATGCACGCATGCGCCAAAGAAAAGTGGAAATAGTAGAGAAAGTTTCTGTTTTACTGTATCATTGTGTATCATCCGTATTATTTCCCAAAGGCGATGACAACCTTCTCTTTCGTGGAAATTCTTTTGCGACGAAAGCCATGGATTATTACATGAAAATGGTCGGGGAAGAGGTCAGTTAAAAATTGTTATTTCGTATGTCTAAACTGTCAGTCCAGTTAGGTTAGGTTAATCCGTAAATGGCCCAGCAGGAATAAAAGAAACGTGCATTAATCCTTTATTAACTTTTGATTCTGGTTTTGCAAATAGTACTTGGAACAAACTCTTGGAGATTTTGTGAAGTCTGTTTATAAATTTGAAGAGGATTGCGAGGTACGAACTGTTGACTTTAATAGATGAATAATGTTGTTAAATGGTCAATATTCAAATAACGTGATTGTTGAATATCGAAAAATTTGACTGTTGTTCAGATAGATTGATATTTCTTTCATTCGTGGTTATTCTACTCCAAACTTTAGCATCATCAAGTAAATCATCTTTTCTGTAGGTTGATCCGTCCAAAGTTCCTAGCAACCAGCTTGAACCAAATCAAGAAAACATCAAAGCACTTGTCCAGAAAGCTTGGAATCACATTGTTTGCTCAGCGGACGATTTCCCGAGGTAAAATCCTACATTAGTAATTGTTTAAATATAATCAACCCATTTTTAAGGGTTTCCTCTCTGAAACTACTTAAAATTATTGAGAGGAGCGATTGTTTGCCATTTCTGGATAAACGAAAACACGATAATCTATTATTTTATCAATAATTTCGATATATCAATAATTTACTCACCATGGATGGGACAAACGGCCCCAGGTTTAGAGAATTCTGATCTTTCGAATATTCACTGGAGGTATATACCAATAAACCCTTACTCGAGTTTTCTTTGTCCTTTGCAGGGAGTTAGTGGACATATTCACTGAAGTCCGAGACGCATTTCCATATGCCTCAAGTAAAGCGTCATGCCTGAAACTTATTTCGTAAGTAATTTGATTTTACATTTATTCTTCTCTTCCATTTCTTGTTCTAATCCAGCGTTTCTTTTAGGGGCACTGTATTTCTACGCTTTTTGGTGCCTGCAATTCTTTCACCAAGTCTATTTGGCCTCGCACAAGGTAATCTTTTAGAACAGACTTTTACTGGTCTTGTTTATATATTTATCGTTTTACACCACTAGATTACATGTACATGTATATTATTCCCAGGTTGAAAAACGGGTAGTATTCTCTAGTGGAATGTAGCGAGTGTACCCACCCCTCTTCCGTAATTAAATGTTAGGTGTTTTATCGTTCTTTTTACGAACTGAGCGCAGAATTTTCTATTTATGGGGCATGGGCGAACCTTTTCACAAGTGACGCTCACTTTTTGTTGCATCTCTGAATGGCTTCTCCAGTAGTCTAATTTATGTATTCAACACCATTTTCAGAATATCCAGCCGAGCATACATGTCGAACGTTAACCCTTGTAGCCAAAGTTATACAGAATCTAGCAAATGGACTAAGGTAAATAAATAATACTACCAAGTATACGGAATCTTATTAGTCCTCCCCGTTTAAATTGATATCCAATATCTCAGTTGCCTTTCATGTTTTCTAAGATTGATATATTCATTATAAGGACATGTGTGAGACACTAGGCGTATCTCTTGTCAAATAACGAATGTCTTATAATGCATGGGGACCTTTTGATAATATTACATTAATTTCTGTATGTCTGATTCAGTTTTTCTGGGGATTTTTAGATTCGATCAATCAAAAGAGGGCTATTTGGAATTTATGAATTATTTTATTGATGATGAGAAAAGAGGCATGCGAGAGTTCTTAAAGAATGTATCGGTAATTTTCATAATATTTAACGTCTTCTTAAAGAAAGAAAGCAAACAGACGAACAAGATAATAATTTGAACTCATTATTGTTTATTACAGACAAAAACGGAAGAAAACGATCCTGACTACAATGGATGTGTTGATCTTGGTAAAGAACTGTCTGCCATGCAAAATGCACTCAATGAACAAATTGATAAACTGGACAAGGTAATCAGACTATGTTCTCACTCGTAACGCATGAATATATCAGTATCTAAAAGTGAACGTGCATATATTGCTTCGAAACTCGATCTGACTCACTGTAGAAACACCCTAATCCAATTTTCTCCTTACTTGAGATGGCTTCGCTCCACTATACGAGTCATTTGATATAATGTTGATGCCTTTCTCCCTAATGTTTAGGAAGCATTAAGTCAACTTAGTCCTCTACAATTCGTTCTGGAAACATTAAACGACGCTTGCCAAAATCCTGATGCAGTTGGTGTATTCAACCCAAACTCGCTTATTCTATCAAAACATACATTATCGGCAAACCTTTACAAAAAACTCGCTACAAAAACGCCGGTTGACACTAAATTGGATCACTCAAAAAAGGCTTCTACTTTACGAACTAAACCGGAGTTTCACGATGCTGAACTCTCAGACGGCCGCGAAGATCCAACCAGGAATATCATTATAAAAGAAACTAAGAAGCGAAATCAAAGATATTATGATATGCGATCGGGTAACGGACTAAGTCGGGATTCATCCGAGTACAGTTCCGAAAGTCCCCGAAGTAGACACGGGCAATCGGCGAATCCTCCAAATTCGGCTAAAAAAAAGAGTTACGTACGAAAAACGGATATGCGAAAAACGGATGTGCGAAAAACGGATATGCGTAATCGTTCTAACACGGACACTGAGGTACGGTCACCACCTCCGAATGGAATGCGGGAATTTCCAACCAGCGATCTTGGTGAAGACTTTTTATCATCAGGTGAAGGGAATACAACTTCGATACCACCCCTGCAAAAACTCACGGTACGATATGTTAATCCTACGAGTTCTGCTAAATCTTCTGGCAGTAGTGGCGGCTCTAAGTGGACTGGGTCCGATTATGGGTCACTGCCAAGGAATTTTGAAAGACTACAGGAGGATAATGAAATTGAAAAAGAATATGTGGAAGCTAACACGCGTGAGCAAAAAGATGAATCGCGCAGAACGCCGGTTTCGGAACCTGAAGATGGCGTGTTTGCCAGACCACGTGACTACGGTCATAAGTACCATACTCGATCTTTAGAGGACATCATTTCGGTGCACTCTGACCCAGAGTCAACGCGGGCTCTACCACGCCCGCGCCCACGATCTCTAGTAATACGGGATGCGGAAACCGTTGGTGCGTATGAGAGCAAATCACTAAATGTTGAACGAGAGTGGAAAGAAACACGCAATGCTCCGGGTTCACCTCTGTTGCGGAGGATTGATAAGTTTAAAAGACAGTCTGTATCAAGTAGTTCAAGTGGCGGAAGTTTAGGAGCGAAAACTCCGTCTAGAGAGATGTTGGAGCGAGATGGCCGTAGTTTTACTCACCATCAAAGGTTTGTTCAGATGCATTTTCAATGTTTCTAAAGATCATCATCAATGTATCAAAAGAGAAATATATATTGAATACGAGAGCTATATTAACTAGATTGCCCTGAGAGAGGTGCCAGTATATATGACTGAATTAATTTGGCACTACGAATAACGAATATCAGTTTTACGCCATTCTCCTGTTGTCACCCTTAGTCCAGTGCTCTAATTTCGTTGTTTGTATAAGAATTAAGCCTTTCATAACCATAAACCAATATATATATTCTACTTTCAGCAAAGAACAGACAACGCTCCAAGCAAATGGTTTAAGGGATAATGATGATCATATGTTCAACAAAAGCTCACAGGTAAAAATTGTTCTTTCTAATAGACTGTCGATATCCATAATAGACTGTCGATGTCCCTAATGGACTGTCGTTGTCCGTAATAGACTATCGATACCCCTTGTGCAAAACGCCCCAGTGAACTAAGCTTTAGTGAGGGTTCACGGCAGTGCACAAAAGTCAATATGTTTACAGTTCAAAGATAAAGTGATCCAAGTATTAGTTATTGCCACGTAATATTAGACGGTAATGCATGGACCTACAATAATGTACCAAGGTAACTTCCCCCCCATGCCCATAGCGATTATCCAACCTGCGATCACAGGGCTCCTCTGCTGGTCTTTGTTAGTTCATTGCTTCATCTAAATACAATCATGAGCACTAATATCAACCTCTTTCTTCAGCCACCAGATTTATCTGAGCTGAGACGGGAGCTTGAAGATACCAAGTTGCGGCTTTTTGAAAAACAACGAGAACTAAACGAAGAACGGGCTGCAATGAAACGAAGACAAATTGAAATTGAAGAAAAACTACGGCGAGAACAGGATTTGAAAGATAAAGAACTAAGAGCCGTTTACGAGCGGCTAAGCAACGCCGAACAACAACTACGCGATCAACAGACTGAGATGGAAGGAACGCTTAAAGCGAAAAATGTTATAATACAAGCTCAAGAACAGAGAATTAAGTCTTTAAATACGGATTATAATAAATTGTTGGAGGCTTTGAATCAACTACAGAAGACACCGTCTGTGAGGAATATGAATATTCGTATTACTGATAATTTATAGCCTCGTGGAAGCTATGCGATGATTATGGAGTGGAATCGTGGGATACCAAGGATCAAATGTTGAGGATAGGCGGTATTTAAACGGGGCATTTGTATATTGGAGTTGGGGTTATATAATGTACTGTATGGGATACCATTTCAACTTTCAACAACGTTAATCAAGATGGTGGTTATCAAAGAAGAGGTTTTGTGCGAGTTTCTTAAGAAAGGTGTTATCGTTACCACGTTGTAACGAAGGAAAGTAACTTGACCAAATAAGAAACTTTTTTTCAATATGTTTTCAACTTGTTGTAGATGCATTTCCATTGTTGAAACAATCGTATTTAAATTTCACCAGCTAGTTTACACTATATTTTAAACAATATTTTTTGCCATTCAAATTAACTGTAAATCAATACCCACAGTGATATTTCATAATACTTTTAGATAATTTATGGACAAAGGATATATTTTTACCGTACGTACGTACAAAATATAGCTATAGACTTTTGTAAATAGCAAAAGAAATTATAAAAGGCAAAATATATTTTATATACTAAGATCAACATGCAATAGTAGGTCAGTTCATGAGATGATATGTTCTGCGACTGATGTTAAACCGGCTTCGTGCGAGACGATTGTAACAAAGAGAGAGTTTGTTTATTTAACAGATTGTCTCTTCATTCAATGCATCAAGGGTACACGGTCCAAAACTTTTAATGGTGTTATCCAAGTTATCTCTCGTAATGCTGCCCTCGCACATTTTCTTCAACCTCGTCATCTCTTGCCTCATTTGCATATTCACTCGTTCCAGTCTTAAAATACGCTCTGCTTGCAACACGATGGTTTTATCCTTCACTTCTATCGTCTCATCTATTTCTCGTTTTTCCCGCTTTAACTCGCCTTCTAATAACAACAACTTCGACACAATTGAAGCCAGATTTGTGTCCGTGTATTCTTGTTGTTTTTTGTATTTATTGTCTTTAAGTTGTAGAGCGCTTGAAAGTTTGCTCGTTTTCGTTTTTTCCGCTTTAAGTTCAACTTTTGCTCGTCGTAGGTCAGCCTGGAGACGTCGCACGTTTGCTCTGTAGTGTACAGGCGGTTGCTCTTCCTGGACAAGTAAAATCACCAAACATTAGTTCGACGCAATGTAATAGGAAAATTCAATACGTGTTTAAAAAGCTATCATTCTACAACATGCCAGTCATGACATTTGATTTAGGCCTCGTTTAGATGTCGAACTTGTCCTGAAACTAATGTAAATGAACTAAAATATTTGTTAAGTTCATCTGCATGCATTTGTTTCGGCCCATGTCGCTGTGCATGGTGGAAGCTGTAAACTGGAAAAATTGCTATCCACGTATTTAACTAGAGAAAGATTCACTTAAATGATCTACATTAACTACAAACTATACGGAACACAGAGTCGAAGAGAATGTGTTGTGCATTCATTCATACATTTATGGATGAGTCGAGCGGAAGAATCTACAGGGGTTATATTTTGTACTAATTACAGACTATGCAGTTGGTGAAATTATTAGTTTTCTTTTGCATTTCTCATCGATCCATTTGTGTAGCGACACTGACTAATTACAGTAGAAGGTAGTGACTTAGCTGTTGGTGCCAAGTAATAACAGACGGGTGTTGTTTATACCAAGACAAATTATCAGACAAACAATATTTTCCTAAGTTTCGTCTAGACGAATCTTCATCCCTGCCCCTGGTATGAATTCATAAAATACACGTATGAAAACAAAATCCACGTATTTCCATATTTCTGTCATTATTACTCTATTGCATGCAATCTTTTCATAGACATAGCATTATTTGTCTGACATGAGAACCCACTGAAATAATCACTTTCTAAACTGATACTCTTGCTGGCAGTCGCGACGCTTGAATAAAATATATAAACAACGTCAACGTGCTGCTACAAGCCAGCTCCTAACTCTGTAAGCAAACCTACCTCATCAAATAAGATTTCTTTGGCGAATTCGTAGATGCCATGAGCAAATTCATAAAACATGCGTTGCAATGTGTTGAATAGTTGAAACATGTGAATCGCGTGTTGATATAAAGCGATGTTAGAGTTTTAATACTCAACAAGGGGCTTTCTCTTTTCTAGTAAAATATTTAAAGCTCGCATTATCAATATTAATACGAGGTTGTAAATAGCGTGAACTTACTACTCCTATTTGCCCTCATTCAGGAATATAAATACTCATTGTCATCGCCGGTCAATAACAGACTTGCAATTTGGAAAACAAGTTATATACCGTCACCGATCTTCACTTCGACATAACTTGAATAATTTAAGCTGACAATTAACATTCTAAGCAAGCTCCCCACGAAGAGCTCCGTAACAATGAATAATAATGATAAATATCTTTTAAGTAATAATTTGATGTCTTTTCTAAAGATGAGTGATTGTAGAAGGCTTTATACTCGCAATCTACGATGCGTAGCCGGGACATAACTCATAAGGTTTTTGTCTCGTTTACTTGCGAAAACACGCGACGTTTCCATTCATATATGGAGGCTGTATATACATCGTTGAAAGCGTTTAATTTTTAAAGTATTACAGAAACCACAGCCTCGGCTTATTGCATAAAAACTGTGGACATATCGACCTCGTCACGGACACATGTTCGATTGATTAATTTAACAGGCTTATATATTTTAATAATTATACGAACCTTTATTTTTGACGCCATCTCTTTTGGGCAATCTTGCATACGACTTCGACAGCGATTTAATAGAATTTGTTTTAATAGAAAGCGAAAAATCTTTAGTGTAAAATGCGTTGTCTGATTGCCGCGCGATAAAAACTATTCTCAGACACAATAAATTTATATCAACTGAGCCAGTTTCATCATCTATGCATTGCCATTGCGGTTTTAAAATGACCTGTAGATTGTGGCTAACGGGTTGTTCGTTCGCGGTTTGTTGTTTACGAAGACGAAGTATATAGCAATCTAGATCTAGCCTCTCTCACTCATTGCAAAAATTTAATTCCAAGATCGAGTGCTTGTAACTAGAACTAAATTGCACCAGATGAAATGGATGATAAGAGTGAACAAGAGTTGATGAAAAATGGGCCCATGATCCAATCTGGACAGTTAACGCAGTCATATCAAAAGTGTGTCTATGTGCCTTGTGATGTTATAAGCTTGTTCTTGACTTGCTGCTTGGTGCTTGGCTTTTTGCATATTTTTATAGCCCACTGTGAATGACACATTTGGTGGAAGATTTTCTTGACAAAAATTTTTCTGCGAGCCAATAATCGCTTGATTGCTAGAGTGGTAATAATGATCGTTCCAATTTGAGAGAACCGGATGACTTACGCCGTCAAAAGGTGAAAAGCTTTAGAAACTGCTGTCACATTGTTTTTGTCGATTGCTTCCAGCATTGTGTCACTTACGAGAGTGTTCAGAATCTGAGAGTGGGCCTGGTTCCGCATTGCTCAGTCAGATGACAAACAAAAACTGAAATAAGAACATGGGTCGGTTTCAATTTTGTGTGCTTCAACTTCATAAGAATGACACTTTACTGCTTCTTTAAGGCCCACACAGACCGGACGCGATTTGGCAACGCGGCGCGATTTTTGAAAGTTTTTGATTTTCCAAAAGCAAATAAATTTTAACCTATCATAATATTCTTGTTGATTATTTGGCGATAATACATTTTGACTGCCCTGGCGTCAATAGATTCCAAATTTTGCTTCCAAAAATTAATTTATATGCTTCTGAAAACTGAAAATTCGCGTCGCGTTGCCGCATCGCGTCCGGTGTGTGTCGACACAATTAATTAGATATTCTTTACTGATATTATAGTCTTTGGATATTCTTTACTGATATAGTCTTTCGATATTATTCAGTTCACCTAAAATGAATGTGTCAGACTGTGTAAGTAATCAATGATCTGACTTTCATAGTTTTTACTGAGTGAGTAAAGATCAAGAAGTGAATAAAAAACTTTTTCAACGTTTTCGTCCTGTTGTGACGTTTACATCTAAAAAAATGACAAAAAATCATCTGATTTGATGGTGAGGAGTGATATCTGGATTTTACTGTAAACGAGTAGTGCAATACTTCTCCGCTATGATATAATTTGGTAGCAGTATCCTTGAAACTTTAACTTACAATATTACGTATATACTGAAGTCTGAACAACACACAACTTTCGAATAGAACGATGTGTTTGAAATACGAATTACATTTTACTGTTAGAAATGCTGCTGTGAAGATTGCAATTAGTCTTTCTCACGATGACGAATATGCCGCTGTTTTGGGGGTACTTTTTTCCAAAACCGTAAGCGTAAGACCTCCTAGCGGCAACTGTGTTTAATTTTAGGCTGAATTTATTCCTCAAATGGTCTGTTGACTTGCTTCTAAAAAAGTTGCTTTTCATGCTGTTATAATTTTTCAAACCCATTTGAGAAAATTGAAAGTACCCCAAAAACGACATCGTGCTAATTAATGCGGAATTTTGTGCACAAGGTGCAGCTATTCTTTTGATTTGATGTAGATTTTCTTTGCATGGAAGTGCACATTTACAGTCATCACTTCTTCCCGATTCTTCTTCTTGCGGAAGAAGAGAAAGTTCGCTCTGTTCCGCGAGCAAAATTACGCAGAGGAAATGTCCGGCTTTGCCATTGAATCATATATACTCAATTGGGTTTGCGGTCATGAATCCGGCGATATTTCCGGAGTCGAAGCGCGCAATGCCAGCTGGGATATGTGGACATGTTTTTGCGAAACATCGCATTGTCACATTGCAGATGATGGCAGAATGAGCGACGCAAGTTCTTTGTTTGCTCAGACGTTGTGGGCAAAATGAAAAAGAAAAAATTTAAGTTTGAAGTATCTTTTGAACTGAGAGAATTGTCAAATGTCTCTCTTGCCAGTGGCCTTTTATTTTCAAAATTGAGGCTACTCGATGGCGGTAAATTTGCTGAAACTTCATGCAGGTACGAACGGGCCAAGGTCACAATAATAACATTATAAACTTCTACATGCCTCCATAGTTAAGATGTTGTTTTATCCTAAAATACTGATATAAAATATCTAACTTCAGGCTGGAGGTTCATAATAACCGTGTCAGATGGCAACAAACGTTTGAATTTGGTTGTAAAATGACTGCCAATTCAAATACTGGTGTGTTGGACCCTTGTTTATGTCGAGTTTCTGTTCGTAAGGTTTGTATATTACATAATAATTCTATACTGACTCTCACTGTCAACCTTTACCTAAATGCGTTATTTTTTTGTAAAATATACCAAAGTCTAGGGTATTAATATGATGAAATAATATGCGACCAAACGAAAATTTTATACATTAGAAAGAATATATTGTAAAAGACGAATATCGAACTTCCATATCATAAAAGTTTAATACAATAAAACTGTTGGTGAAACAAAATGGAAAAAATTAATTCAAATACATAAAGATATATCATTAGGTTATTGGTTTCGTAAGACAATTTTGTATTCATTTTGTATTCATGTTGAACAAATTCATCAATATATTTTGGTACAAAACTTTAATTATTTTACGTAAATACTTTATGACGGCAAAAGTTATTATTTTGAGTAATGGTGGGGCGCCAAATATTTTGCTTTAAATATCTCTTTGTACAACTCATGGGAAATTCTTCCGTCTAATAATATAAAACAGGATGAGCTTATTCCATGCAACGTGGCCCCCGCTACACGCATATATATTATCCAGACACTTATTTTGAAAATATTCCTTTAGCATACAGTAATAAGTGTAAACACATAAAATTAAACTATAATTGGGCATAAATTTTTCATTTTCAATTTCAAATTAAAGGCAAGACTGCTCTGATCGAGGGTTTAAACCATGTCGTCGCATAGATTCACTGGCAATATGATTTCAAACCGGTTTTTTCAATGATATTTCTGGAATTTGTTACATGACCTTCTAACCTTACATGGTATATAAAAGACTAAGTGTGATTTGTTCTAATGATGCAATGTTGTATTCATAGACGAACATTTTAAAGGGTTTAAAAAACCCTGGTTTTGTTTGGTTTCTATTATTATTTTGGTCAGAATAAGATTCGTGATCATGAATAAGATCTGTGTCATAAAATAAGATCCATGTCATTATTGTCATAGTATAACAGTGTTTGCCTTTCGTGTTTTGACATTCACCTGTAGGTAACCATTATTGATTATATTTTCTATGCATGTTTCATGAAGCGTTCACCCTATTTAGGCTTCTATCAGCAATTTTTTGCAAACATTTGTAGATATATTGTCTCATGCTATTGACTAAAACTATTATAATTTGGTAGCTCTTTTAAAATTATCGAAATATATAGATAGATAGAAATTATGGATTTAGCAGAAAGATTAAATTAATTAAAGAGAAGTGTTATTTTCTGATAAAGATTGACTGCAGTGCCCCTCTAGCACTTTGTGGGCAGCAGGGCTTTTTCAAAGCCCAAACAAAACGAATTAACTTTCAAACTGAATTGTTCCCATATTTCTGTTGCCTATCTGTTGCTTTTGAGTACAGTACATTTGAGAGGGCCTATATTGCATGTGTTGTGGCATAATTCAGTATTGATATTGCATTCCTATTTTATTCCATAAACCAAGTTCAAGTATAAAACTTCATTTAATTATTATTCAGCTTCTAAATTGCCATACATTTTTAGTATGTTAGGTTACCAAAGTATGTACCTAAACTACCTATATATTATTATAATAAGTTGATAATTACAGTGTTCTTCCCTAGCAAAGAGGAACTTGGCATTTCATACAAGACAAAGAGCATGTTTTTCAATTAGTGTGTTAATTAATATTACAACACTGCTTGTTTTTTTAAACTTACTTTATTACTATTCTGAATGTAAAATTGTTTCACTAATTGCAGCTTGAGAACTATAGACAGCTGCTATCTAGTTCTTTCACATTCTTTATCTTATGCTGAAACAGGAAAATCTGGTTCAGACAATGCATTGTTTAATTTAGCTGCAGGATATAAAATATTTATTCTGGATTAAAGCCAGTCTCCAAAATAATTGTTATAATACTTAATGGATCAACCCTTATAATGCCCAGCTATGTAGAAAATGTATGACTAATAACTGCAAGTCTGTAGATTGTATTATAGTCATAGCAACAAAATTGCCTTGGAATTTCTTGGTTTGTCTTTTACAAGGGCCCCCTACTAGTTATGATAAAGAAACAAATCATGTGAAGGTGAATTGTGATTTTTGGTAAATTTTTCCCACCATTTGTTTGTATGTGCGTAAATATTTGAAATGGCTGAGCATTAATAGCTTATGTGTAATCTAACACCATATCTTGATCTGGTTTCAAAGTTCAATGTAGGTCATTTATAATGGTATGAATAAGACTGAAAATATTTCACATGCATGCTAGTTGGCATATTTTCCATTAAATAAGCAACAAATGTAAAGAGACAATACGGTACATCATCAAAATATACAGTTGTGTTTTATAATGCTAGATCATTGAAATATGTTCCTCTCCATGCATGTAAGACCTAAGGTACATTGTTGGATTATATCACAAATCACAACACATGAACAGACAGACTTTAAAACATTTAAGATAATCAATAAAATGGGTTGACTAATCTCCTTTTAAGAACTCTTCTTTCAAGAATAAATATTACATAATTTAATTATGCTTTAAAGATTTTTCATCTCTTTTTATTTATAAAAATTAAAAACCTATAAAAACTATTTTTCAAAACATGATCTACTATGTGGTAAAGATATTGAAAAGTATGCATGTTGTCAAGGCTCATTCCATGTAAACAATACTCTGAATATCTGTTATTTTAGGAAACTAAGGGAGGTAAATCATATGAGAAGCTTGGTTTTGTTGAAGTAAATATGGCTGAGTTTGCAGCATCCAATAAACGAACAGGAAAATATTTGCTGGAAGGAGATATTAATGACAAAGCAAATAGACAAGATAACTCTATTTTAGAGGTGGGTATTCTATTGAATATTGTCTTAGCTGCTTATGCTAATCAGAATGGTAAGATAAGAAGAGTGGAGGGCTTCCTTACTAGGAGAACTGTTAAATATTGTTGAATATTTTCATGTTTCCAAATTTCACCCCCTCTGTATATCCTGGGAATAATGCATAACTTGTAATAATCTTTTAACAAAATTAGATATAGCCATAGTATAACTCTGAGGATGTCACAATAAGCTTTGTGGAATTGAATGCAGTACTAATACTAATCACCCTACCCTAGATTCTAGAAACTGATGCCAGTAAATCTTTCCTGAATGCTTTTGTTTAAATTTTCAGGTCAGAATTTCCATGCAACTTAAACAGGGTGATCCACTTTTTAAATTGTAAGAAGTATAACATGTTCTAGCTTCAAAATTAATACTTGATGTCATATTCTTTACTATAGATAACATAAACCGTTCCACACAATTTTTCCTCATGCTGATTTGTAAATATGCAGAGAGCCCCCCCTTGTAATTCCATTGCAAGCTTTGAAGTGCCATGTTTGCTAGTTAGAACTTGAAGTGAAATTAGATAATTGTGCAATTAGATAATTGTGCAATTAGATAATTGTGCAATTAGATAATTGTGCAATTAGATAATTGTGCAATTATAACTGTGAAAGGAGGCAATATATCATTCAATGACCATTCCCTTGTCACATAGAATTTGTAAGTCAAATATTATTCCACATTTAGGCCAATCTCACCACAAAAGCCAACTTCCGTAAGCGATGACAAGTACTCTAAAGGTGAAGGTATGCTGGACTCCAGCCAGAGGGATGGGTTAGGTCTCACCTCGTACCTTGATGAAGCAAGTGCAGGCACTGTTACACCAGGGACCATCACCCCTGACACACCTTCGAGCCCAACATCCCTAACTCCTGAGGGGGAAGAGGACACTGAAGCTAAGCTGGACTTGGCCGAGGGCTCGTCAAGTGACAAGGGGAAGGTTCTGGGGCATCATCGGAGTGCAAGTGAGCCACCATTTGTTAAGGATAGTCATCAAGGTGGTCAAATGTCTGAAGGTTACGGCAGCATGACTACACAATCCACATCGTCTTGCAGTGATGCAGGAAGAAGGTACAACAATTACTAGGATATTTCAGTTTTTTTTTCAATTTGTGAATAGTAAGTGTATATTTGCTGCTGTATAGATGTTTGCACCATGAAATGGCACTTAATGCTATGTTAGAAATGGGAATTAGATTCTATGTTAATTCTTCTCATGGTATGAAGTACAGAAGTAGTCTAGTATTCGCAGATAAATTGTTATAGCTGCGGCAACGTTAGTTTAATGGGTAGAATATGTTGTTAAATGATTTGATGTTGTTTGTAGATTCAACTCAATTGAGAGAAGTGCCAATAAATATCGCTGCAGCAGAGTGGATGCAGGGAATGTTGTGGAACAAATCATGTGGTAAACTACATAAAATTTTATCATTAAAAGTTTCTCAAACTTTGGTGCGGAAAGTCCACAGTGTGAAAACTAGCAACATTTAAGCTTCTAAGTGCCCCTCCTCCTCGTTCACCAGCAGCACGCCCCCCCCCCTCCCCCTCCTAAACTTTTTTGAACTGCCAACTCAAATTTGTAAACTCTTGCAGCCAAGATTCGACAGAACCTCGTGGGCAAACTGCGGATCCCAATCGCAACGAAGCTAATCTGATACCATTCCTGATAGCAAAGAACAGCAATGGGAATCTTCTTCCGAGTGACTTTGGGTAAGTTCATTAGTAACTTCTCTTGTAGTAGATAACCTAGTTATTATATAAAGGAAGAAAACAAAAACATTTTGCAGGACAACTCTTGCAAATCATCGACCAGTTGTACTAGTGTTACTATTTCACCTCAAAGGATGGTTACTCAAATGTTTAGCAGGTTATAATGGTTGCTTTTAAGATCATAACGTGGTTGTATATTGTTATCACTCTGACTAATGACTATTGCCTGACCATGATCATTTTTGGTCATGAACGCACTTTCTGCCATTAAGAAGTTAATCAAGTTTGTTTTTTTTCTTCTCGCAGTTTGGACATGGATGACAAGTACAGAACTCTGTAAGTTGAAAAAGTCACCAAAGATATCAAAGGTGTGACAGTGTAAATATATCATAATGTTGAGTCAAACTATTGGGTTTGCTAGCGGTGTTGGAGTTGAATTTTATTGGAAAAGAGACACCCTGGGGTTTTCTACGTATTGCTTGGCTGAAATATCGTCAGATTGATTTTATACCAAAATCTTTCATCATGTGTCTTTAAGTTGTAAATATTTTTTCGATTTAAACGAGGCCAGCCGGGCTAATTTGTAGTCATTTTCGTTGAATGATGAAGCAATCACAGTATAGGTTGATAAGCACAGGTTTTTAAAAGAAGGTCATTCAACGAAAGGTTTTTTCAAGAATGACAGCACAATAATTTGAAATGTTTTTTGATTTTTTTTCAATTTATTTTAAATATGAAATCTTTGAACTGTATTCTTTAATATATTCATGCATATATTTAATCCTTCCACGTGAATACAATTGATTTATGTTGTACGCGTGCTAGGAAAACGTATAGTTTTAAATAGATAAATAGGTAAGATTTCATAAATAAGTCTATTTATTGCAAATAGGGCGATGTTAACAGCATTGACATGCTGAGTTTAGTTTTAACTTTAAGTATAGTAGTTGTTCTTATAACTGAGTTTATTTTATTATCACAAGTCTTTTATCACACAGTACATGTTAAAGAACCATGGTTTAAATGTGTCATGCTAGGAAATGATGTGCAAAAACCATTCATGGCAAGAAAGTTGGAAACAAAACTAGTTTTTGATACCTTTTTAAATTAACCTCAACCTGAAGGTTGATTTGATTTTTTGTATTCGCTGATGCTGCTGCTTTTTCGTTACACGCGTCATTCGTGCTGAGCGTATGGTCACTGCGTGTGTTTCATTAGCGTTGACACGAACCATGAACGTTCGAGACTGACCAACCTATTAACACGTGACAGTCAGCTAGTCTGACGTCATAGTAAAGGATATCACGTGATATCGCTGTGCGAATCACGAGGTCTTGGCATGGACAGTCGAATTAACAGATAATGTGGTGATAGGCGGAGTAATTATGACCACCGTTGTATATAAAATGGCATTAATAGAGTAAATTGATAATAAAAATGGTTGTGTGAAATAACTTTCGTGTTCTTTATAATCATACAGAAGTATGGACGAACAACAGTCGTCCAGCTGCGTTTTTGCGCATGCCAGTGTGACTAGTAGAACTAACATGAAGTACTAGCTTAACCTACGGTCTTAAAATCAGTGCTGTAAAAGAGGGAACTCCGATTACACGGATAAAAACTCATCAGGTTGTTGCATCAACATCGAACAATGTTGTGCTGCCCATATTGTTCAGAGTTGTTATCAACTTGGAACAATATTGTTACACCCGATTCAGTTCCAACAATATTGTTCCAAGTTGATAACAACTCTGAACAATGTGGGCAGCACAACATTGTTCGATGCTGTTCATATCAATGTTGCATCAACCTGATCGTTTTTAGGCGTGTATCCCAGATCTCGCCAGAGGAAGTGCGGCCTCAGGGAACGAGATTAAAAGAGGTACAGCTATTAAAACTAGCATGAAAAATTAACCTACTATGTCTAATATCAGTGCTGTAGTAGAGGGAACTCAATGACGATGGGGGACTGTTCGTCCTGTGAATATTGGACAATGGAATATTGTCTGGTATATGACGAATTAGAGAGTAGATCATGCTATGTTGAAAAACTTTATTACATGAAATATCCATATCATAATACGTATATCTTATATCACTATTTTCTATAAGTTGCATATTCTATAGGAAGGCACAAGCCCGCAGTCCTGCCATCGGTTGTGGTAAGCGGTGTACTAAACTCCAAGTCCTGTTCTTAATGTCATAACATTCAACAGTCTCTAAGAACACGCTGTCACATTCTCCACCAAATACGTAGACATTCCCTGAATAGACCACTGCAGTCGCATTCATGCGTGGGGTGTTCATATTAGGAAGCATTTCCCAAACTTCTGCGTGAATATCATACACTTCACATGAAGAAAGCGCTACCTTGCCGTCAAAACCGCCAAAAATGTAAATACACTTTTCGGAGAGGATTGAACACGAGTAAGCACGCTTGTTACTTAACGGTTCATTTGTATTCCATACGTCAGCAGTGATGTCATATTGCTCCGCGCAAGTAAGATACGTTTTCCCGTCAAAGCCACCAATGACATAAATAGATCTAAATCCGAAGAGGGAAAACTGAGTGTATACAACTATGATGTAGCCAACTAATGAAAATAGTATTCGTAACCTAATTTTAGTATATTTCTATTATTTCATTCTGGATCTCAACGAAGAACTGGGTTCTCGGGAATAAAGAAGAGTGGTCTTAGCTGCGTATAATTCTAATCTCGATAAAAACAATTCACTGATATACCTGTTGTCAACACAAACTGCGCATGCACCAGCTCGGTAATTTCTCATGGGGGAAACAAAACTCCACGAACTTTCCCGCACGTCAAACTTCTCTACACTGCGCAGGTCCTGGATACCATTGTGTCCGCCAATCGCATACAAGCATCCATCGCAAACAGCCAATGCGAATTCATCACGTGCTTCTCGCATGCTAGATCTGACTGACCATTGCTGGTCTTTAGGAGAATAGCTCTCAACGCTACGAAGCTGCTCGAAGAATCCCGAGTTCCCTCCGACTACGTATATCTCCTTTCCCAGTTGTGCCATTCCGTGATTATATCGACCATTGCACATCGCTCCACAAGATGTGTAAATACCTGTTTCTGGGTTAAGCCTGAGAATAGCTTTATGTGCAAAGTAGTCGTTCTGTTGTATTCCACCAGTAAGATAGATTTGTTTTATATGTGCTGTTTCACCGCTGTTTAAAGGCAGTTGTGGTATTACAAAATTTTGTTCCGGTTTACATTCATTACAGACGCTTAACTTTTGGGTGTTTTGGTCAAGATTTATTTCATAGGAGGAAATTTTGCGGTCAATAAGCAGGACGTCTTTCGCCCACATTTTACGAGTCTTTCTCGTAGTAATTCCGAGTTCTTCCTCGTGATTACCCAACTTTTCCTCATTCATATTTGTCATCATAATTTCGCTATTTCTATCATCTTTGATCACGCCTCTATCACATGCTGTGGCAGCTGTGCCTCTGTGTTCACACGAAAGGGTTGATTCATTCAAGATCTGATGGTTTTCAAAGGCAAACACGTTGTCTCCGTCGCCTGTCTTGAAAACGTCATGTTTAACGCGTTCTCTGTTGTTAGTCGTGATTTTTTCATTTTCACATAAAGAGTGTTTTTTTAAAACGCTTTCTTCCCCGTCAAGAAAACACACGAGTTCATGTCTCACTGCTGGGTTTTTTAATTTTAGCACATCAACACTGCATAATTTAGTTAGTTTGTTTCCAGCACATCCAGTCTCTGTCATGTCTCGTGTGGATTTGCTTTGCGAAGTGCTAGTATCAACTAGTACGTCTAATTCGTGAACGCGGTTCTCCTGCGCGTTCGCACGTTCAGCGTGTGCGTTGATACGTTGGAGGTGTTCCCTAATGCGAGTTATTCGCCTGCGAACAGGTGGATGCGTTTTTATTAGACGACAATTTGCGAGTCCGTTGCACTGATGTCCGTTGTGTTGGGATCTTTCTCCGATTAGGAAATTAGTCTGACTATTTTTTCTTTCGAATTCGCCCACTTTTGACTTCCTGTTTATAACCGTGTTTTGTCCGTGGTTTTGGTTTTTGCTTATCAGTTTTTTGGAATTCTGATTGACAGAATGCTGTGTTCTTTTTGGATTTGCAGTTTTGTTAATTAATCCAGCTTTCAATGTCGGGATTTTCTTGTTTTCGCCTAAAGATAAAAGGCTTCACTTTCAACCATCGTGAAAAGTGTTTCTTTCAACTACCACCAAAGGCGTGGTGAAAATGAAAGGTCTAATTGAAAACTGTCTTGAGCTGGTTTTTTAAAACGATTTTAAAAAAATAGAGGCTTTGCAGGAAACGCCGACGACACCCGCGCCGCACATTAAAGAAATATGTATATATGTATAATCGCCCTATATAAGCGCCTTAGCGCCAATACTGCACCCATCCCGCGTTCAAATAAACTGTCATGTACGGCTGAGATGTTTCAGTTTAATACTCGCTACTGACCCTGTGGTCGAAGTACACTGAATATCAAGGACTATGATTGACCTTTTGTAGTTATACGATTAAAATTTTACCTAAGCCTTTAAGTAGATTGTGATAATTACGTCCGAATGATTTAGGGATTCGTTTTCCATGGCATTCTTCTCCGTATTATATAAAAAAGATTATATGGCGTCGTGTATTATACCTGTAGTTCGAGTACCAAACTGTTTGCATTCATATCCCATGCATTCCTTTACAATCCCTTTGTTTAATCCCCTCTTATCAGCCAGCACCTCTTGATCCAAACTTGCCGAAAAATGCAATGTGATCAGAACATCCAATAATCTGAGACGCATTTCCATTTTCTCCATATTACAACTCAAAACGTTCAATACCTCAAAAAGACATTCAATGTTTGCGGCTGTGTAAGCTTTATCTGCTACAAATGCTGCCATGTCACTTGACTTATATCCTGTTGTTCTGACGAATAAAAACATTAATAAATTCTTGTGAAGTTCGCTCATCTGGTTTGACTCTCCTATTGCCTCAACTGCTGCTTCTAATTTTTCACTTTTTGCCATTTCTAAATCTTTTATGCCAAACATCACGCTGAATTTAATCACATTATTGATCTTATTTAGTTGAATGTTTTCGGGCTTCCTATATTTTGAGCAATTCACATAGACATACTGCAAAAATGAACCGACCAGTTCAGAGCTAATGCCTTCCAAATGGACGCAGGTTTTTGTGCCCTCAAAGTAGCTCTTTTTCGTCTTCAGATTGCTTCGGTAAAATTCGTCAAAAAATTTGGATTTTTCACGCAAAATACACCAATGTGCACCGTATTGTTTTCCATCAACAATGATGTTCAAATCGCAACCAGAAAAGCCAGGTTCTTTCTGTTTGTTTTTAATTGGTTTCATAACTTAACTATATAATTCAACCAGGCCCTTGATACACAACTTCTAGTTCGGCTTATGACGTCATGTAATTATTTTTACTCATCAGCTGGAAGTATACTTCTACAAGCGCCTGCCCTATCGCGTTGCTGATTGTTTTGAAAACTATCTTTTCCCTAAGCCCTAAGGATGAAATACCATATAGCTGCCAATCTAACTCGAGGTTGGTCTCTACAGACCAGCGGAAACAACCTGTCCCCTCATGAAGAAATTGCAGGAAATGTTCTGTTAGTTTGACCTCTACGAAATACTAGTGTTCCTTTCTACTAAGAAACAATTTATCGATAAGGAAGGATCTAAAACCCGGAAAAACCAAGACAGCTTTTAACTATATACTTCCCTGATGTATGTGAAAGAGGAAATGGGTAATTTCATAAGGAATTTGAAGAAAATGATGTTCAATGACGCGTTCGTTTCTGAAACGTTATACCGTAATCCATGTCAATGTGTTTGGCACCACTCCATATCTCAGATCTCAGAAGTTGAAGGGTGCGATTTCTCGTTTGATTCATTCATTCATTAATTGTGATTTGATTCAAATTTGTGAAATAGAAAAAAGCGCAGGCGGAGAACCCGCAATTCCTGGCAGAACCATAAAAAACTATGACTCTATGGTCAAAGCTGGTTTGACTTCCTTCTTTATATAAATAGAATTAGGATAATCAATGTTTCCTCGTCTTGTGACTTGTGAGTCTCGTTGTGAGTTGTGATGACACTATACTGTACTGTGAATTGACAAGCAAAAGATGGCCTTCACTACGTCGTTCATATAGGAACGGCAAGGACAGATTAAATCTGATGGATTTGCCCAGTAAACATAATTTATTTAGTTCTTGTATATAAATATAACAACTTTATAGAGCACGATACTTGCGGTATAACGAGTCAAAACCCTTTCACAATTCACATTTTTAAATGAAAATTTAAAAACAATATTTCAGCCGGATGCAACAATCCTTTTTTTTCGGAACTAAAACTCGTTTGTTAACGCTACAATTACAGATATCAACTTCATATTACCTTTTGGAAAAGCGCAGATTTTTAAACAGAGGAAACGCTTCAGTGAACAATCGTTCAATGATCTACATCAGGCCGGAAAAGAATATATTTAACCTACACCAAACAACACTATCTCTCCTATTACATTCGTCATTCAAGGTTAAAAGGTTACTAACTTATAGTTGAAAATCTCTTTCTACAGACGGTTGAAAAAAAAGTTAAATTTGAATCGAAAGCCTGTAACGACGTGTCAAGATTTTGGCGATGGCGAATTACAAGCGGTCGTATGGTTATTGTAAGTAATGTACTATATAATTCGAGTGTTTCGTATACTTTCATTCATATTAAGTATCTAGTCTGTTGTCTCACGGCTCCTGAAGAGATAGATATATTGATTTATTTAAAGCTCGTGAAGAAGTTTATAAATCAATCTTCGTGTCAACAAATGGTCCGTAAAAGTTGCCGCATAAAAACACAATCTGGGTGTCATATGTTGCTACATTATATGTCGTTGTAAATATTTCTATGAATTTTAGGCAAACTATACGGTGTTTCAATTAAACAAGGTTTTCCGAAGACGGGAAATTACAAATTACAATATTTCCTAAAAAAATGTAATAGAAGAAAACTATAATTTTTGTTCTTCAAGCAAATATATATACACAGACGAGATTTTATAGTATATATATCTAAGTATATATTTAAGTATATATACAGTTATTTCTATATATATACATGAAGATACCCCTATATACTGCTGTGCCCTTGTTGGGCAATTTAAGTCCCACGAACCGGAACAGACGCAGATCGAAGCACAAAAATAACATGCATGCATGTGTAGACGAACAGTCAATCTAATGATCTTTATAGAATTTATATTTAGACCAGGCATATCAGTTGATCATCCCATTTTTAATTACTTCTCGAAGAAAATTCCAGTAGAAATACTAGGCCAAGCTAATATACGCCAACAGTAACACGCTCTAAAAACTCGGACAACAATGAAATTCTTTAGCTTTTTGTTAAGGAAATTTGTCATTCTTACTTTGAAATATGACATAAATCTTTACATTTGCTCCAGTGTAAGGAAAATGACTTATAATTTCACTTTATAAGCTATAGCTATGCCCATATATAATATATTCTATATATCGGAAATATAGATTGGATAAACTTTCAATTTAGTCCATTGTAGTATAAATTGTGTTGGTTTTGCGAGCACGAGTGTCTTAGTCAACTTAGTGGCCAGTTCAATTACATCCTTTTCGTGGTTTGCCCTTAGGTCAAAACATGGAGAAGTGTTTTTGTCTATATTAGGCAGTTGTTATACCATTCATGTCATTTATCGTTTGTGTCATCTGATGCCAAGTTGTTAGAAGCTCGGGGCTGTCTTGCTGGACATCGCTTGGTTATTTTGGAATGCAAACTACTTAACTACTACATCGAGGCACATTATGGCCTATGGCATTAATCAGAATCTATATAAAATAACCTTTTATCAAGTTTTTTCTCGCACTTTTACCAAATATTGAAGCCGCCAGCAGAACATCAATCATGGATCTGCGCGTATGTACAGGGACATGAGTTCAGCACGTTTTACAATATTAATATAGACCTATCACAGAAATAAACGGATCCCACTTGAAATTAATTTTGACATACTTGGAAACAATATTTTCACAGTTAATATAGCATAGAAATATTAGTGAAAATTGCCCAATTTATACAATAAAGAGGAGTCTGTCTATTCGGAACTATAATCCAGATGAATTTCGTTGTTCATCGGTCTCGATGGGCGATCCACGTCATCATCAGACGAGCTATCTTTGCCTGGACGGAGAATCCATCGTTAGACTAAATCGAGCCGGTATACTATAAACTATAGTTGAAGATATAATCAAACATGTATTTGTATTGAGACTTGAGCGCATTTATTGAGTATTTAAGACAATTATGCAATGATCCTACGGGCCTTTTCTAGTATCCAGTGGACATGCTACTCAATATATTGAGGATAACAGGATAAACTGAAAGCATTCTTCTTATATATACTGGTTTTTAAAATACGACAACACCATATTTATAGTTTCATTCATCAAAATTCAAAATTCATCATATACTATACATGGGTATAAAAGGTTTTTTATACCCATGTATAGTATATGATGAATTTTGTTATCGATAAACTGCCGAGTCACCGGGCTTATATAAGGAAATTGATTCAGTTTTCTGTTTTAATTATTGTTTATACCAACACAATATAATGTTGTAGTTACAGCCAATATCCCCTAAACTTAGCATTTCCCGAATATGTCATCCGCGTTTATTACAGTGGGCGTCGACAGGTCGATAAAAGACAAAGACTTGATGGAATGGTAGCCATTTTGTGCATGGCCTTCGCATTAATGAAGGCTAAATACGAGGGACATCCCCTGTGAGGTTTGTGCACTTTCGCCTGTATTCTAAAAGCTCAAACTCATTGAGTGAGCGATCCTGATCTTCTCATAGCGTTTCCGTAGAGATATTACCACTCGAACAAGAGTTTGATTTTCAGGGCTTTACCTTGAATGGTTCAATTCCAATGATTAAGAATGAATTTTCTCATTGATCAGTAATAACAAAATTTCAATGTCACACTCAAGGAGTATGAGTGGGCTTTTGAATACAGGCGTTTGGCTGAACGCTGGCTATATTAATATGACAGTATATGACTATAGTCTATACCGTATCTATACCCTATATGTATATTTAGTAATTTTAGTTGGCTTAACGCTAGCTATATCGTATCTAGTAATCTACCCTTTAATTACGTCAGTATGAATGACGGTATTTACAGATATAATGTTCATAGAAGATTGTCTAGAAGCTCGACAAAAATCAAGCTATCAATAAGAGCTAAGACGTTGAGACAAAACGGTCACAACAGTCAACACGATATTTTTTGAAATAGATTGATCAGAATTTCGGCGATCCTGTTCATTGCACTTTTATGCCAGAAAAACGAAGGCTGGGTAGCGTTATTCTAATATGCATGGGCCAATGGCAATGTTTAAGTCGAGTTCAGAATGCATGAAACGTCAAACAACAGAAAGATATAAACTAAAATAGAAAGGAAGGTGACTAAGGTTTAATCTGGATTTTTACAAACTTTAAATCGACAATTATTGACTATACGTGAAAAAATAAAAAGCACTATTCCGTACATATTAAACCCTATAATTATATTCTCCTTTCACTGCCTCAGACTGTCAATCAACACGTAATTGACCGGCCAAAAAAAAGTCAAACCCATAATGGTGGAGAACATTGTGCAATGCCAGCTTGGGTATACATAAACATATCAACAACACTGTCAATGGTTTTAGTGTTTATTGCAAATGTTCTGGCTTTTTCGTGTGTCACCGACATTATGTGATGTACGTACTGACTGTCGGTGACTGGTAACAAGAAATATTTAGGATAAAAGCACTTCATTCGTCAGTGTTATAGACATGGCTTCCGACTGCCTTGCCGATGATTGCAATATATGACAAACGCCTGTTATTAATACTTCAAGAATGTGGTTGGGTAATTTACCGTTGATATACATTAAGATATATATTATACGATTTTATATTTTAAAAAAATCTATTGTGTTTGCGAATACATGCCAATACAAGTTGCCGGCTGCTGTGACAAACTAAAAGAACAAAGACTGGCTGTTTCCGCTGATGTAACGATCAGGATGTTTCGCATCCAATCCAATCAACAATGTTTTTGTGACTGTGTAACTTCTTATTTAGTTTAGTGAATATAAATATGACAATAAGGATTTAGTCCTATACGTGCGTATGAAAAACGCAACAGTGGAAAGCAGAGCTCGAGCCAGGCTCAGAGCCAGGCCACGCCGTCGCTGCTCTCTTTTTATTAGGCCCCGAAAATGTCGTCCTTTACATGAATGCAATACGTTATATAATACATCAAGTATATACTTTATGTAACATTAAATGCTATTGATTAGAAGAATTTATATTTTTTTCGGGTAACTGAAACATCAAACATTCATGAAATGTTTAGTCCACTGCATGGGAACGGAACTTCTATCGATGTTGATTAATCCACTGGGAACGGAACTTCTGTCGATGTTGATTGAGTATGTTACGGTTGGCAAAGGAAGGATTTACTGTTTAGGTAACAACAATTTTTGCAGATCAATATATGCAAAAGGCAACGCCTTTCCGAAGTTTAATATAGTAATTGGATGAATAATGATTATAGTAATTGACGGCTTTTAACGTCTTTAAATCCACAAGTAACTGCAGTTTTTTATCGGGTCTAAACCGCAAGAAAAACGAATGTCGCGGTTTATTTGAATTATAATGCGGCGATGTTGACAGCCAACACTTAGAAATACTCAAATGAAATGTGGTGAACATATTCTTGCTGTGTGAAGTTACTCCAAAAATCTTGAGTGCAATGACGTAATTTTGACGTCATTGCAATGTCAGACGAGGTCTTTTAGGTGGTTTCAATAAGGTGTTGTAATGACTATAAATTAACACTATAAGCATTATTATGCCGCAGCTCTACCATTTTGGTGCTAGGTTTAAAGTCGTTTTCCTTTGAGTGGAAATAGGCACTTTCTAACCGTACAATAACCTACACCCACAGGAAATTAGCAGGAAATCTAAAGTGGAAAACACCGCAAAGTGAAGTGTCACATAATTTACATTTCAATTGCAGTCATACAGTCTATAAAAGATCCTGCATAAAAACGCCCAACACGTGCTCATAAATAAAATTTTTAAACATCCTTATACAACAAGTTGTATTTTGGAATATTTTTCGGATCAATAGGACAGGTTACAATAAGTTTTCCTCGCATAGCACCACGATATATCACTTCAACTAAGTCAATAAAATCTTGCTTTGTTTTGAAACTTCCTATGAACTTTGTGTGGTCTTGTGTGCTAAATCAGAAAAGTGGCAATATTTAAAGTAGCAATATTTGTTGTGACTGATATTCTTAAAATACTCCCAGACTAGGCGTGGGAAATTGTATTTAACTTTTGTGTGGATATCTCTTCAAAAGCTGGAAAAAGTCAACAGAAAAAAAATGAGAAAACTGTAAGAGAAACGTGAGAAAAAACTGCTGAAAAGTTCGTGCATTCACTGGTTTTTAAAAGGACAACATTGCTCTAAATAGACCTTATGCATATGACCTAACAAGCTGTGACACCTGCAGGGAATTCTGGTGTTAGTAGTCACAGCAGGAAATTTTCAAGTTTAAATTTTTCGCTGTGACTACTACAACCAGAATTCCCTGCAGGTGTTGTGGCTTGTTACATCATTATGCTTAAGGTCTATTGCAGTTTAAAATTGGAAGAAACATTTGCCCTCTATAATATCCTTTTTTAATTAGACTACACATCATAAGGATAGTTACACCCACACCAAAGCTATAGTTTAGCTAATCTACTAATTTGTTTCACTTGACTAACAAAAAATAGGTATGGTATGATAACTTACCCATAATCAACTTTCATGTGTTGGCCATTAAAGAAGAACACTGTTGCAGGTGTTAGAGTAATATCAAAATATTTCACATAGACTGGGACACTATCCACAGGAATTATATAAATTTCAGCCATATTTGAAAGCAATTGTTTCGTTTTGGCAAGCTAAAGAGGGAATTAAGATGAGATAGTAAAGGACTTTTGGTCTTATTTATAAATTATAATTAATAGCTAATATAATTAATATAATTAATCCAGGATGCAAATTGGCTTTGTGCAAAATTAATAAAGAATTGATTGCTGGTTCTATGCTTCTCAAAAGGCAAAAATTTTAGAAATATCTTCAATGCCCTTTGCTAGGACAATTATCTTATAGCTAAGCCACCACAGTGAGAAGTATAGAGTGACTGATAGGGAGTTTGAGGTCGGTTTAATGTGGAAAGTATGTATCATGCAACCAAGATATATCAGGCATGCAATTTTGATATCTTCTATTTATTTTTTGAAATCTCAGGTGCACAATTTTTGTATAATTATTAAAGTTTTAAACAGGGGTTTAATGAAAAGAACTTTCTACTCTGCCAGAATAACACTGGGACTAATTGTGATGTGAGATGAAATAGAAATTAAAATTTCTCTTGGTAGACAAGCTACATGTAAACAGAATTTGAGTTAAGAATCAGTTATTTTTCCACTCACAATATCATCTAATCCCATGCACTCCTGGTCATTCTCCCTGCCAAATCTTAGGACCAGAACCTTATCTTCTGTGCCCCTTATTGCATTATCTACTTCTTTTTTAGACGCGAGCTTGCTTAACACATAGCTCATGTCTAGATGGGCAAATTACAGTATCATTTAAACATTATTTTTTTCAATAAAACCACGAACAATTGCGGGTTTCATGACGCCATTTTGATTTTCACTAACTGGGAATTACGTGGGCATTTAGCCGGTATCTAAACTCGTAGGATCAAAGCCGTCAGGCAGAAGAGTATGTCGACATTTTCTTGTTAAAAAGTTCTTCTTAACTAATATTTCTTAATATCATAATCTAACGTATATCTAAATAAGCCTTTAGTGCTAATTTTGTGAAGTTTTTTTAAAAGGGAAAGAGAAAAAAGCAGGAGAATAATATGGACTACAAAGCTCCGGGTACCGTTTTCCGCTCTTTAAATTGTTGCATGATGGGTAATATTTGCGAGTTCCTTTGACCTACGTTCGGTTCAAGTTGAAGTTCGAAGGGCAGAAATTTACAAATTTGAATTGGTACACGTTTTGTGACAAGATCGCCAATAATTGGCGCACAAACAACACAAAATCCGAGTAAAGGTCTGCAGGAATGACTGACACTACGAATACACAACCTACTGAGTTAGGTGGTAAGTAAATATGGATTTTGGCGAAAATAACGCAGTACGAAGCTCAGCGTTCGAAAACGCTGCTGCTGTATTATAAATGCAATTTTGTTAATATCCCATAACTGCAGTTCGTACTCCCGCACATTTCAAGTCTGTGATTGATAAAAATCTTTAGTGTTTCGTACTGAACGTATATGTAAATCGCCGATGTTATAGACGATTTTGTTTTGCATTTCGGAAATGCTGAAGGTGAGAAACCTGGTGGTTTGTCGCAGTCAAAATACCTGGTTCTGGGTATATTTTTTAAACTTCGCATGGAATTGTTACAAATTTTCTTTGTCACCCTTGGCCCTTCGAAGGGGAAATTCAATTTTACCGAATAATTTTACTATAAAACTAGGCTTAGCGAAAAAAGGCGGGCAATACTCTATTGTTGTTTTTCACTTAGATAGACAATATTTGTATCCAATATATACTGTATTACCCATATCGTATCATAATTGCCAAGATTCAATCGTTATTAGTGCCTTAATAGCAAATCTACAGGAAATTTGTTTGCGTTTAATGTTTAGTTAAATAAAAAATTGTTATAATAACCTGTGTCCCAGTCACAATAGTTTGTTGAAAGTATATAATATAGCTTTAGATTTCATTCATTGTTCTGTTGTGTAAATATGTTTATAACTTGCGTTGTTTCGCTTTTGATATCTTGGAAACAATAAATGGAACTAGGGTGCCAAGTTTGAGATGCTGTGTGGAAGATGTTTTGGTGCAAGATTTGTATTGGCTTCAGTTTGTGACTGTTTTACTAAACAAGGCTGGTGCCAGTCAGCCCAAGCCCTAGGATACATCAATGCGCTGTAAAACACAGTGTGTGTGTTTTACAGCACCGTGGATACATTGAGTATGGGCCTTCCTCTGGGTCCAACCCCTTGTCAGGTGATGGCAAACCAGCCTTGATACTAAGCCTACTCTAGGCTAGCCTGTTGGTTTTCACATGTATTTGATGTAGGTAAATGATAAGTCTGAAAACTTACCGAGGCTTTAAAAATCATTTTATACATGAATTTTACATTTGATTCTCATCTTCTGGCCTATACTGTGTATACTAAATCTGATCAGGACAACTCATTGTGAATTAAAGTATAAGCCCTTTAATACGAATTGAACTTATTTAAAAACTAACTTATATTTATAAACTCTGCCTCATGTTGAAAAGTTTCCAAGAGTGCACAAAATGGCTTCATATATGTCAGATATAGTAGTGTACAACTTCCTGTAATAAGAAGCTGCAAATAGGAAGATAAAACAATGACTTTTTATACAGTTCCCAAACTGTTTGTTTTCCATTAGTTCGGTTTGGGAAGACATTACTGCTTAAGGCTAAATTAGATTATCTGACATTCTAGCATTATCCTAGGATATAAACATCTGGACCATGTTAGGTTGCTCAGGTTTCTTGTGCTTGAAGTTGTAGTTGTAGAGATGTGCATTTTACCCAAATGTCTACCAAAATTTATCTGCAAATGCTGAAGAGTATTAATTTTATTTTTAATTTACAGTTTCCCGGTTACAATTTCAGTTCTTTATTTTAGATGAAATCCCTGCTTATGCACCTTCCGTTGTGACACCTGTTACCACACTCACACAACACTTCTACCATCCTCGACCCATGATACCAGGATCAGCGCTGGCATTTCCAGTGAATATACAAGGCCAACCACTACTATTTCAATCTCCATATTATACGCCATTCCATTACTCCCCACTTATAAACAATGGTCCAATACCATTTCAAAAAGCAACATTTCCATACCATGAATCTGTTATACACTCAACAACATCTGAACCAGCAAGAGTTGATGATCAAGATGGCCCAAGTCCTGCTAAGAAACCAATGCCAGTTATTATAACCAAAGATGAGAATTCATCACCAACTGATTGCCCCATAACATCACATATAAATATGACAGGCTCCTTGGCAAGTAACACCACTACTTCAGGGGGTCACTTTAACTTTTCAGACGCCCCAATGGTTCTTATAAATCAACCAAAAGTTGAAGTGACAGACCAAAACTCTCAGGAACATACACCATGCTTAGCAATGACTTCAAGTCACACAAGACAAATGAATGTTGTAATGTCTCCAAGTTCATCACCACTAACACAGTCCAAAATGCACTCCCCGACATCTAATGAGTTTGTAAGCCCGAGTACATCAACCTCCAGCGAACCAAACGAGCAAAACAGCGATAATCAACCAACCGTTTGCGTGATTTGTGGGGATAAAGCAACAGGCAATCATTATGGGGTGACTAGTTGTGAAGGATGCAAGGGTTTTTTCAAACGAACTGTTCAAAACAAAAAGGTGTACACGTGTAGGAATTTATCGAAAGATTGTCCGATCGATAAAAGACACCGAAATCGTTGCCAGTTCTGTCGCTATCAGAAATGCCTTAATGCTGGTATGCTTAAGGAAGGTACGAAAATTATCTGGAATACATATCGGGAAAATTATTAGGAATTCTTTCAGAATTCTTGAACATGAATTGATTGGCATTGACATGACTAATTGCAATTAAAGACGCAAATGAAATTATCCTAATAATATAACTATAACTATAATTGTATATTTGCAGCTGTTCGCGAAGACAGAACGCCTGGTGGTAAACACAAGAATGCAAACTTGTTGAAAATCAAACTTCCTTCTTTGGAAGACAGTCCCAGTCGAATTCAGTCCTCCCACTGGTCCTCGCCGCTTATCGAAAAATTCTTACTGATCAGAAACATGGCAATCCCCCCGCTTAACAAAAACTCTGTCAGTGACGACGTGAAAATACAAACTATTAACTATGTCGTGCAACTTGCTGACTGGCAGGTGGAGGAAGTTTTGGGTTGGTTTGAGAAACTTGAATTTCTGGCCAACATCAACTTGGAGGATCGAAAAGTTTTGGTGTTGAATTCAATTATGGAGATCTTAGCATTCGGACTCGCGCGACGGTCAATGGATATCAATGGTAGTCTGTTATTGGGAGAAGGAGTGCTTTTAGACATGGAGACTGCAACAATAGCTGGCATTGAGGAAATTACGCAAAGAATCTTGCAACTATCGTCGAAGTTAAAAGAATTGAGACTGGTAGAAGAGGAATATGTGTGTTTGACGATCATTGTGTTGTTGAATCCAGGTGAGTGGATAAGGAATTCTAACTTTTCGATCCCCCCTCTCTCTTTCGAAACTGCTCCCCCATCTCGTTCGAAACTGCTCCCCCTTCTCGTTCGAAGCTGACCCCCCTCTTTTGTCTTTACCGCCGCCATCTGTCTTGACTACCGAGCCCAATGGTAACAAAATTTTTACATTTTTGTTGAAGACATCAGAGGTTTAAATAATCAAGAGCTTATCGAGAAACTACAAGATCAGGTACACACGAGCATGCAAGAGTTCATCACACATCGTTATCCAGGCCAACCTAATAGATTTGGTAACGTTTTATTACGTTTGCCTGAGCTGCGCTCGATCAGTACGAAAATTACGGAGCGTCTGTTCCTCTTAAGTGTTACACTTGGAAATGATTTAGGGATTAATAAGCGCCTGAACGACTTATTGTATATCTCGAAATAAAGGAATGGGAGGATTTGGTTGGAAACTATAGTCGCCCAAAAGATATATTTTTAAACGCTTCAAACACTTTGTCAAAAGGTCAATAACGGGCTTAAAATTGATCTAATCTGTGACGCAGGAGATTTCACTTTGAGAGTTTCAGATATATCATAGGCAGCATAAGATAGTATGACGTAACCGCATTGACCGGGCTGCCTATGGCTATGGACATATCATGTTATCTAGGGACAATGGTTTTTACCACTGTGGATAGTTTCTCTAATTCTCTTCACATCCGCGTCGTAGATTTGATTAATTTTGAGCCAACTAGTGTCCTCCATTTAACATCTTATTCCCTTCAGAATCAGTGCAAAGTATTGGGAGGCGGTTGTGTTCATATAGATTTGTCAAAATTCTTAAATACCTTTTAAAGGGAGAATATTTGAATATGTAGTTGAAAAATAATTGTCGTGTTTATAAAGTTTATATAGTGAATATAGAGTTATCTTGATTTCCATGGTATAAGACTTGTATATATATATATAAATATATAGTATGTATTGTAGTAAATTTAAAACATATAAAATATGAGAAATAAAGCATCTAATAGAACAATGCCAGTGGTTTCCTGACTTGTTGGTTATGTGACAACACTAAAGTAAAATCCACATGTGAAAGACTACTCCGTGAGCTAAGACAAGGGGGAGATTCTCGTTTTGTAAAAGTGGATATGCATTAGTTATGCATTAGTTCTTACCTGCCTAAAATCCGACTGCTGTTTTCAAAATGCAGGCAACAAACAGGCTTGCAACTGTGTGGCACTGTGGCTTATCTTTATCTGGTCTTCCCTACTTCTCGTATTTTTCGCCCAAAGTGACATTAGTTATGATGCCTCCGTTTTTAGAGCCCTAACTCAGTGGTAAGGGATTAAAAGACTACGCTGGGTGAAGATTTCGGTGTATAAATAAAGACGCGTAACACCTGGGACACGAGCAATATTAAAAAAAACTGGGCGGAAAGGGAGTGCCCTTGTTGTTTCTACGCATGAGCTTTCGACTTCCAACTCTCGCTTTATCGTACCACGCGTCTGTCCACGCCTTCGTTTACGAATTTACATATTCGCGTGAACAGATAAAAAGTAGCAAGCGTTCTAATTTTTTGCGGCGAATTTTTTCGCAAACCAATCACAACCAGATTTCAGATATCGCGTCGCGCGAATAAACTCGCCTAGTTGAAACACGTATTTTATACATAGCGCCCTGATTTACGCGTGCATGTATCACAATTATCATGCACCATGTATGAAACAAATATGCGTATTCTAAATACCCAATGCCGTTCATCACACTGATACTTATTAAATATTACTTTTTCTAACTCCTGTCAGCCGCCAAAGTTCCCCCCCACTCGGCATGTTGTAAAACCCGGACTAGACTGTACGGGAAAACGCGAACTTATATAGAGTACGGACTTCAAAGTTGAATAGCCGACTTGTAGATAACGGTCCGTGTTTCATAAAACACGGACCATTAAAACGCGATCGGCGGTTATAAGCCAAGTACAACCAGTACAACACACGGGATACAAGCGTTTATATCTGAATACTCTCTCAGTAAAGCCCCCTATGTTTTGCGGTTTTGCCAGTTTCCCTGGGAACGAGGTTGGTTCACGGGTTTGCAATCTCGTTCCTTGGTTTTCAAATTTTTGCTACACACATGTAAATTTTTATAGGGTTATAACTGCATCTATAATTAATGTTTAGTCTTGTGAATTTTGTTTCCTGGTTAAGCGAAGTGCTTAGCTCAAATCTGCAAGAAAATGAAGTGGATAATATCACAGAATCTGTTGAGATCACAGGAGGTCTGTATGACAGTATGAATAATTATAAGAGAATGATTAGGTCAAAAAATGATTTGGTCCATTATATAGTACATAAGTAGAATGTCCTGAAAGCAGAGAGAGGCTTACAGTCCATTTTAAAATTTAGTGAAATTCCATCCCCAATTGGCAAAATTACATGTATTCCTAGTTTTACTTTCTTACCATGCAGTTTGCGAAGATGTGTTTGTACCAAACTCTTTCTGAACTAGTCCTGTCACTGGATATGAAAGAATTGAGACATGCATTACTGATTAGATGCTGGCCTTTCATCTGAATATCAAATCTGAGTCACTTTCTGTATTAAATTTCCAAAAATATGGGAAGAGTAAATTTAATACATGTGCATGGCTTCAAAAGAAGCCATTATACTGTTGTGCTATGAGTGAAACAACAAGGAATTGCTAGAAATAGTCAGCATGTTTGCTGGTTGAAAATTTTGAAAAGGACTTGCAATAACCTTAACCCTATCCCATTTCATTTAATGAACTGTAATCCATCCGCAAGTCGGCACTTCTGATACATTATTTCATATTCATTTATTAGAAACCTCTCCATTAGCTGAAAACCAAATGATTGAACATGCACTAACAGCTGGTATGGTTGATTCAAATTATGAACAAGAACAATACTGGAATGACCCATCTTTGGGCAATGATCTTGTACTTGACTGTTTACGAACATCAGATTCTGAGGACTGGGATGCAGAAATTGATTCTATGTCATCAGAAGCAATGTCATGCCCCCCCAGTGAATGTAGTCAACAGAATTTTGGCCATGATCCAAAAACAAAGCTATCAGATATGAATGGTGCTCTTTCTCAAGATTTAAGAGAATTCCATTTACATGATTCAGATTCTGAAAAAACACAATATTTTGATGGTGAATGTTTCCCAAAGGCATCTACCCAAAAGGAGTTAAATGTACATTCAAGTAATGAGACTTCTTTGTCTGTTCAAAACTGCCATTATAAAGAACACAAAAAAACTATAGCATGTAACTTTTATGCAACAAAATCTAACCCACATTCTGAACATAAAGTTAATCTTAAGGTTAATCCTCATCATCGCTCATATGATTCGAGTATAGTCAGGTGTGATGAAGGTTTACCAAACCAACCACAAATTGCTGAACCTCAAAATGAGAATTCCAAACAACAATTTGTGAAAGACATTCTAACCAACTTCCAAGATTCTATTCCACATGATATTACCAATGACTCGTCATTTTCAAATTCTAACCAAACATTCAATTATGAAAATATGTTTCATTGGGACTTTATGGAAAAGCTAACCCATCTTGAAGCTGCCTTTACGCAAGAAGAAAAACCAACATTTTTGGACACACTTAAACAAACATTGGACTGTACACCCCCTTATTCATTCCTGTTATATCTCATTGAAAACTATTGTTCCAATGTGCTTGAGGGAAAGAAGTCTTTGGCTCATGTTGTTTTGACAGAGTTTGATAAGTGGCAGAGTGAGGGATTGTTTAACAACATATCTCCTGTGGAGATGGAAAAAGATCGAGCCCTGTGGATTGTTACGACTCGCAAGCTATATTTATTTGACTTGTGTAGTAAAGTTTTCAAGCTTGATAGCAAGGGAAATGAGTATCTTCAAAGACATGTTTATTATCTTCTGCAGAGTAGAAAAAAGTATAAAGAGGTCAGTCGTAATTTTTTAAATGAGATAACTACCCTTATTTACTTGACACCAGTAAAGACTTCTCCATTGTTACTAAATGGTTTTGAGGTAACTCAAAACTTATATCTTTTTATGCATTAAATTGTCTTTTTACACATTAAAAACGACTTTGTTTTTAAGGATACTAGTTTCGATTTAACCATCTTCAGTCCACTTTACAAAGATAAAAAAAGCAATGGTAGTTTTTTCTTTACTTTTGTAAAGTGGACTGGAGATGATTAAATTGAAACTAGTATCCACAAAAACAAAGCCGTTTTTAATAGATAAAAAGACAAGTTAAGACAATTTAGTAACAACACCCTAATTTTATAGCGAATAATACGCAAGCAATGATTTTACCATCTCTTATAGGCTGTCACGATTGCACGGAAACTCAACTTACAACCTTGTTTTCAACCTATGGAGGTGTAGTGTCTTGTGATCTTATCAATTTTGATTTCAGTGCACATTACTGGACAATTTCTAACTCATTTTTCTTTTATAAAATTGGCAGATATTGTTCCCACTCGTGATACTAAACAAAGTTCAGCTGGCTGAAAGGTTCGATTCTTTTATATATTTGGTGCCTGGTTCCTAAACAAACCCGTTTTATAAATGATTCTTATATCTTACGTATTCCCGAGCGATGGCTTCTAGGATAGCATCGAACTTATTTTCCTCGTGCAGCCCGTTCTTGACACATAAACTCGTCAAGATATCCAAACAAAGGGAAGTCGTAATCTAGCTGCGTCCCAAAAATTTGTTGATGAAATACACGACCCCAATGGGAATCGTTAAGATAACATGATCCCGTTTTTCGATCGCTTTTAAAGTCGTAGCAGTCATTTTGTTTGTCCCGGGTAGTATTTAGTAAGAACGATTCTTTGTTCATTTGATGCAAGCATATAGACCTTTCTCATAATGACGTCAAACGCAGAAAATCTTATAGTTATGTTACACGAAGTTAGATTGGCTTGGTAGTTTTGCGAGACCAATAAAACTTTCCGGCAGAATCAGTGGTATCAGCATGGATAGTTAAAAGACTTTATTATGATTTTGTTATCCATGGTATCAGTACCGCGCAATTTGGTATCGATACCCCCAAAAATCCCTGGTATCGAAGTTGTACATCCCAACTGCTAAATAAACATGCGTATATATATCTCGACATATTTCGTTATATTTCGTACACATCTTTACGACTTTAGCTATATCGCAAATTGTCCTTGGCAGCAACGAGCATTCGTTAGTATGTTAGACAAACTTTGTGTGATGTCAGATGAGCAACTGGACGATCTTACCAGGTAAGCAATACTTTGATACGTCAACAGCTCCCCTTTAGCTGCAAAAATATTTCGGAAGTTCGACTGACATATTTAACATTCAGTATCTTTTTAGTGAAATCATTCCATCCAAACCCTCCAGTAACAAGGTTACGCAAGCTTCTTTGACGAAACTAGGCGAACGAATTGTCAAGAAATTCACACTTAATCCCGGTACTCATAAAGTAAAAATCGATGATATATCCTGTTTGCATGGTAGACACTATTTTGGTTCTGTACTGCGTTATATATAATTAGGTTTCATGCATTCTTTCATTTTTCAGAGGATTTTCCAGCATTGTTTAAAGCCAAGAACGTGAAGGGTTTGTGTTATTTGCTTCATCAGCGACAGAAAGATGTACGTTTATTGGTGAAGAAATCTTTACTATATAGCTACTACTCGTCTGTTTTTGCTTGATTTTTGAGTATTTGATTTATTTATTTTATAGAAAGGAGGATCAAGTAAAAAGTGGGATGACCTGATTGAGGTAACGTCCACAGACAGGCCTAAAATTTATGCCGTATTTTTGCAAGAAAAAGAAATTGTGCATCATAGATGAACTTAATGCCCTCAGTTTATCATAAGCGACAAGAAAGAGTACACATCTTTCTCCACTGCTTATCTTTCCAATACGTTGTCTTTGCTAGTTCTTGACTTAAACCATGTTTTTGAATGTTCTTCCGGCCTTTCCTAGCTGTAAACAAACCCTGGATAATTGTTAATACGATGTTGGCTTCGCTTGTTTCATTTTTAGCGATGTGTTGGAAGCAATAGTTCGTTACAACAAAGTCTTGTCGAATTACTCACTGAGTTTGGAGACCAAGAAGAGGCTAAAAGATGGGAAAGATATTATCAACTTTCCTCCATCCAGGACTGCTATCAAACTTCTGAAAAGTAGGAATAAACTCGCATTTATCGTTTACCAAATAATGAGATTCTGCAGCATGTCACATATCACCTTGGGGCTCTTTCACGTACTGCAAGCTCGCTTCAAGCATAAGTTGCCGCTGTAGCGTTTAACCAGGGTTAGATTACCTCCCTTTGATCAACTGTGGTCACATTCAACATCGTTCGTTTTATGAATAATATATTTCCAGGGCTGAGTCAAAGCAGGAGGATTGGGAAGACGAAATTAAGGTGAATGAGGAAGAGTGTTCCCGTTATAGTTCAACTGTGCAACTTGGCAATGAACCGGATTTACTTGAGAAATCACTGAGCCAGCAATATCGTCCTAGTGTGAAGTATCTCTCGCTTGATATTTCGATGGACGATATATATTTTGTCGATGATATTGAATCACTGCGTTCCTGTCAGAGAGCTGTTTCTAAGGTATAGTAATTTTACCGCTACAATTAAAAGTTTGTTTATCTTGTAAATCTGCAGCATTATGATTTACGAGTAATTTGCTGAGCTTGTGATCTTTTATAGCCAGGAGTCACGATTGGATTTGATGCAGAATGGAAACCACAAATGTGTCAGGCTGGCTTAGCACAGAGGTGTATTTTCGTTTATTTGTTCAATCAATAACTGCATGAACTCTCCGACGTATAGACGTCTGTCTTGAAAATCCGACCGAGAAGCGAAGAAACATAATTTTGCATGTACACACACTGTAATGATCGCTGTGTCACCCGCACCTCACGATTCAAACTTTTTTCTTTGCCATGTTCCATTGCAGATTATCCATTGTTCAACTATCGCTACGAGACAGGGTGTTTATTTTGGACGTTATCGCGCTTGCAGAACATGTACCAGAGAGTTTGCTATTGGCTTTTGGAAATGCTGTTTTTTCAAACGAAAACGTATTAAAACTAGGTGAATAAAACAACCAAGTGATCTTGCGCTCATTTTTTAGTCAATCAGCGTTCTGAAGGGTTGTCGAAATAGAAATCCATTCTAACGATCATATCTTTTGTGTTTCCTTATGGAACTGGTCGAAAATCTGTGATTATGTTTAATCATGAAAACTATAGCTCTAGCTGGCGTAAATTTAAAACAGAAATAAAGTGTATTTCAAAAGATATTAAGCTTTTTCAACCGAGAAATGGATTTTGATTTCACAACTAGTCCCAGTTCTTTCCCGCCATTTCAAATCACCTGATTTTTCCTAGGATATGGTGTTGAATCAGATTTCAAAGCACTGGTAACAACGATACCAGTTCTTGAAAAGTCCATTAAAAAGATGAAGCGTTTTGTCGATTTGTGCACGTTGAGTCAACAGGCAAGGATATAGTTATTGGTATTTAATAGTTTTTATATTGAACTGGCAACGGAAAATAATATATTTTATCTTAACAAACCGTAAAAAACAATCAATTCCAAAATAAATTAATAATGCTGAACGTGAATATATGAATATTTGCCCCATCTCTCCCCCCCTAAAGGCACGTTTACACTTGCAATTTTTGCTGCGATTTTATGTGCGATTTTCTTCTTTTGATAGATGTGAACGAGTGATTTAGTTACTGATGTTCAAATAAGAGCTCTTATACCCCAGAGCATCCGTCACTAATTACTCGTTCACATCTATCAAAAAAAGAAAATCGCAGCAAAATTGCAGATGTAAACGGGCCTTAACGATCATCAACGATCATGCTATGGAACCCTTATTTTAAACCGCATTATTGTACCAATGTTTAGCTGCTTGAAATGCCAGCCATCAAGAAAAGAGTTGAGTCAACCACACAGTCTCTTACAAGTTTTGGTCATTTAAGTGAAAAGGGTTTAAGCTTGTTAGTACAGCAGTGTCTAGGGTTACCTTTGGATAAAACATATCAACTATCCGATTGGGAACAAAGACCATTGTTAACAAAACAAGTCGAATATGCAGGTATTCATGTTAAAGTAGCTCTAATAGTTTTGACGCATTTCTATTCACAATTTAAACTGTTTTCTCTCACGTCATATTTCTCTCAAAGCTCTTGATGCTCGGTGCCTCATCGACGTGTTTGATGTGCTGAAGAAATGGATGCGTGATGAGAATATTGTGGTTAATTTAGACGAATGCAATCCTAGACTTCCATGGTTGTTCCCAAAGAGAAGCAGGTAATCCCCGCGTGGTTTTGACATCCCGGGTTGTTGGGTTGTTGCTTGGTTCATGGAATTTCCTTGTCTTGTTGAAGTTTTTCTTAGGGTTCGTTTACACTTGCAATTTTTGCTGCGAATTTATGTCCGATATTCTTCTTTTGATAGATGCGAACGAGTGAATTAGTTACTGATTTTCAAATAAGAGCTCTTGTACATCAGAGCATTCGTAACGAATTACGCATTCACATCTATCAAAAGAGGAAAATCGCAGCAAAAATCGCAAGGGTAAACGGGCCTTTAAGTTGCATGCGAGAAGATCATCATTGTCCACCTTTACCAAACATGACAGATTTTCACCGTGAACGCCGAACAAACCAACTTTGTGTTTTCATTTCAGGCGAAAACAGGGGAAAATTGTGAAGCACCCAAAACCAGGAACGTCTTCCGTTGAACTAGTAATATCTTTATTCGTTTTATATCATTTGATTTGCGTATCCTAATTTATCAGAATTTGGTTTAAAGTTTCGTTTACCTTTCTATTATTTCTCAGAATGTCTTGCTTTAAATTCGTGAATTATGAGCCAATCACATTTCGGCATAACTGTATCGAGTACAAACACTAAGAGCTGTCATGCGTTATTCATATTTATTCTTCAAATAATTTTCCTCCGTGTCTTCAAGGAGCGATTAAATGAACCAGCGATGAAAGGCTGTCCGAAATCCCCTCGCGGGTTTCGTGTTGTTGTAGACAACATGTTGCAAGGGTTAGGACGGTATTTAAGATGTTGTGGTGTTGATGTTATCATGTTGGCCAATCAGGATGATCACGATAAGGCAGCAAAGGTAAATGAAAGATAGATGTGTATTGAGTAAATTATCCATAGATACCTCAGTCAGTCCCTTAATGCCATGCCGTTCCGGGATAGATTGAATCTTAGGGCAACATACGATACGTTTGAAATAAATATGATACGGAATGCGTTTTACTTTTCCATTTCCACTTATTCATTTTCGTATTGTCACATTATTGCTTTTAACTACTATTTCATAGCTGCTCCAACAAAACGACTTTTTAGTTAAACGCACAACATTAGTTGTAAATTAGTTGTGCCTAAAGCCTTAATTATACATCGCCATGCAACATCCAAGGTCTAGGACTTTAACAATGTTTGGTTTTTAATTTTGTTCTTTAGATTGCAAGACGTGATAACCGAGTCATATTAACAACGGGAACACCTTATTATACTGTAAGTTCGCCGTGTTTAGTTGAAGGTGTGATGTCCTGTGATCCGACTTTAATCCCCAGTTAATGCTCGCCTTTTGCATGATTGAAAGTTACCTAATTTTTTGTGTCAAATTAAAAGACATATTTCACGTTTTTTCTTTTTAGCTACGTTCCCAGGTCCCACTCGGCCATTGCATGTGTGTTCCCGCTGGCGGAGCTAAAGAGCAGGTTTTAGCCGTTTTCAAACACTTCAACATTCAAGTGAACGCTAGTGATATATTCAGTAGATGCCAGGTATGAGAAGAGCGTGCATGCATGTTTGTTTCAAAACTTTGATTTACAACTGCATTTCATTCGTTAACATCAATCAAAAGACGAAAGCCATGCAATGCAGGAATCGTCCTATAGTCATATTCTTCTTGAAAAAAAGGTTTCTTATAGGACTAGACTATATTAACTTAAGATCGATTCATCTTTTTAAAATTAGTATAACTTTACCCACCTAGTGTAAAAATTACTTACCATTAGTTTTCTTATGTTTGCAGGTTTGCAATGGTAATGAATATATTAAGGTAGGATCGGTGCTAATGAGACAAGCCTATATAAACTACTATGATTCGAGTCACGAAGGACGGAGAGACAATGTGGAAAACAATAAACCTTCATCCCACCAGGCTCTGCCCTCTCCGTTAGATGTAGAAACATTAACTCTTTGTAGTGGCGTAAAACTAAAAATCGAGGCACTACCCGAAGCAATGTTGGATAAAATTGAACTATTCTACTGCTGTGCTGCTTGCGGGAAAATCTTCTGGGAGGGCGGGCACTTCTCTCGTATATGCGCACAGTTCTCCGATGTTCTAAACAATCCCGGCACTATGTAAATGTAAGGCGTTGAGACGATATGTCGTAACCTTAGACCATTTTTATCCAGTTAATTATTATGCAAGTTGAAGTTTGTAAAATTACCTGCTTTTGAAAGCCGTGGCTATCTTTTCCCGCCATTTTTGAATTGAGTGTTTGTCGGGTATTAATAGAACTATGTAAGTCGGATGATAACATAATTAATCTGATAAACATGCGTGATTAGATCTTCTTTATTCATTGTTACTTTAAAGTGGTGTGTACCTTTAGGGGTAACTGGTTCCTTTGTAGTTCGTCTAGTTATAAACTATCGTGTTATGTACGAGTGCGAACAAAAAGTCCTATCTATCAGGATGCTTCCTCAACTCAGTATCCAAAGGGGGCCTAAACATTCGGTTTAGTTCAATCATCGGACATCTGTGATTTCTGGCACTTTGTATTTAATTATTCAGTTTCTTGAATCAATTTTAACATGCTATTTTATATTCGTTACATAAATATATACGTACACAGGGTCCTCATGGTCCTGGGTCCTCATAGTCCTAGGTTCCTGTGATCCTACGTACACGGGGCCCTCATGGTCCTGGGTCCTACTTTTCCGGCATGCCTGAGCGTTCCGCGTTGATAGGCCCTGTTGTTATTCCCTGTAATTTGTCGTAATTACCAAACATTCTTTCACGCAAACCCTAATATTTACAAGTGCAGACGCGGACATAGTTACAAGGAATTACAACCGATCAATCGTGAATATAACCAATGAAAATCACTTTGTGCGCATTTGTACAAATACAAGATACTACAAAATTATTTAAATATACTAATTCAATCATTTGTTAGTTTTGGAAATATTAGTATAATTGAAACATTTTTTTAGATCTGGAATTTCGTTAAACTATTGAGTATAAAACTTTTTAAGTATAATAATGTATGACCTATAAAGTGATTAAAATTTTTGGTTAACTGTATTTACAAAATTACAAAATTCAAATTATGCATTTATTACTTGAATATCCGTAATGGATAATTTATTGCAATGACAGTATTTTCTTCGTAAGACTGTCACAGTCTACGTTGTTGGGTCGGTTGAACGGAAACTGGATAGCCTGAAATATGACTTTTAAAAGCAATAAAATTACAGATTTGGAGTTAACAGGTATTTAAAGAGAACCCCCCAATTCAGGAATATCATTAAGGTTTAACCAAGGTTTATACCAAACCACGGAAAATTTCAGGGCATGCATTTGAAAGAAAACACCATCTGGCGGATAGCTCCATCCAGCTTTCATACAACAGGCTCCTGGTCCTGCACTTCACATTAAGTACATTATGAGCAGTTTTCGTTTTCGGTTTTCACAGTTTCACAATTTTGTTGCGGTTTTCTTCCAAAATTTTGATGATCTCTTCTTTGCTATTCTCAATATCTTTTAAAATGGCAAATTTTCTGTTTCTCAGCGATTCTTGGGTTTGGAAGTACCGACGTACCAAACTGTTAATAATCTTTTTTCGCTAGAATTTAATTTAAACGTGTGTGTTCAGAATTAAAGTGATCCAGTTATCTGCTTTTTTTGCCAAAGGTTCAGGAGGGACCGATATATTGTGTTTATGTTATACGCATGCACTACACGAGGTATATTTAAGAGGCGCATTACCAGGGGTAGCCTGCTCGCAGACTGAATTAGGGGGCCGGAAATTAAATTTCATTAATTGAATTTTCCCCGTTTAATTTCCGGCCCCCTAATTCAGTCTGCGAGCAGGCTATACCAGGGGAGGGTGAGTTGGGAATAATGACATCGCTGAAAAGTGAAATCAAAATTTTTTTGCAAATATTGACATCTGAAAAGATATATTTAGGTGTTTCATAATTTTAGTGTACCATGCATATTCTTACAAGTGTGTCAGGTAAGCCATCCTATACCCATTCTCATATGCAGTCTACTGTAATACAACTAAAACTATAACTGGGGGAGGGAAATACACTTTAGAATACACACAATTTGAATGCATTTTCCCAATTTTTAACTCAATTCTCTAAAAGTATGTAAACAAATAAAAGGGTTTTCATAGTTTGAATATATGTATCTCATAGAAACAGATTATTAATAAACTTTAATATAGCGAGTAATACCTCGGTCTGGTCTGTTTTACAATCAGTCTCATCTGTTCCACAACTGCATATTACGGGCTGAATAGAGAAAGAACATGGCTGCATTAAGGATTTTGAGGAATCAATGGCACAGACTAATTTTAGTAGTTTGGGCCTTGCAGTATGTCTGTATTAAAGAAAGTTGTTTATAAAGTTTATGGCGACTAAATAAAATTGGAATTGGGGAACGTTCGTATTAGAATTAAACATTTTGATCAGACCACAGTTTTTAATTAATTTAATGCGCCATTAAAACAGCACTCGCATGGTGCATTAATTATATGTATATTGGTGCACAGAATATACAGTACATGATTTCTTGATAGCATGAAATTTGTTTCTCGTCTCGAAGAGTACATTTATTCTTTCCAAAAAAAATTCCATACTTCCGCACGCGTTTCTCTATTTATTCGTTGCTTGAAAATCTTTTTTAACAAAACTGTCATGATATCGTGTGGCAACAATGGTGGCATAGTATATGATGCATGGCCGGTAACGCACCTGTTTTCTAAAAAAGCGATAAATAGCACGTGGGTTGGGTATGAGGTTGTAAGGTGATGGCAAAGTGCTTCCTTTTTCCACGAATTCTAACCAGAGTTGAGTTCGACTAAATTTCCATTGAATATCTTCATCTTGCTAAAGAATAGAATATTATAATTTTAACAATCCAGTTCCCTTTATGCCTGGCTTTCTCTAGTGTCGCTCAGTCGGTTGATTGAAAACAGTGTAACCTGAACTAGAACTATTCAGTAGCAATTAAATTCCTGTTGTAATATTGGATAGATAAGACTCCCCTTTTCATGTTGAAAATGTTGCCTTACCGAGATATATTCATAAGAATGGGTCATCATCGCAATGAGCATGTTCAATGCGACCATGACAGCACAAATGGAGTAGAATGCAAACAAGATTTTCCCGGTTTGTGCACTTATTTCAAACGTATGATCTTTCGTCTCAAAATCCTCAAGATCTATCTTGTCGAAAAGAGCCCAAAACATACTTGATGTTGATTTTGCAAATCTAAAATTAAAGTGATTGTCTAAGTTTAGGTGAATTTGAGGTTCATCTCTCCTCGTCAAACTGATCCCATTTTGGCTGGAATAAAACACCACTACTCACGTGGAAAACGGATGATTAGTTTCTGCCAACATACTATCGTTCCTGCCTCTATTTTGGGCAATCTCTGCCTGAATACTGTTGTAGTATGAGTAAAGATTGCGTACTCCAATGACGAATGCCACAAAAATAGCAGCAAAAAATAGGAGGAATTTTAAGACATCTTGAAGCATCCGATAGAGCGAGAGTTGCAATGGACCAAGAACAGAGTTGACCTAAAATCGTGTTTGAAAAGAGCTGAGGAAATTAGAATACGTCGTGTTTTCACAGCATATTTTTCAAGAATAGGATATATGGATATATGGAAAACATTTCGAAAAGGGTTTTGGCCCTAAGTATGAGCTACCCCGGGACTGTCGCACACATTTATCATACGTGCTGAAGGAAAGTGAAGAATTTGTGCAAACATCCCTCTCAAAATTTCTAGAGGTTTTATCATTGTAGCCATCCCTCATTGAAGATAAAATAAAATAAATGATAAAATTGTGCAAATTAATACCGAAATGTGAGTTGCGTACCTGGCAAAGATCGACCAAATGAAAAACGCTGATGACGATGGCTAACGAGAAAAAACTGTTGCCTAGCAACAGAAGTTGATAACCCTGTTTGTTCTGAACCAGTTTATTGAGGGAGTAGTCATATACTGACCAGCCTCCTGTGATAGCATATCCAATTAACCAGAGCAAGGCCGCGAACACAAAAAATAATAGCATTATACTTGTTACGATGTTCCACCATTTTAAGAAATAGTTATACCACGGCCTGTGATTTATCATTTCGTTGAATTCTTGAAAAATCATACCGAAGACAAAAACGAATATGAGGTATTCTAAAAAGGAAAGTTTCATAAGGAAAGTATGATACATTCAAGTAAAAAAATCAGTGTGGACAATATGATATATAAGAATTATTAGGACGATAAATCGTACAAATGAAGAATGTATAAAACGAGATCAGAATACAAATCATCAGACGATGTATTTGGGGGGTTCACAAAATTAATGAAGCAATTGATAAGGTCAAGTTGATGGTAATATGAGGGTATAACAATGTATAGAGTGGAAAATATGTCAAAGATAGTGAGGAAATCTTTGTACCCAGAGAGTTTCGTAAGGAGTTGTCATGGAAACGTGCCTTGCAATGGAAGTTAGGAACGAACTCAGATGTGTGAAAAATTAATGAGGCTAAACCGGCGCGAGCCTGATACATTGTGAGACTGAATATATTCTTTACACTATGCTTTGGCCTTCAGAATAGCAAAACAGTGAGTTAGTAGTTATTGTGGGTTGGGGATCGCACAAAATATCAGCGTTATATAGGAATACATGGCATTAAATATGTTATCAAAAAATGAAAAGATTCGGGAAAATCAAATACAGCACTGAAAAAGTGTGTTCTAATCAGAAATAGAACACAGATAATCGGTGAAAAGAAGATTGGTCGCAGAGAGGCGCTGGAAGCAGTTCAAAATCAAAAACAGCACTGCGGGGACAGAGTTTACGAAAAGGGCGCATTCATTTTATCTTAGCAAACACAAGAAGACTAGACTTACAAGTAAATCCGGTTTTGCAGATCTGCAGATTCACGGGAGAAGAGGTTTTAAGTTAAGCTGGAAACTAAGATAAAACGTTGGTAGTAAAGTGCGCATGACTGCTCCCATTGGCCCCTGTGAGGAAGAGGGCAGTGGGGGCAGCTGTTCCTGTGGTTCCGGCGCCCCTGCACACAAATAGACAGAAAAAAGTGGAGGGTGGAATCATGTATCGAAGAAGCTTATTCCTGGCAATTATGTCCAAGATCGGGTATTTTTATATTGCCGTGTTCTCACCTATGCCTGTTAGACTGTGGTTATCTCTGAGGGCTGACGCAGCAAGCAACACCAAAAATACCAGGAATTGCGAAATATGGCTGACAAACTTCATGAATGGAGTTGACATGATTTGTAATTTTTTATGTCGTGGAAACAAGACGTACAGAACAGCCAATGCGGGAAATAGCATAGTATAGAGAATAAAAAGCAGACTCTTGCGGACGAAATATCCAGTGAAGATCCATTTTGGAACACCAGAGTAAACTACCATGTTTATGAGTTGCTGAGTGTGTGGATGTGCTACAAACTAAAAGGAAAAACGTATTTTATTTATTTAGGGTTTCAAAAGAAATAGGCCACCGTAAAGCCTATTGATACGTTTTTACGATTTAGAATGTTCTATATACTTAGGATGCGAATATGTATAATCGCTATTCGGATTCAGCTACACGAGTAAAATATGTACAAAACAGGACCTCGGACAACCTAGTTGATTGCGTCACTAAGTTTTATTGCTTATCGTGACGTCACGGCTGGATGCTATGTCGTTTTGAGATTTTTGTGGGGCATTTGTCTCGCTTTCCAGTTTTTGCGCTTGCTTCACCTTCAGGATTTCGTTTCGCGTTTGGTTTCATTGACTACCTCCGGCTTACTACTCACCTCCTCATGGTTACTCTCAATAGCTTTTCTAAGTTTCTTTACCACACTCGAACGACTGTTCTTATCCACTTTCTTGCTAGAACTCAAGTTAAACTTTGTTTCATCGATATCCAAGAGGGCAGTGATTTCCTTCATGCTTCGACAGCCGTTGTATAAATCGGTGGCGAAAGTTTTGCACCTTTCCGAAAGTTTAAGATATTCCTTTTTTAATTCTAATTCATCCATCGCTTGTTTTTCTACCTCTTTGTTTAAATCAAAAGCTTGGGTTAACGGGTCATCTTCGGTGCCCTTCTCATCATCCAAATAACTTGAAAAACAAATCACTAGCGTTAGTCTAAGGGCTAGTTTCCTATCAGGAAAATTCTCCCGAGGTCTGGATTGCCCATAAAAGACTTTTTGTCTGTGTGTTCTCGACCAGAACTAATTTTAGCACAAAACAAGCTATCCTGCCTGTTCCGGTCTTGCCCGTGGCCATGGTTATAATTTTCTGACTCATTATATTCGCTGAATACTCTTATCTTAATAGCTCATATTTGTTCAAAGTATTACCCTGTCTACTAAATCCCCCAAATATTAAAAATCGGATATGATCCAACACATGGTTAACATGACCAAACACATCTTGGAGAAATAAATTATGATACATCATCTTGAAATGAATGAATGATGTTGACTGTTGCGTTTTATACGCGAATGGCACTCGGTTGAACTGGTTTCTTTGGTTTGGTCTGAACAGGAAACCAGGACATGATACATTTTCATGAATTTTCATTAGATGTAACATACCTTAAACACATATAAACAGGGCTTGTAAGCCCCCTGTAGCGATGTATTGCGATTTGCGATCGAAGCATATCTGATTTCTCTTCACACTTTTCCTTCTTACATTCTTTAGAAGAGTTCTTACAAACGTGTGGTCTTTCAATAAGGTAGTCATTTTGTACCAGAAAATGCACTATCTCATAGTGACCCAATTGGGCCGCGAGGATAGTTGGCGTGATGTAGCAATCTTCTGAAATTCCAATATTTGTTGGTCTGTTTGATAGCAACACTTTTACACATTCTAAATCATTCTCAAGTACGCATTGGAGCAGAGCGATTCTTAAATCGGCTCCTTTATCCAAGAGTTCCTCCATTATATCAAACTTTTTATTCTCTGCCGCAATCTGCAGTACAGTATCGCCATCTGAATTTATTGCGTTTACGTTCACTTCATTATTAAGTTTCGTTTTGACCAATTCGAGGTCGCCACTTTCAACGGCGGAGAACAATTCGTTCTCAGCTTCATTTAAAAATATGCCTGATTGACTTGTGGTATTTTGATTTGAGTTTTTGCCGTCCACGAAAAGCTCTCGTAATTCAATAATTTCGGTTTTAACTTCGGGAGGTTCACAGTAAGCCATCTCTGCCTCTCGACTTGTCAAATAAAAATAATTTTGTTAAATACACATTTAACATTTATGTATGCAACATTTGTATACATTTTATGCATACATTGAATTTCAAATTAAATTGTAAAAAATTATAGCCTTATATAGGGATTAAGTAAAGATATCGGTGTTGAAGGCTTTTAGTTTTGATTTATAATCGTCATCTTCATAGACTGAGGATAATTTTTCTCATCCTGGTTTCACACAGAAATGATTTAAAAATTATATTGATGAATACACTGGAATATGAAGACGCTGTCGGACGCTTTAATCTGTGACTGTGACTTTGTTGTTAGTTATTGAACTTCCGGGAGAATATAATTCTATTAAGGCTCTTTAACTTCCAGTTTTGAGAATTATCACTAGTTTAAATTTATTTTCCACTCGCCGGATTTCTTCGAAGAACACCGAGTTCTGAGTACTTGATATCAATCAAAAATTGTTTAGGTAAGGTATCAGGGACGTGGCAGGTTGTTTAATTTTGGGAGAGAACAGCTGGAAGCAGATAACATTTCTTGAACAGATTAAAGCTTTTGACGGCATAAACCACGACATCATAAAGAGCGGTGAATTCGTTCAGGAGCAACGTCGTATCCAGGGTAGTCTCCCCGTGTTTTAATTTTTCCAACTTTCCAGAGTGTGAATATGAGTGTGAACACGGAGGAAGGGCCCTGGATACGAGGTTGGCTCAATGATTGGCTCAAGAGCAGGAGCTATTAGAATGGAAGACAGTTAATGCGTATTGGTTCGACCTTTTAAATAACGTATATTCATTTTGTACCTCAGGGGTCTAACTTTGACCTCTTACTCTTTAATAAACTGAGATAACTAATAAAATTTGTATTTATGTATGTATGCATGTATGTATTACTACAGGTGGTTTGCAGGTCAAGGACCCACATGCTGGATCATTAAGTATTATCTAGCTCAGTTTTCAAACATATGGTAGTCAACAAATTTTGTATTCATTTTAAAAACAGAAACTACACAATATTACACATACATTTATCAATGTTCAAAACAACAATGCTACAACATAAACATGTCTGATTTATCATTATCCATGATATTAAGTCTGCATTTCACTTTATATCTCCGGACTATACACATGCAAGTCTGAGTTGAGTGAAGAACTCTTTGCACTTGACCTTTGCATAATCATCAGCTTGCTATTGACTACAACCTCTCTTGCACTTTCCAGACTTCAGGCCTCAGAGAATGTACACAAGTATATACTGTATAGAACATGTCAGTTTATCTCACAACCATTTTAAAGCAATCTAAATGCTAAGTCTTGGTCTGGGTGGCTTCTTTTCGTGTAGCATCTTGCAATAATTGTGTGTCAACTTCCTCAGCAGGTAGCTGAACATACCGAATGACTGAGCCTCGAATGAAGCAGTTCTTTACTGAAAGCTAAAAAAGGAAGATAGCTTAAATTAGCTTACTAGATATAGGTTGCTTGGTCATTTGTGGGAAATATAATTTTTAACTGGCAGAGTTGTGGTTATGATTGAGAATGATATTTTGGACATTTGTAAAGAAACACCCAAACAGCATGGCCTGCATGGGGTTCAGGTATCTCTGTTAATACTCACCATATGTGGGTATTTTTCTGGATCCGTGACACTGATATCCGTTAGTTTAATGTTTAGGAACTAATGGATAAAGAGAATGCGATCATGCATATTAAAGAACTCGTGTGGTGCAATTATATTTTTCATGAAAGAAGCTCAAACTAATATCAAATTAGCACTTTTAGGGGGAGATTTATGAGAGAATTTAATAGAAGAGGTCAGTTTTAGGCATAGAGATGTGTGTGGAACAAAATGATAAATAATCTATTTCTAAACTTGATTAGGTACCTGATCAACTGAGTCCAATGTTCCACAAATACTACAAAATAATACAGAATATTATAGAGAAAACTTGGTAAAGATAGCTTCTTTTCTATATGATACATATTATATAAATATGTTTCACCTTAAATCATTTTTCAGTTCAACGATCACATCTTTTCCAACCAGTGATTTGAAGAAAGAATAAAACAACTGTAAAATTAAAGATAGCAAAACTGAACAATTTAATTGGAATAATAACGTATAATTAATTTCTGAATTCCTAACTTACCATCGTAAACTTTTTATTCAACTAAAACAAATGAAAGTTTGGAAAGAGCAAGTAAAAAGTGGAAAAGATGGAGAAAAAGAAATTAATGTTTCCACGCTTTGAATGAAATTTCAAATATCTCAATTATGGCAAATTTACTATACTTTAGGCATAAAAATTATTTACAGTTATCAATCGGATTATTGCAATGTATTGCGTTACTCTCGGCTCCTGCTACAAAATTCGTCTTAATATTAATAATAATTCTTCATTAATTTCAGTAAATGTTATCAATTTTCTTCCGTAAATGTTTCCATTTTTAAAATCTCTGTTGAAGAAAACGTTTGTGTCCCTAATTGTTCCCATTTGTCCTTGTTCGGCCATCTTGAAAAAGTTCTTTGCAAATCAAAAAGTATTTTTGCTAGTTTTCAGCGAAATTTTTGCTGTGTTCTAAAATGTTGGAGTGCGAAGGATATTACCAGAATGTCCCTAAGGAAGTACAGTTCAATCCCTACTCTTTCAATGGAGGGTAAGTGTATTAAATAAGGGTTAATTTTTAGCAATTTGAAGATTACAAATGCTCAGATATGATAAGGCAGATTGCGGCCAAACTCCGCGATGTGGACGAAATCTATTTTTTCAACGACCCCTACACCAGTCAGCTTCACTGCTTCATTTTAGATTTTCAGCCCCAATTATAGATTGAAGCTAAAAAATATTCCCACAAAGGCCTCACATACTCCAATGATGCTTTTTTCATTCTTCGTCAACAAAAGAGGTGTACATTAGGATAACTGCTCAGTAACAGCTCTTATTATTTATTGAAAATGAGTCAAGAGTTTTGATTGGCCAGCAGCTGTTGGCGAAATCGTCATATCCGCTCGGCAGCTGCCCAAATTTGGACAGTGACGTCACTTCGTCGGACATGAAAAAAATTATTGCACGTTTGACGTCACTTCGTCAGATATGAAAAAAATTATTGCACGGTATGACGTCACGCTAATTTATGCGGCTTGTGCCAAAACCTAAAAGCGGGAAAATACGAATGGCTTCATCAAAGGAAAGGTTCAATTTTTGCAAATAAATAATAAAACAATTATTGAATTCGGTTCTCGCAGGATATGAGGAATTATCAAGGCCTCGGTTTGTGTTATCCGCCTCAGCCTTCGGCTTCGGCAGATAACACAAACCTCGGCCTTAATAATTCCTCATATCCTGCTCAACCTCATTCAATAATTGTTTATTATTTTTAAGTCATGATTCCCTCAGTTTGGACCTTAATTTATCCTTGCTCACAGTCGCCAACTAAGGCTGCATTCGGACTGAGTGCCCAGCACTGGTGCCTGTGACTTTTTTTGGTGCCTATCTGTCACATGATGTTTCCAAATTAAATTGGGCACAGTGGCCTAAGAACAGGCACTACCTCCAGAGCATTGCTCAACCAGGGCATTGTGGTCAGCATGTTTTATAAACCAGTCTTTGTAGTAAAGGCTTCGCTTTGTTGAATTCACCTGCACCTTGCCACTGATTATGTCAGATCACTGGAAACTACAGTACACTGCAGTACCCATATGGCATGTCACCATCAATTAAATCCAAAGCCATTTATGGTTGCATGGTTCCTAGCAAAGTTGTTTTATCTATGAATTAGAAATAAATATAATCCTACAATACTAATATTTTTTCTACAATACCTTTCACACAGTTGACCTCTAGCTTCACCAAATATGATTTCTATTTGTCCCCATCCTTGTTTCTTGTTTTTTTAAATAAATTATGATTTGAACATTGAACTTTGTCTTGGTTTGTCTGAGGTTTCTCACTTCAAATGCTCTATCTTATCCTAGAACTGTACTAGCTATTGCTGGTGAGGATTTTTCTGTGATTGCATCTGATACCCGACTTAGTCAAGGCTTTTCAATTCATTCACGAGCCAGTCCCAAAAATTATAAATTGTAAGTTATTTATGATTCATTCTATATTTTAATATAATACATGTATTGTTTAAACCTATTGAATTTTATTAGTTTAATATTTTTATGTTTTTTTGTACCCAAAAGCATTTACACCATCACTGCCAATTGTTATATCTACTTAACTGAATTGTTTTTTTATTAAACCATTGTTACCATGACAAATGTAATATATTTTTTGTTCCAACATTTTTATCTGTTCCAATATCTTTCTGATTGCTTAAGGTGGAAACAGCTGGGGGATAAAGAATGGCATACAAACATTTTGTATTTAAAAAACAACTTTGAGTACACCAAATGTCTAAGAAACATACCACAGCATTGTGTACATGCTACAGTATCCAATATCTAAGTTTATTTTGGGTGAATCTGGTTAACAATTGAACAAAAAAATGTCTATAAAAGGATTCCGAAAGAAGTTACATTTCAGTTCTAGGAAATCTTTTTAATAATACATCAACAATGATTTTTGCATTATCATTTTTATTTATAAATGTAGAACTGATGACACTGTCCTTGGTTGTGCTGGGTTTCATGGTGACTGCCTTACAGTAACAAAACACATCAATGCTAGACTTCAGGTTAATTTTACCAATGTTTATATTGTATTTACTTAAGACAGACATTGTAAATGCAGTATTTTTCAGCTATTGCAGGAACCACCATCTAATGTATAAAACAATAGTACTACTGTAATTTTTACAAACTTTGTTATTACTTGAAAAATTAAATTGCCCATATTAATTAGTGAAATCATTAGCAAAGTATTGACAGTGTGATTTCATCTGGTTAATATGTTTCAATTGCAGATGTACTATCACGAGCATGGCAAAAGAATGAGGTATGTTAGCAGTTTTCGTTTTTGTTAATATTCTCAGCCAATGTTAATAAGCAACCAGTAAAATGATGTTAGTCAAAAATGCAGTGACAGTGACTGTTATTATAAAGTTGGTCACAAAGTATTATCCAGGGGTGGTGGAGCACAGTTAAAAATAGGATTAGGCCAAGGAGCAGCTGTTATAGGAATAGGGTGAGGGACTAATCCTAATCTAATCTAATCTAATCTCATGGATTAATTAATAATAATCAATTTAGGATTTGGAGTTACGAAAAACCCTTAAACCACTTTAATGTAGGCTTATAACCACAAAAGTCTACTATGCAACACAATTTTACAAGCTTTCATTATTTTCCAGCTGCCCAGCCATTGCTCAGATGCTATCAACCATGCTTTATTCACGACGATTTTTCCCATTTTATACATATAACATCATCGCTGGCTTGGATTCTGAGGGTAAAAACTAATCAAATTCACGTAGCGTCAAAATGTTTGCATCTGTGTCCAATTGCTCTCTAAAACAGAGGTCCATCACTGGGGTAGAATCCTAACTCAATTATAATATTGGATCTTGTTCTCCAGGTAAAGGATGCGTCTTTAGTTTTGATCCAGTTGGATCATATGAACGAGAGATATTCCGTGCCGCCGGTTCTGCCTCATCGTTACTTCAACCTCTTTTAGATAACCAGGTTTGTTGTATTATTTTTTATTTATTTGTGTGTCCCTTAAGTAGTTTAATTAGTTGAACAGCAGTATTTTTTACCATTTGGTTAGTTCAAACAATAATTCATCAATATTTTAATGCAAGCCAATGGACGCTCACTTTATTTGGTTCATGAAAGATTACCGGAGATCAGCGGCTAAATGATGTAGCACTAAACTGCAGAAGTTAAATTGAAATTGATGTTTCCACCATAGAGTATTTTGTCTGTCTGTGTTCAACAGACGAGTGTTGTTGTTATCCCATAAAAAATTTAGTTAAGAAATCTTGTCTTGTTGCAGCTTGATAAAATTAAGAACTGCATAAAGGTTTTTTCACACGATCCAATTTGGCCGGATCGAATTCACTTCTGATGGATGTTTTACAGTCTGTTGCGTTGAAAAGTATATGGGCAGTAAATCAACTAGTCATATGAATGCGGTACTGCTTTACCAATAACTGGCTACGTTCCATACGTCGGAAGTGAATTCGATATGAAAAAGTTGGATCGTGTGAACAGGCCTTAAGATGGGTCGAACTACATTCACGATCCGTCGTTGGGGCACTCCAGTGACTAGTTTATTTCAGGGTTGATTTTATACTATTGGTATGACGTTATACATATGAAGTTTTCAATAAACAACCGAAATCGGGCAAAAGTAAATCGACGTGAAAACTAGTGATTAATCACCTGTACCGTGGGGGCTCCAAAAAAAAGGTTTGGGGAAATTGGAGTGCGACCAGTCACTAGATGCTGCGCGGTTCTCATTAAAATTGAGTATCTCTGCGAAGGAACTTAACAATGCCATGTTAATGCAGGTTTTAACGTGTAAAATATGACTAGCAAGCAGACGTCTGCTTCATTTCTGTGACTTGTTCCAAAGGTCGAGGAAATCATATTGTTGTTTCTTTGACCAATTTTCAGATTGGTTACAAAAACCAAGACCGCGTAACAGATATTCCACCTTTAACAAAGGAAAAAGCCGTTGCTCTCGTGAAAGATGTTTTCACATCAGCAGCTGAGCGAGATATATACACTGGAGATGCTGTAGTGCTTCATCTGATTACTAAAGATGGAATTGTCGAAGACAGTTTTCCATTACGTCGAGATTAATTAGAATAACACTTGAAAGAGACATATAATTACATTTGACAACAGTCTGCCATTATCTTTTGAACAGAGAACACAACTACTGTAATGTCTCCGAGGTTTTAACAATGAACAAGTCTGAAGAGTTACACGTAGAGAATTGTAACTTTTCTAGGCTTGTTTGCTCTACGTTCGAGTCTACGTCTGGATAACCTGGGACTACCCCTTATTTCTAAGAATTCTGGGGGTCCATTCCTTTGGATTCGTGAAGCTAAGTTTGTTGTCATAAGTTGATAGGCGTAGGAATGTATTGATTTGAAAGTTCGTGTTCTTTAAGATATTCTCCTCCTTTTTCTTCGTAATCTTGTCTCGTGATTGAAACAGTCGTCAGATTTTGGACAGATCTTGCCCACCTCCTCATACCAAACCAAGCATCAAGACTAAAATTACCTGATAAAGACAATAACATTAATAATAGTCAACTTTATATATATTGGTGCAGTTGCTTAGTCAAACAAAGTCAGACAAAGCTAGGTTTTTACGAGAGAAACATTTTCTCACTTGCTCTATGCACTTTAAACGTTGACTGAAAAGGTCGCACCGCAAGCAATTCTCTTTCCAATCTTGAACAAAAGTTAGGATACTGAGCATTTCCTCCAGTTACAAATACATTCTACAGAAAAATAACAAATATCATGCCATAATCCATAACGCCGGTAGAAGAACCAGAGTTGTAAATATCGTTCTAATTCATTCCAAGGAACGAGGTGGTGGAGGAAACATGCATGCATGGCCCAAATCAAGCATGATATCTCTGATTATCTAAAAGCAATAGGTCTGTTGAAGGTAACATCAGAGCCTGTCTATTGTATAGTAGCCCATAATAATATTCAGTCTAATATCACGCAGTTTAACTACAATTTAACTGTTTCCTTGAAACTCTAGCTCGCCATTTCTTAATCATATTTTGACCCGGTTCTACGCAATACCAATTTCGTATTTCCCGAAGGTATATTCAACTTCAACCGTTACCTGGACTAAATTATTTTGAATATCGGGTGGATATTTTTTCAATATAAACTCGATAATTTCAGCCAAGCCAGCTTGCTCCACACCCAACATTGATGGTTGAAATACCACTTCAGGAACTCTAAAGCGGGTACAACAACACAAAGTTAAGTTCCCGTTCACGCGATCCAATTTTGGTAAATCCAATCACTTTTATGGATGTTTTGGATTCCGTCGCTTTGACTTGCAATGTATACGAGCAGAAAATTAACTAAGGCTAATGCGGTACTGCTTCATCAACAACAGAATACATTCCATACGTCAAAAGTTCATGAACTGGATTCGACAAAACTGGATTGTGTGAACAGACCTTCACAGAATCCATATTTTCTGCTGAATTTCAAGTTAGTTTTGTTAGACCATTGTACATTGTATAGCCCTTAAGGTCTGTTCACACGATCCAATTTTGTTGGATCCAATTCACCTCTGATGGATGTTTTATAGTCTGTTGTCTTGTAATATATACGAGTAGCAAAACCGCTGAAGCAAATGCAGTACTGCTTTATCATTGACCAACTATATTTCATACGTCAGAAGTGAATTAGATCCAACAAAATTGGATCGTGTGAACAGACCTTTAGATTATGCACATATCGATACTCACCGCACCCGCTCAATTCCAACGGTCAGTTGATAGTAGCTCTCAAGATCTAACACATGTGATTTATCTTCGTCTCTATTACAAAATTTCAATTGCATATGCATATTCATTTTTACAGCAAGGAATACTTTTCATGGTCATAGTATTTTGCAAAAAAAAGCTAGTTATACTTGCTATATACCACTTACGCTAGAAAATTTGGATCATGTTTTTTCAAAACATTTTCAATTTCTCCTAATTCTTCCTGTTCCTTCTCGCTGTCTGAATCACCAGCATCCTTACTCTAAAGTAAGAGTGCATCATGGTGAAAATGTCTCCCTCGCAAAGGTCCCATATTTACAAACGTTTTAAACCATTTCAGACATTACTCACAATATGTCTATAGACCATCCAGTCTTCGTCGTTCATACCAAATGTGTCATCTTTTGGTCTTTTATGACCGCCTCGTAATGAGCCATCGTCCCGAACTAAAAGGAAACACAAAGGCAGTCAAACTCAGAAATACAGTACGGGGTTATAGTAGGATGTAAGGTAAAGAATGTATTGATGAGGGTACCGTGGGTTTATCTATGTAACACTAATTTAGTAGAACGACGTCAATCTGAAAGCCGCGCCAAAACAAAATAGGTTTGATAGATATTACTATAGAAATGAACTTTTTGTGCATGTAAAACATGCAGTACAAATTTATTGGAGCTTAAATGCAAGATGAGGGAAAGTTTTTCGATTGATAAGAGTTATTTTTCAGTGCCAAAGATCTTAGAGTTCAACTATAGTGTGGTTTCACGGGGACTGCAGAATGTCTTGTTTTCCATTGTCGAAAGAGCGTGAAACTTTTTAAATATTCATTCTTTTGTGCTTGTCCTTTAAATTTATTGTTCACTGTCCGATACGGTTGACGCCGCGTGTATCGTGAAATGCAATAAAAGATTTTCTAATCTAATCTTTCAGTCACGAGCACCCTTTGTTGAAATCTTGGCAAAACAGCCCAAACGAACTTATTACTTTGACTTTATGTAACGTGCAGTGATTTTTTTTGGCATGAAGCATATCGAAATTTTACGAACATTGCGACGGTCAGCTATTTTCTGAGAGGTGATGTTTATAAACCTCGAATAATTTCAACTCAATGACGCATGAAAAAATTGCCAGTTTGACAGATGTGACTGATTTTTAAATCTCTCTAAAGGTTTATGTAATAATATCACTGGAAAAAATTGAAGACAAGACAAGTATAGAAATCAAATTATGGATTATCAACGACTGTGCATTTCCATATTAAGGAACAAGGAAAAACTTTATAAGAGTTTCCTTACGATGCATGGGGACTATTATCAATCAGTTTCCTTACTATGGGGACTGTTTCATACAATTTTCGTACAAGGACAAGGTGTTTAATAACAGAGGTGTAAAAAAAGCCTGAAATTACTGTTTGGATCATGAGCCAGCTTCGAAATCATTCTCATCCGTTCAATGGACGCTGCACTCCGCCTGTTGCTTAATTCCTCTTTGCGTTGCTGCCGCTGTTGACGTGTGTCTAAAATTTTCTAAAAAACATGCTGTTAATATACATAGACGTACCGGAGGGGGGGGGAGAGGGGTTGGTTGGTGTTGGTTGGTGAAGACAAGGGAAGAAACATTTGAGTGCAGAAAAGTTGCGGAAATATTTATCTAATTCTACCGAAATTCGGGCATTTGTTGCTGCAATGAGTGTTAGTCGTGGTCAGACAAGTCGTGTAGCATTTGCTGAAATCACTCGCCTCCCCCCTCATAATTTTAGGCCCGTACGCTTATGGTTATATATAAGTTTACATAGTCATAATTATGTAAACTATGATTATATTATACATGGTTATAAGTAGCTACATTGTGATTTAGACTCAATATCGATATTGTCAGACTATTGTCGGGCTAACAATTAAAACGACAGGCTTTCTCGTGGTTTTTCAAATTAAATTTTCAATTACAGGTTTTCAAGAGGTTTTTTCATCAGATAACAATTTCAGTTCCATGCAAAATGTTTACTGTATGACAGGTTTTCTACGGGTGTGCAAACTGTTGGAGACGTTTATACCATGATTGGAAAACCTGTTACCAATTTCTGTTCAGATAATGCTTTGTTACATTGTTATTGTTGATTCAAGAAAATTTTTAGAAGCCAGATCCTGTCTTAGTGTCACGTCTATAATATCCTACCTGGCGGCGAGTGCGTAATCCCTCCAACCATTCTTTTACTTCAGGAGAAGTGTCTTTCTGTTTCTTCTCTGTCACATCAACTGGCTTTTCTTCAACCGATGAATTTTCTTGCTTCTTCTAAAAATAAGAAATATTTTTTCCTCTACGGGTGAAACGAATGGAAAGCAACCAAAACTCGAATCTTATTCGTATTTGTTAGTGTCATGAAACAAATCCTGATCTATTTTGACTCACTGCTGTTTGAATTGATGCTTGTAGTTTCTTCAATTTTTCACTTCGTTTTTTTGTGACCATTGTTAAATTCTCAATTGCAAGATGAAATTCCTAAAATATATGAACTGAGATTGTAGTTTTGTGAACACTCAGTATTTTATTTATTAATTATTATACCTCTATAGTTTGGAATCCTTCTTTTGCCAAAGCAGCCTGCAGGGAAGAAAAAAATTGTACAAGTCTAATGATGTGTTATTGTACTTGCAACATAATCACAATGGCCAAATCATCTACCTTCAATTTATTTTCGTTGCTTTCCAGTTTTCTAATCTTCAACAACTTTTTAAGTCTAGCTTCCTCTTCTAATAACTTAAAATATATTAAGATATTTTAGTATATTATAAAATTTACTCATGCTATGAAAGTAAAGAGTGTACTAGCTTTACTTTATGGTTGTGTTTTACTGGTACATTATATAAAGTTCTACAATATTATACTGTAATATGTATTTTGATGTACTACAACTTGTGGGTAGTTATACCTTTTCTTGCAATTTTTTGCAATTAATTTCTTGAAGTCTTCGTCCTTGTTTTTCTCTTCGTAGTCGTTCTTTCTCCTCATCTTTCACTCCAACATTTTGTCCCCCAGCTGGTTGTGAATATGGCAGTTGCATAACACATTCTTTTTCACTGGAATATTCCTCATTTAACCAGTAAGCCAACTCTTCATGGTAGTCTGTTGCTATGTAGGAATGGTCATGAACGATTTCCTATAGAAATCATACAATGTCTGCAATTAAATTGCAACCAGACCTGTATCTCTGTTGAGGGTTGAAAGTTAGCAATAAAAAAACTGTATATAATTCTCGAAAACCAACCTGAGCTCTTGATAGAGTAATTTGTGCTGCATGACTTGGATATTTGAGTTGTAATAACCTTTGCATATATCCTACACAGTGATTCCCACCTATATTTATCCTGCATGTCAGAAATAAGAAAAGCAAAAACTTCACTAAATATAGCCTTAAGGCAACCTTTGAGGTCAGCTTGGTATTTATTGTCTCAGTCTTCAAAATATGTAACTGAATGAAAACAAACCTTTTGCAACTTCTTGGATCAAATTTTCCATTAACAACTGGTAGAATGTGGGAAACTTGATACCCAGAAGATATCACTAATGCATTGTTGTTCTCTACAAACACAACTTTAGATTATAACCAAGACCGCACATTATTGACTTCATTAACAGACAATTAAACGCTCTCCTTAACTTGAATTTTTTATTAGGTATTTTACCTGGCATTGGTTGGTTGTAATATAAACTATATAAACTGTCTATTCCAAATGCTGCTTGAGGAACATGATAGCATTCAAATAAAAGTTCATTCATTGCTAGTGAATTAAGAGATCATTTATGGTTAGTCAACATACAATATATTAGAAGCAAAGGAAGGAGTATTTTGAATTAATATTTTAAATGCAGCCTGAGTTGAGTACACAAATTGCTGAATCCAACTTGATGTTTTGCTACTGGACATGCTAGTTACCTCTAACTACTATTTATGCAGGCTCAGCAACCTAAGGTTACCTTGGATCACCCAAGGTTAGTTCTATTATAATGAAGCTTACATTGCCGTGAATAGTTTGGATTACAGACACATTCTGTAAGAACCACAGGATGTTCAACACTCCCTTGTGTATTGATTCCTAGACGACTGAAAATATGGTCAAATATTTGTTCCTAGAAAAAAATTTTCATAATAATTAAAATATTCTTCTTAAACAAATATCAGTCCCTTGGTGATTGACTGGATACACTATATGAGTGGGGGGCAAAAAATATTTTCCTCGGCCTCGAAAATTATATGGACCTCCAATCTGGTAAATAACATATATATATTTAGCATACTTGTGCATCATAGTGTGTAACAACATCATGATCGAATTGACTTTTTAAAGACCACCTAACAAGTTCAATATTTGAAATATCATTGCCAATGAGAATTTCCATCTCGCCATCTTTTTTTCCTCGTGATTTTGCAACTGCATTCCTGAATACTAATGAAGGTCTCTCATCACTCATCCAACCTGCACGGCATTGAAAACTTCCTAAAATGATAAAACAGAATTATTTTATTTTTTGGGTGACCAAATAAAACCTTTATTTCTCATTATTGGCAGTGATTGTTCTAAATATATTATTTAGAAATTACTATAGGTACTACCAGTTCAATATCACAGATTGGAACTGCCAAAATGTGTTTTCACTTGATATTTTGCAGTGAAAGGGTAGTTATATAATCTGAAATCCTTGTTTTTGATTGGTTAACCAACACGTCCAACAGGATTTCATAATAATAATGCATGTTGGCTGAGACTGGTCTGCTAGATCTCATGTTGGTGTTCTGACAGGATTTGTGTATATTGCCCACCAACAATTTACACCAGGAATCACAATTAACAAAGAACCCTCTATTATCAGAGAGACATAATTCGTCTTTCAGTTCACTCATTTCCAATCTTTTCAAAAAAGAGTATTGTGGCATTCCAGAATACTAATCTTTATGGGTTTTTATAATACCATTATAGGTGTCTGAATGTAATCATATTCAGTGATGCAACTATAGCATTCATGTTAATATACACGGAATAAAACTTTAGACCCTGACAGCACCATACAACTTTCGTTAAAGCTTTGATCAGAATATCAAACTATCGTTACCATTATCAATAAGGATTGGAGTAAGTTCATTTTGTAATGAGGGCGAATAATCTTTGATCTCGTCAGGAACGGTCTTCAAATCTTGAAATTGAAATATATTTTTCTTTGATCCCTCCTGGCCTACACCATATGCGAAAAATATGTTAGTTTTCAATCAGGAATAAATAGCGGCAAGGCAGATGGCAATAACAGCACAAAATACTATTTAATCGACTTACTTTTCGCCGCCATGTTTTTTGGTTTTCTTGAATTAGGATTTAGAATCCTAATCTGACCAATCATCGTGCAGCTTTGTTCCCGGGATATTAAAACCTATGATTAAAACAGATTCTGGGCGCGATTCACCGATTCTGGGAACAGAAATCTAATCACGCAAACGTTCGTGGACTCTTAAGATACATTTTTATACTACAAAACTGTATTTTTTGTGCTTGAGAGGGCTTATCTACTTTGCATTGTCACTCAATGTGTACGCACTTGAAATTTCGAAACCTTTTCGATAGAAGTGCGTGTATGATGTATCTGTGGTATATAATTGCTTTATTGCAATATAAAGCTAAATGGCTAATGGGAAAGTTCTATTTTATGAACTTTGACCAACCATGCAATTATAAACTGGCACGTTCTGTCTCCGATAGGTTTCTGTCTCCCATAAGAATACAAAGTATGACCTAGTAAATATTTACTTGCCAAGCTATTTAGTATTTTTATTCCTGTGGCTTTTAGTTCTTTAAACAAAGAAACAATAAAACCAAAACTACAAAGATACGAAAATAAATCATGCTGTCTGTTGTTATTAAGTTTCATAATGTTTTAAAATTGTTGTGTGAAATTAATTATTGTAAGTGCTCTTATTTGATTAATCACTGAATTCCGGTGCTATCAGCTGAATACTGACCGGAAGTTCCTGTGGCACATCAATGTGTTGCCACGTTTACTACACTTTCGCACACGCTGCCTTCAAAAGCATTGTACTCTTGAAATACATTTGCATTTGAGTTGTAGTAGCCCGAAGACAACATGTTCAGTAATATGAAGGTTGTGCTCGTTCTTTGCGCCTGTGTGCTTTATGTGTTTGCTTTACCAGCAGATGGCAAGGGAGAGAGGGCGAAGCCACACGAGGACAGTCTTTCCGACGAAGAGCATTACAAGGATGAAGAACATAACCCCGATTACGACAGAGAAGCTTTCCTTGGAGACAGAAAAGAGGAATTTGACCATTTGTCACCAGAAGAAGCACAGAGACGGCTGAAAATCCTTTTAAAACAGGTCGATACCGATTCCGATGGTTTTGTTACTTCGGATGAAATGAAGGTTTGGGTGAAAGGTGTCTTCAAAAAAAAGATGGTTGAAGGCATGAATAGTGATGTAAAAGATAAAGACAAGGACGGAGACGGATTCATAAACTGGGATGAATTTTTAAAGGATAGCTACGGAGAAGAGTATTCCGCCGATGACGAAGAAATGAAGAAGATGATTGAGAGAGATCGCAAACACTATGATGTCGCCGATTCCGACAAAGATGGCAAGTTGACAGCAGCTGAATTTGGTAGCTTCATGCACCCAGAAAGCAACCCCGAAATGCAAGCCTTGAATGCACAGGAGACTCTTGAAGGTACGCATTCAATTTCTTTAGGTTTACGGTTGCAAAAATGTCTAAAAGGTGAATGGTTTATAGCAGTTTTATGATCCATTTTAATTTTTTTAATTTGATCATGCATGTACCGCTGATGCATAAATAATTTATTGTATGTCTATAAAATGGTTAATAGCTTAACACCTTGACACTAACTCAGTTATCCCAACATAAATCTTGGAAATTTTTTTATAGATTTTTATGATATGGTTATTCAACAAATAAAATGTCCGAAAAGACATAAACCATTTGTTTTGTTCTATTGATTTAGGGCTGTTATTCAAAGCAATATCACATTATATGCCAGCTGAATAAATGAAGCAAAATTATTATTTTTTTAACATGTGGTTACTTGTAAACTTGTGGTTTATTGTTCAAATCAATTTTCATATATTTCATGACAAATTATTTGAGTAGTTCTAGGCGTGAAATGATAACTAACATAAGATTTTCTTTCATGGGTTTTAATTATTGAGTCAAGTGGAATAATCCTATAATTTCTTTTTCATTACCTATCAATATATGCAAGACTTCTTTTGGGATGTAACTGTGTTGTGTGTTGGTTGGCTAAAAAAGTATTGAATAATAGGAGAGAAAGTATCTTAATTTGGTTATTTGAATAAGCACAGAGTTGTCACTTTGTAGGTCCTGTCCTTTTAGCTTTGTCAGTGAAATAAAATTTGAAGTTTCAAAAATTTGGAAAGGGAACTAATCTCTGGATTTTTCCTCCAGTACAAATGTGTCGTTACTCATGCATCATCTGGTTACACACCACTTTCCTTAATGCCACATCTTTGTACTATTGTAACATTTACAATTTTTTTACGATTAGACATGGATAAAAACAAGGATGGTCAACTCGATCTTGAGGAGTTCCTTGGTGAATGGAAAGATCCAGAGAGTAAAGACCAGGAAGAACCTGACTGGGTGAAAGAAGAGACAGAAAGGTTTAAAAATGAGTTGGATAAAAACAGTGATGGTGTGCTGGATCCTGCTGAGCTTACATCGTGGATCACACCCGATACAGATGCTACAATTGTAGAAGAGGAGGTGAAGCATTTGATGGATGAGAGTGATGATAATAAAGATGGGAAACTTAGTGTTGAAGAAATTGTTGCTCATCATGATATCTTCACTGGTAGTGAGGCTACTGATTATGGACAGGCATTACCAAAGGTTGAACTATAAATCCACAGACTTGCTTAGAAATGGGTAGTTATAACCCATTATACAATTTTAAACGTGTTTAGAAATGCTTAAATAGTTGTGCAAAAATTGTTTTTAAGCGGTATTTAAATCAAGCACTAGTTAAACAGATTTTTTCAGAAGTTTGGGCTAGGACATCTAGAAATGGCCTAATCTTAATATTTTCTAAAATATTCCATGTTTTTTGTATGTACAACATTATGCAATATTAAATTATTATGGATTTGAATTTTGAATCAACATTTTGTATGGTTTTGAATTATTGCCATCCCCAAGAAAAGAGTTTCGCAGAACACGTTTTGTTCATGCTCATTTGACATTTGCCTATTTTTACCCAAGGTTGACCTTAGTGATATTCGTATTTCTGTGGATGGTTGGTAGACGCAATGCGCTAACATAAATTCGGCGAAACGGTGGTCGCACTTAAATTTCACGATACAATTTTGTGAGATCCAATTCACTTCCGAGTGAGGTATGGAATGAAGTCTGCTATTGATAAGGCAGTATTGCATTGGCTTTAGTTCATTTGCTGCCAATATATATTGCAAGTCGACACTCAATAGACAGGAGTGAAGTGAATATCATAATATGCGTATATATCAGTCTCGTAAGTCTCTACCCAACATATCACTGATAAATGACTGATTTCAGCAAAAACTGTACGAATTTCTGTAGAATGCGTTAAAAATTTGCCCAACTTTTCTAGATTCAAATAATTCTAAGGGGGACAACTGCCTCCACACTTCCTCGTTTGCTAAGCGCATTAGGCATTGAAGGCAAGGTTGGCGTGTGCATCCTTATTCTGCAAGGAATTACCATGAAAACTTTAACAATTCAGTTTTCTAAAACTGAATGATTTTAAAGCCACGTCACGAAGTAGCATCCGACACGCGATGATTTAAGGCTGCTATTATCCAAAAATTAATAAAATAGATATATACTGTTTTACAAAATGCAAATCAACCTTAGTTGATTATTTCTCCTATAATTACTCCATGAGATCGTTTACACAGCTTTGATATATGGGAAAATATCGATAGTCATGTTAAAATCTCATTGGTTGGAAGATTTACCTTTTAACGTGCTTCGCTTAGAGATAGTTTACGTGTCAAATTAAAACTAAATCATCAGACTCTTTCGAATTATAAATTATCTCTGAATAAAAAGTCATTTTTGCATTCACTACTTCAGCCTGATCAGGTCATCGTATGGGATTGTGACTGAACTTTGTTGTGTCAGGTCTTAACGAATTTTGGAAGGTCTGCAAAGTGCATTTATATACACGATATACTCTCGTTCAGTATAGCGTATTTCATCGATTATGCATTTTGAAACCTATTTGGTTTTATTTGCGGTCGTGTCCTATGCCAGTGTTGTCGTCGCTAGCATTGAACAACACACACACGACCATCTCTCGACGCACCCCCATTACGAAGGAGGGGAGCACAACCTCGAATATGACCACGATGCATTCCTTGGTCCCAAACAAGCTAAGGAATTCGAAACACTGAGCGAAGAAGAAGCGAAAAAAAGACTGAAGGCTATGGTACCTAAGCTGGACACAGACAAGGATGGAGAAATCTCGTTAGCTGAACTTGAATCGTGGATAGATAAACAACGAAAAATTTTTATGTACGATGCAGTCGATGAAGATATTGAAGTGCAGGATCATGATGGTGACAAGATGATATCCTGGACTGAATACATGAAAGCAAGGTTTGGGGAGTGGGAGCATGAGGATTACCCTAAAGATGAGGTAGGAATTACTCCGTAACAATATTGCCATTAACATTTTCGCATGCGGATTTACGAGATTTTGAGGTGCTGCTCGATTAGTGAACCTCGTTTTTATTAGTATTCGCACACAACTCCATATCTCTAAGGAAATAATTATCTTCCCTTGTTTTAACTGACTGCCCCCCCCCCCTATGACGGCATGATCTCAGACCAGCTAGTTGGTTCGAGCCAATTATCCCATGTGTCGAACCAAGTCATGATCAGCCAGTTACCCGCTTGTTTTGAGCTAACATTAACCCCTTATTTTCGAGCCAATAACCCCTTTGTTTCAAGCCGATTACCTCTTCCCCAAGGGGGGGATGCCCTTGTTTCGAGGCAATTACTAGTTACCTTGAACTACAGTATCTTTCTTAAAGTGTTAAACACAATTTTTAGGCATTGAAAGATCAAATTCGAAAGGCGAAACGTAAATTTGACGCCGCAGACCAAAACAAAGACGGAAAAATGGACCGAGAAGAATATGTGTTGTTTCAACATCCAGAAGAAGCCGAGTACATGGAAAAAATTGCCATCGAGGAAATAGTTGACGAAGTTGATAAGAACGGAGATGGGTGAGAATGAATTCTGTTCAATATTTCAATTCACAGATTTTTGAAAAAAAAACGGTCACCTCTGTTTAGGCGTTTTTTTCCACTAGGAGGAATATTTTAGTAGTCATTTTACTCAATTTGTTTCATTAAGTGAATCCGCTTCAGTCGAACTCTGACATTTGAAAAGGAAATCAAGCAAAAAGATACGTTTGATTGAAATTTTCCGCCTAGTGGAAACCCGTCTTAAAAATAGGAGGTGCCTTACACACAACTGTAAGTTACACCTACACTTATATCCACTATACTCAATCAAATGATCAAATCTATCAACAAAATCTTGAACTTACCTTACGTAATCATGACCGTAAGAATGGGAATTACAGACTCACATACACACTGGTCAAATCTGCGTCAATATCAAAGAAAATATAAGTAAATTAGAACCCACCTGTGAAAAAGAATCCATCTGTGAAAATTCTTATCCGAAAACCCGCTTAAAAAACAGGAAACTGTATAGGTAGGGATGTCTGAATTCCTCTTTTGACAAGTACTTGTTATTACAGGATATTCAGCTCCGCGTTCGTAGCTCCGGGTTCGCGAACCCGGAGCCACGAACCCGGAGCTGAATATCCTGTCATAGTATTTGTTCAGCATATGTTTTTATGGACCACAGGCTCATATCAATCAAAGAATTCCTAGGCCAATATGGTGAGGACCAAGGGCCTGAGTGGGTAGCCCGCGAAAGGGAAAACATTGCAAAAAGTTTTGATACAAATGGCAACGGACATTTGGAGTTTGAAGAAATTCACAAATGGGTCATTCCAACACGCGGGGAGTCGCGCGAGGAAGCTGAACATCTTATGGAGGGGACAGATGAGGACGCTAACGGATATCTATCAGTAGATGAAATTATCCTTCATTATGATTTGTTTGTTGGGAGTAGAGCAACTGACCACGGTGAAACGTTGAAGCGAATGAGACACGATGAGTTTTAGCAGTTTCACAAAGTTTAGCCCAATTGTGACATACTAATATAAATATACATTGTAGAAACTTGTAAACACTTATAGAACAGCATCATAACAATATTACTGATTACATACAATAAGTCATTGTATTGAGGTTTGTTGGCCCTGTTAACCGATAACCCCGTGCACCTTCCTAAGAAAACAATTAACTGTTCTTATATAACGTTCCAGTTGTTTTATAAGAGAGTTAGTAAGAGAGGAAAGGAAAGTTAGTATTATGAGAGTCAGTATGAGAGGAGAAGTATTAGGGGAGAGAAGTCGGAATGATGAGAATAAGTATCATACTAACTCATCATAGGTTCTTAGGCTAACGTTTAGAAGAATTCTTATCTACTTCAAATTGGAGGTTGTAACATTTGACGCGAAGTTGCTTTAAAGCTACAAATTCCCGCTAGATAATGAAAAATTTCGCTGGTTTCACAAAAGTCATCAGACTAAAGAGCCATAGCCCCGGGATGGGGTTGTTGGGGTGCTACATTCCTATCCATTTTGTCCACGAAGTCGATCCGGAAACCTGTATGGATAAAAAAATTACCAGGACGGACTTTTTGTCAAAAAGTCTGTCCGGGTAAATTTCTCACAAAATACCAAAATACCGATTTATCCATTGACTGGATTTATCATACTCGACCGGGCTGATCAGGTTTGAATATACCGCTTTATTGTATACTGGATACTAAGGTATGCTGATACAACCAAATTGAAAGGATTCACCTAGGGTTAAACTGCAGAAGGTTCCAGTAAAGGCTAGTTTCCACTCAGGAAAATTCTTCTTTGGATCGGACAGGACAGAAAAGTTTCCTTTGTATAAACGCCACCTGAGAACTCACCGACAAAGGAAATTTTCCTGTCCTCTCCGATCCGAAGGAGATTTTTCCTGAGTGGAAACTAACCTTAATGGATACACAAGAATCCATCACCAGCCGGTTTTGGTGATAAGGACTTCATGGTGCAAGGGAACATTTATGCTACCAACATTAGAAGAGCTTAACAAAGCAAGAAACGGCCCGATTTATACTAGAGACTAATGACGTATTATCCGTCTCGACGAATGATCCCCTGACAGTCATTCGTCTGAGTATGAACACACGACAGACTATCTGGACGAACTATATAATACCTACATTGCCTGATCGATATCATTGTGAGACACGCAAGTCACCCGTTGTAAATAACAGTATTTTAGTATATGTATATTAGCATGAAAATAAGTGCCATAACAAATAAAACCATTCGCCATTGCGCTGTCTATGCCGCATATATAAAATACAGTGTTTTTTAAAGCCGGTCGCACACGACGCGATTTTTGTCGCACGATTTTAGTTGGTCGACTAAATCCTAGCGTGTACGATGACATTTTTAAGGTATTTTAATCGGCAGACTGCAAACAGAATACATCAAAAAGGTTTGATATTTGTCGATTAAAATTGGCAGTCCTGACAAAGAATAAGAGTTCCCGAAATGACGTCACTTCCCGTCTTACTTGTGTCTGTGCTTGTGTCGCTTGTGTTTTCCTGCTTGTGTGGGACTGTTGAGGCAGCAATTTTCTTGGATAGTAACTCCTAGTACATAACAATGGTATATAATTATCACTGAGACTGAGTGATAATATGAGTTTCATTGGTTTGTCGTTGAGTCAATAGGTTAAAGATGGGAGAAAAAAACTCAGAAGAGTATAAGAAATTAGATTACACTGAAGACGATTGTGATTTGGATGAAATTGATATAATAAATGATCCATCAGAACAAATAATTTCAAAAAATTACAGAGAAGGTCCTTTCATCCTTGATGGTACCCATCACACAGATGACATGAAAAATGATTTAAAGTTGGACAAAACGAAAAATTTCCCTTGTGATAATAGAGAAGCTGGTACTTCAAACTCAACAGCAGACTCTGGTGAAAATGAGATCATGAAAAACTCAGTTAAAGATGAAACAAATAGTCGTGAATTTTCAAACAGCAATTCTTTACACAAAGTGCAGTTTAACTGCAAGGATGAAGGAGTGCCTGATGAAAAAGATGTCTACAGTCGATTTTATTTTGAGTCTGATCACCTTGCTTTGAAGGATAATGCTGAGTATGTATATGAAGATCAGTCCTAATCCATGCATAGACATGCAACAACAGATTTTCTGGGTGTGCAGTGTATGAGAACCCCTTCTTGCAAAACTTACAAAAAATAGCAAGACATAGGTTCATTAGAAAACATGAATACCCTGAAATTGGTTAGGATTTTTAGAAATAGGAAGCTTTACAATTTTAATAATATTTCTTGGTAAACACAGAAGAAGTGAAATAGTGAAGCTTGAGACCAGGGCGTAGGCACCCCTGACATTAAAAATCACTGAAATAGTATCCTTTTTAATTGTGAAAACTTCAATGCCAACTCAACAATTAATTTCAACATTAAGTATACAGTATATGTGTCAATGCTAAATGCTTTTTTCACTATAGGCAAGTGCCCTAGAAGATAATGGCTGCCCAACTTAATTAAATGTTTTTCCTGAGCCTGTGCTTAAGCCTCCAAGTTGACTATTCATAAAGGTCCAAAATGCATATAAACGAATTTCAAAGGTTTCTTGTTTGCATGTCAGGAGAATGTATGGACTTTCAATTTTTCTTTTAGTTATAGACTTCTTCTACAGACATTGGTTGCTCTTGAAGCCCAACGAAAACAAGCAATAGAGGTTAGTGAAAACCTGTACTGTAGTTTATTGTTCATGCTGGTAATTAAAAATGAACACCTCGATTCAGTCTGCAACATCATTTCACTTCTTTCATTGTGCTGATTACAAAATTTGATATTAGTACCAAAGGTATCTACTAGGTACCGGTATTTGTTATTTCAACATTACAAGTCAAATGGTGTTTTCGGGTTTTCCAGATATGCCATGCAAAATGTCCTAATTATATACATTTTGTATGAATTTGTCTGTCATTCATAAATAAAACTTACATTATAGGACTATGAAAAGCTGATTAAACTACGTAAAGAAGCACTAGCTGAACCTGTTAAGTTTGTGGAAAAACTACAAAACAATGTATGTTTTTAATCTTAATTATTATATATATCTAAATATGTTCAATATATTGTATGTAATAAAAGCAAAACCCCCAACGAACTGATAAAGCTTTCAAAAAAGCTTTTGTTTTGTGTAATGTGACCAAGTATTAAAATATAGGAGGCACTTGGTATTCCATTGCGGCAAAGTGTTATAAAAGTTCCACAAATCAACTGGGAAGCATATTCAGGAGCAATTGATGATTTCTCACAATTTGGGTTATTGCATCAACATAATACACGACACTCTGTAGGAGCTGGAACCACAGTGAACTTGGAAAGAGGTAAGAAATAAATATTCATTCTTGATACTGATCATACTTGGTGTGTAGAGACAAAATTACCCAGCCAACTTACTCACTTACAAGTAGTGCGAGTCATAAGTACCAATTCTTTTTAATATTTATTCATGTAGCAAATCAGAGATGGGAAGAACAGTCAACAACATCAAATGGGTCTTTTGGCGAGATTTCACAAGAAAGTTTAAGGTAACAATCATGACTGCATGCAGTCTGCCCTGATATCTGCATGTAATGTTCATTATTACAGTCATATTTTTTTGCGTGTGTGTTCATGCTGATGGCTGAATTTATGCTGTTTTAGCCTGTTTGAGTAATATGTATTATAGTATATTGTAGTATATATTGTATGCAGTAATGTATATTTTAGTAATAGCACGTAATACACAAACGTGAAGGGTTGGTTCAGTTGATTAAAAGTCGCTTGAGATAAGTTATCCAAACATATGAGATTCAAAGGCTCTTATTATCCACTTCTGGTTTTCATTGCGCAGATTTTCGCTTGGTGTTGACAGTTCTCGTTACGTTCGTGGAAAATTGGCAACGAGTGATAAACCGTTGACATTCAATCAACCTTGGACTGTGGAGGAGCAGGTTGGTGTTTTCAGTACGTTATGTGCCAACTGATCTAGTGTAAGTCTATGGATGTACCTCAGTCATGATAGACAATAAGGATGAGCCTGGATTGGAAGGGGAGGAAATAAATTATTACTTTATTACTTATTAATCATCACGATTATTACTTTTAGCGGAAATTAGAACGACTGCTTCAAGTATTTCCCCAGGAGCTTGTTGAGGCAAAACGTTGGTCGAAGATTGCACACGCTCTCGGGAACAGAACACCCAAACAGGTAAACATTGATTAGCGTGCTTGAAAGATCAAACCATAGCAAAACAACGATTTCATACTCATAACTGCGCCTGGTAACGGGACGGGGAGCTTATTCAAATTATGTACTTCATTAGGTGGCAAGTCGTGTTCAGAAGTATTTCATCAAATTAGCGAGATCAGGTCTACCAATACCAGGACGTGAACCTAATCTAACACGTGTCCTACCAAAGGTAAATGATGACGTCCCTGAATTTCGGAGATGAAGTTCGAACTAGTTTTTTGTGGCTTCGTATAGTTTAGTGAGTTGCGTTCTTTGCATAATCATTCGCCATTTGTGTTGTCGTGCCTTGTGTCAGCTATTATGTAGTTTTCTCTTGCTTTTAGCAATTGCCAAGGGCTCGCAGTTCACAACAGCAGGCTGTTAGTTTTCGAAATTCGACATTTTTTCCTTCGTACAAACCACGTGTGTATATGGAGGACAATGAAAAGTCGGATGTTAATAGTTTGGAATGGTCAGACGATCTTGAAGATATCTCGGTACGTTATTTGAACTTTCGTGAAAATGTAGACAGGACAGAACAGAGCAGTTTGTGACGACCTGGGAAGGAGGGTTAGGCGGTCAGTTTCTACTTTACCATTACCCACACTATATATCATGCTCTCTTAGCCTATCATGTTCCTTCAACTTTGTCTACAGGGGGCAGGGCGAAGGTTTCGTCGCGAAGTATTGTGGGCGTGAACATTGTGAGCTTGGTATTTTTAATTTTTTTTTTCTCAGGACGATGAGACGATTCCTAAGGAACTACGCAACACTAAAGAATATTGGGAAATATTGCATCTGAAACGGCTCAAAAGAAAACGCGCTGAACAAGATATGGTCAGTCCCTAAGATCGCATAAATGAATAAGTCCTAAATACATTATTTATATCGTGATATCTCAAACAAATCACTCTTCAATGGGTGGCGCTATCCACCTTTCTAACAACCGGTCCTTGGCTCCCATTTAGTACATTCTTAGTCCAGTCACACCCTTAGGTCAGTGGTATAAGTGAGAAAATGTTATACTTTAGCGCTTGTTTTTAAAAAATATTAATAGAATCAGTTATGGGATGGGTGGCACCGATTATACTGTACTGATATTTCGGTATTTGCCAGAAGGCCCTCATTTTTTTCGATTTTAGCTGAACAAGGATAGAGTGGAACATGTTGGATATATGGTATACATAATACATGTGTATTTTAAAACATGGTGTTTTCTCGATGGTCGTTTTTACGATGGAATTTCATTGTATACCATTTTGTTTTAAGTGTGACTTGTGCGGAATGTCTCCAATACTTGGTGTCCGGTGGCATTGTGTAGAGTGTCCAAGTGAGAGAAGTACAGATTTCTGCAGTGATTGTGTAAACATGTAAGTTTAAGAATACTGTAAATCCTCCGTGAATATTGTAAGGATTTAGGGAAGCACTTCAGAATCTCTTGTTAACAGCTAAATAAACACTCTTTTGTGTTCCAGTCGATCTCTCACTATATAGCGTCCAGGGGTTAGTTGTTCAAAGCTACAGTAGGTTAGCGCTAACCCTGGCTTAAATATTAATTCAGTTTTTTAGTTTATGTGCTCAGTTCTGAACACTGTTCGTTTTAGAACCTTAGAAAATATTACATCTATCGGTCCAAAAACTATTTATGAAAAAAGATATTCAACTTTGTAAACGAGCAATTAAAAAATTAATGTAAAGATTTGCCTTTTAACCAGGGTTAAACTAACCGGCTTTTGAACAACTGGTCCTAATAATATACCTCTCCCGTTACATATAACGTAGATAGCTATTAATTTTGTAATATTTTCAATAATTTTCAAAAAAATTTAGCCTCAACAGGGCTTTGATCTTGATTTTAATTTTTTCCTATAGTCAAAAAGATGGCGTCATCCATCTTAGTTCGCATAAAATGGAGCCTGTTGATTGGACAGAGAATGACTTTGTTGACGGGGATTATGCAAAACTTGGCGAAACTTCCAAAGGATACAATTATTTAGATCCAAATTTCCTACCTGCGGCCACGTGACTTGATGTATAAATTAATGCCAAAATTCGAGTTTCATCGAGAACTCTGATTGAACTTGTTATGAGAGAGGGTAAGGTTTCGATATGGAAAAGCAATGAGTTATGTTTCTACTTTGCATCAAATTAAAGGTTTATTTATTTCATATTATGTTACTCGCGTCTTTGATGATCTATTAAACGTATATTTTATACTAACATTTTGTAACAGAACAATTGGTGAATCAACTGGATTTTGAATTAGGATAGTAGGAAAGTTGGTAAATGATTATTAAACTATAACTCTCCTGTCTAAGGCGCTCTCTAAAGTCGAAGTGTCGAGTATTTTCCTTTATTCACACTGCAAGCTAATTATTTTGGTAATATTCAGTCAGCGATGTTAATATCTATACCCCTATACCCCTCTAGACTATACCCCTCCAGCAATATCGTCATCTTTGGGAAGTATTTCATATTGTGTTGTTATACGTTTTACCCGAATAACATCTATTATGTTACGATAACGTTGTTTTGGAATTATTAACGGTCCTGCATTATAATACGGCCTTCTATATCTGTTTTCAATGTCTCTTCTTGTTTTCAACATCTCACGAATTGCGACTGGGTTAGGAAAACAACTTGTACGAAAATACAATATTGTCGCTGAACATGAGATGATTGTTAGCATACAACCAAGGAACACTATAGCATTCACTTCTCCATCATCCAGCCCCATGCTTTTACTTTTGGCCTTTGCTTGTGCAAGTTGTACCGTTGCCGTTGGAAATATTATTTTTCGTACCTTGTGCAATTTTTAAAAAGTCTTTCAGAAGTGCTGCAAAATTATAGGTGAGTAAATTAGCGATATCAAATATCTTTTACAATTCACAGATGTGGCAAATGTGTGTTAATTTTGCTGGTGCCTTTGGATTGTGGCAATATTACTTATACTAACGACTGCATATAGGTTTTCTTCACGCGTTAATGCCAGTGTTTACGGAGCGTTGCCGAATTTGTTACAGCGCACTGAATGTTAAGAAATGTTTACTTTGTGTAATTTGCAATCTTTCAACTTGACCAGTCTTTGAAACAATACCTTTTTTGAGCATTCGTTTTCTTCTTCCTTGTACAGCGTGCTTCTTGAAAGTGACAAAACGTCCAAACTCAACTCGATACCAGCTTCCAAGTACAGATCTTGAGGAAACGAAACTTCCCTAGAACTTGTGGTATACTCTAAATGTGTCTAGAAACAATTACCAGATTTCTTTATTTGGCAAAGCCAGGCACTTCTTAAACTTTCTTTCTAAAACATGAAGCGTTATACGTTGATATAGTTCAAAAATACCAAGAAATACAAATGTATATTGTGTTAGTATTTACTGTATCCAATTTTGGCATAGCTGTTTTGAACGTGTAGTCATGCAGTGTGTATGATCATTGAAGCTTGACCAACATTCAAACAAATTTAATCAACCGAAGAACTGCACGTTTTTTGCAATGACTTTCAACTAAAATAGCCAGGCAATTATTATGAAATAAATCAGTTAACCATCTATCCAATTGTTAAAAAAAGAAGCTATTTTCTCTAAAACCGCAATTTATAATAGTTTTCTACTTAAAAAGCAGTATTACAAGAAGCCATATCTGTTTGCTGGTGGAAACCTGCTTGACTGACCTAGCGAAAAGGTTTAACGCGGTATCAGTGAACTCTATGCGGTATTTGCTCAAGCATGTTTATCCACGCGTTCGTCTGTAGCATCCATTTAATAGCTATAATTATGTTCTTTTTTGTAATGCTATTTTATGCTCCGATAGAATATAGGCGTTTATGTATGCAAGCGAAAACAAGAGCGAGACTTAGGCCTGTTTTCCACTTCAACCGTATCGTATAGCGTAACGTAGCGTATTTCTTTTTTTTCGAAGTTTCGATCAGAACTATATCAGATATGCTACGATTGAAGTGGAAAACGGCCTTTAGAGATAAAGCGCATGCGTTGGAAATGAACATAGTCATAGTATTTGTAAATTTAGTACATTAGAAATGAATTCTTCCGACTCGAAGCCCTGCATTGAGTTGTCAGCTTGTAACTGACCTGAGGGGAAGATTGATCGCAAATTTCAAACTTTTTAATGAGAATAATATTGAAAATTTTGATATTCTCGATATATTTTCAAAAGAAGTATTCAGAAACGCAAAGGAATCTTTTATGTCTTATATAGTTAACATGCACGTTCTCCTAAGTACATGCATACAATCATTACAACTTTTTTTAGAAGTTATTAAAATGTAAGATTTACTGATTATGCATTTTTGTACAACATTGGTTTTTATACATTAGAATATGCATAAGTAGTTATTTACAAAAGTGAATATAAAAACTAAAAAATGATTTTGAATCAAAGCTTTGTGTCATCTACTGATACATTTAGGCTTTTATATACTAGCTAGATCAAAACATTGGTCATTTGTGATTTTATTACACGGAACTTCGCCACAGATTCTGTCATTCTGATGCGCATGTGTGCAATTCAATTAATGCTTTACTCGTAATAATGAATAAGGACTGTTTCCTGATAAATATCTAATTCGATATTATACAATATATTATTTATCATGTATGTCATCATTTGTTGGATTTCTTCTTTACTTTTTTATTTGATAACATTTTAAACGGGTCACGAAGTTCTATTGCTTTGTTCAGTATTATATGAATATCTGTAACTGGGTAGTTCTACAAAAAAAAAACTTTATATTAGTTGTACCCAACGGTGAACAGAGGGAAGCACATGCATTGTCGACTAGTGATACGAGTATCAAGTATAGTGAAGTGAGTGGAACGATAACTGACGGTTTACTCATTTGGGTACCAGTACCATGCAGTCTTTCTGTACGTCGACCATGAAGAAAAAACAGAAGGAATAGACTGGCATTGGTAAAAAATAATTGCCTTCAAAGATAGCGAGCGAGTTAACGTCCTACTGTATAGTTCACATAGAGTTCACTAGCCTACGATATAGAGGTATCTGGATGAACAGTTTTAATGGCTCGGTACTACGTGAAGTTATGGACTGGTAATAGGGAAATTGAAAATGCATCATAGGAGGCACTTTTTTGTTTACCCTGACCATCACCAATCAACCAATCAACTACTGAAACTTCAGAATGGTTATAATTAGAATCACACCTGCAGTTGAAAGGTTTTACCTGTACAAGTTTCATACTAGTAGCAAAATCGCCTTCTAATAATTGATCTCTAATAACCCTGAAAATATAAAGGTAAACCAAAATTTTATTCGGCCTATTCTCGGATTAAAATAATTTCTTTGTAACGGTTAATTCAATAGACGTTTAAATTTCGGAAAACGAGAGACACTTGCATGTTTGAGCGGTATGATTGAAGATATGCGTTTTCTGAACGTGCGATATCCATGCTTGTAATTTTGCTTTTATGGTATACGAGTTGTTTTAAATTAAGAATAGGATTTGGGTGGGTGTAGTAGTGCAGTTTGATTTGAGGGTGAAGTCAGGCATTCAAATTATAACAACAAACTAATTTTAATGGAACCATGTAATGATCTCACGAAGTGACATATGAAATACCGGAAAATTAATTGCATTAGAATGTAATATATAGCAAACTCACATTAACATAGCACAGCATACAAATATTAAAAATTCAAATCTTTGAGAATCCGAAAATAACGAATCCCACAGTCGAATAACATCTAAAAAATGTAAAAATAATATCTTATTGCCAACTTGTTAAAACTGCATCATATAGAGACAGCGACGTGATTAATTCAAAGCCTCGTAAAGCCGCATCGCAAGTTGTTTTCGCCTGGCTTACCAGGAAGAGGGAATTCTTGGCTCAATAGCACCGTTATCCAACGAAAACTATAAAATTGTGGTTGTAGTTCTTGTTCAGACTAAACAAGAGGGAAAAGAATTACGAAAAACCAAATACGACCACATTAGTCAGGCATTACACATAAAATGGACCATTAAATACTCACTAATGATTTCCATAATTCGAAATCACGATCTTGTAAAATACTCATCAATTTATTCATACTACTTCCTAAAATATTTATTACCATTACAAAATTGATTATAATAATAATAAAAATGATGATAATTCAGCATCAAATGTGGTATAACAACTGCCTTGTCGACGTTTCGACCTAAGGGCCTTCGTCAGGAGAGTTAGTCATTGCTAAGTTGTTTGATGTCACGCTGCTCCCTGGTTATATTGGAACTTAATGATAATTCAGTCTATGGTCCCCCCCTACAGTCACTTTTATGCAGACATGCAGTTCGCCTCACAGAAACGACATGAGTTATACAGTAGCAAGCATTTCTTCCCAACTGACCTATTCCAACTGCAGATTCATCCAGCGTCTTAATAAAGAAATCTCGTATTTCAGACATTAGATTCATAAAACAGAAGAATGCATCCGGCTCAGCAAATTCTAAGAAATGTAGCAGAATACAGTAGTTGGAGAAAAATGTTCTAAATTTAATACCAAAATATCTTCTTTCATCAACATAATAACTTGAAATTGGCTTTTTGGCACTAGCAACACTGCAGTTTGCTAATCAAAAAGATTTACACCAACCTCTCCATTTCTCATCGGGATCGGAAGCGAAGATATAATACAGTGGGCCAATTATTTCATTCATTCCCTAAAACAACCATAAAGTTTGAGTTAAAAAAGTGATTTTTATTTAACCGAACTTGACGTGTTTAAAAGCAAATTGATGAGGGACAAACATAAAAAAGATCGTTATTTTCTTCTTTTGTGTTAAAACTTCATGTCATTTTGCGTTTCTATCATATCTTTGTCCTGATTCTAGTAAAATGTTGGTCTGCTGCATTATTTCGTACTCTTGAGTTGCGAATCCACAGATTGGACCCATACCTGGACATACGATGTTCCTGGATTAAGTTTCGCGTAAATAAACAATACTCTTTCCACAACCTGAATAGCGAAAAAAAAGTTTAGATTGAATAATCAACTGCGTATATATAGACTTCTTTAATAGTTCATCCTAAATCGTGAGCTTACTTCCCAATGTGCTTCCTTCTCTTCGTCAAGAATAACAGTATATTCGTCATTTTGTAGATGTTTTGTTACAGTAAACTAAAAGACAAAATCAACATGAAATGGTGAAGTTCATTGAGGCCCTGTGGAAATATTGTTGGCCAGTAATAACAGTGTGAACTGAAAATAGTGAACTCTTTGTAACCCAGAAAGCTTTGAACCACTTCTAATTATATGAGTCAATCATACGTTTGTAATTCCCATCCGATTTGTTTTGACATGAGCTGCTTCTAAGTATGATGTTTTAACTCTTTTTCTTAAAGTAGGAAAATCTTTATCATCACCTGCAATAAGAATAATATATAACAACTATCTTTAATCTTTCCACCTCTCTAACCCTTTTTACTGTGAAGATCTCTTTTTCAGTTGGTTCACCCATGAACTGTGGTTCACTGTGATTAAGTTTTAAGAGTCTACCAGAGATGAAACAGTCTCAGTGAGACAAATTCATCTGAAAAATAGGACATAATACAATTTTGACTTGAGTGGTCCAACTGCACATCCCCATGCTGTTGAGTGTAGTTACAAAAATAGTGGAATAATAATCTTTAACACAATTAGTTCACCTATCAACTCTTTCTTAGGATACTGAGTTGGACTTTGAAAAAAGGAAATGTCAGGTAGTAGCCTCCTACAAAAAATGAAACAACATATTCAATATATTACATATCTAATATCACATTTATTGCAGTAAATTAGGAAAATGATAATACCTGCAATCTTTGTCAATTTGAAATAATATTTCATTTTCTTTGAAATATGTTCGCCATTGACTTGATGGATTAGGATTGAGTGGCTATAACAAGGTCATTGCAACAGTCAATTTACAAATATCTTCTCACTTTTAGATATTGTTATTCAATGTAACAAGAGCAATCACATTTAATTACTTAATTACAGTTATTACTGAAAGCAAAAATTGGTAGTAAAAAGTATGTAGTCTTGCATTTTAAAGCATAAAGAACTGCATGACATGGAGAGAAGTATTTCATCTTGTTTCAAAACAAGCACACACAAGTATTGATCAATTTGTCCCTGGACAAACTCTAAAATAGTAAAACTAGTACATCATGAATGATAGGCTCACATGATCTATAAGTTCATCTGGTTTGCTAATATCCTTGCCTTTAAATGGTTCGACAATAATTTCATTCACATATTGTTTATATGTATTCCTATAAAAAGAAATGTGCAGTCACTTGGAGTCAACACAGTAAGTCTAGCCTTGATAAGGACTGCCTTTATACATAAAAGAGATACCTTTGTTTCTCAAGAAATTGTGGCCACTCAGCCTTCTTTGCTGGTAAATAATTTAACAGCACCTGTTGAAACAAGTTTATACCTATATTACTATATATATAAATACTCAACATGTTTGCTCTGATGCAATATTTATTAAGTGTATTGATTTGACTCCATTCAATATAAAAAGACATTCTCATACTTTCCAGCAAAGTGATCTCACACCACCTTTATCAGAAATACCTATGAAAAATCATTATTCTGTATCAAATGTTATTTGGTATGAAATCTTATTTGTGCTCAATCTCTTCGGTATGTGAATTCACCTGTAGTGAAGGTTGGATGTGGTTGTGTGTGAAAAACTATTAAATACATGCTACAAATAGGTTGTGGTTGGTATACAGCTATACTTTATCAATTAATTCTCTACAAGGTAGGAGATTTTGTAGTACTTATGACCAAGAAAAGAAATAAAGAATGTAGTGGATGAAAGTTTGGAGATTGCCTCACATGGGTTCTTAGAACTAATTTGTACTGAGAATTTGTTATTATTGTCTACTTGTGTATTATTCTTTAATTAGAGCCTGGTAAATAACATATATTTACAGGAAGTGGCTGGCAACCAATTGAAAGTAGAATGTGGAAGTTTATATATTTTCCAGCAATTTATATGTATACACGAAGGAACAGCCCAGCTATGTTTGCATTTAATATCTCATCTTTTTTTTATCTTTCAAATACTTCATGCATGAAAACCAAACGGCTGCTTAGTATAGAGAGAACCTTACATACCATTAAAACATAGTCTGCGCAATTGCTCAAAGTTTATGTCATTTTCACCGAAGCAGAGCGCCTGAAACTCCTCGCATCTTGATAAATAAAATAGGGGGAAAATTGCGCAAATCAATAAGGCATAAGAAGTTAGGTTACATTTTATTATACAAAAAATGACAATATTTACTAACCTTTTACGATAAATTTCCATTTTTATTATTCAAAATTTCTGGCATGGTCGCATATTAAGATCAGCGGCATGACCGCGCAAAAGATTGCCTAACTGAAAACGAGCTTCACTGTCTAACCAATGAGAATCAGGTAATGATGACACGTGTGTATTTTAACCAATGAAAAAGAAGAAGAATGGTATCGGGATGAACACGTTTTTTTTCTGCCTTTTCGTGTGTTTGCCATTATATTTCAAGCTCGTTCGGAGACTTTTTCTAAGCAAAATATTTTGAAACAAGGTAAGATTTTTTAAAATGATGTTCAGAATTATGAGATAGGCTCCTTATTTATGTATTCATCAACTTTAAGTGTTAATATATCTTCATTTTTTGTGGAAATAACTTGCTTGAGTATTTCGTCCGTTTCAAGCATCCAGCTGCGAGTTTCGGCTTTAAATTGGAAATGATTTTATGTTAAATCTCTAGATGTCTGATGACACAGCCGATAAAGAACTCAAATCTTTATGCAAGTTGTTCATTGGGGGAATTCCTCGATCCATAACCGACGAACAGCTAGCAGAGCATTTCCTACAATTTACAGAAGATGATTCACTCAACGACTGCGTGGTGATAAAGGACGAAATGAAGAACTCTCGCGGCTTCGGTTTTGTCACCTATAACAAGCTGAGCGATACAGATAATTGCTTAACAAACCGTCCGCATAATCTTGCCGGCAAAGAAGTCGAAGTAAAGCATGCTATACCACGAGATGAAAAAATTGAGACCAACCACGCTCGTACCAACAAGATTTTCGTTGGTGGCCTCTCAAAGGAAGCGACAGAAGAGGAGCTTACTAATGTGATCGAGAATCATGTTCTGTCCATTGGTGAAAACCTGAATGCAAAAATCACAAAAGTTGATATTATTAGAGATAAAGAGACCGGTGAGCCACGTGGGTTTGCCTTTTTGGATATGGCGTCAGAAGATGATGCAGATAAAGTTGTGATTGTGAAGCACTTTGAAGTTGCAGGTCGTAGGGTAGAGTTGAAGAAGGCTGAACCCAAAGGTGGCCAGGGGTAGAGGTGGTAGAGGAGGCAGAGGTGGTCGTGGTAGAGGGTGGTGGTAGAGGTGGTGGTGGTAGGAATACTGGCCAGTTTGGTGGTGCAGGTGGGTGGGGTTTTGGAGATCAATATAGTGGTTTTGGTGTTGACAGTTATGGAGGGTATGGTGCTTATGGTGGTGGTGGATATGGATTTGATAACATGGGGGCGTACAACCAGTATGCACAACAAGCTTCAAGTTTTGGACCATCACGGGCATCAAATGGGCGGTATCGTGGGCGCAGTGGACCATACTAAATATCTTCTCTTTGTAAGTATCTAATTGGTACAGTTCGACTCCCTTCAATATTGCAACATGATGTGAATGTAATATTTGTTTGCAAATGGTTCTGAGAAACTCCTACTAGAATTTGCAAGTGTCATGTGTAGACATCAATTGCAAATTCTATAAAATAATGTCTCAGTTGCTATGAAATTGGCACAATTGCAATTTACCAAACCATTTACGTAATTGGCAAGCGAATGTTTCCGTATTCTCTGCAATGCTGCAATATTGTCGATAATTACAATGTTGAGATGTAGAGGTAAGACCTACTTTTAGCTGTGTAGATTTATGTACTCTCCAACTAAAAGTTCTTCCTATTTTAATGCTTTAGGTTGTTAGCAATCTTGTTCAGTGATTGGTTAAACATTAAGTCTCAAGAAATAGGAATGTAGCCCATAGGCTAAGGCTGAAGAATTTACCGTTAGACCTCAGAAGCAGAACTACTACAAGATTTAAGCGGACTTGGACACAGAACAATTGAGGCTAGGGCAAATGAGGACATCGTGAAAATCATTAAGAAATTTTAGTCGTTTTAGCTTTTTTTGTAGAAATAATCGTTTTTAGGTTTGTTTTTAAGTGTAATATATTAGTTTTATTAAATTTCTCACAATTAGACCCATAGTAAAAGATCATTAACTTGTCTCAAGTTTTATTTCAGTATAAGATAGAAATTGTTTAAAACTTCAGTGATATTAAATATCCATTTGTCAGTATAAAGCTGATATAGCTATAAATGACTGTGAAAATATGTAATTTTTTGAGATTTGCATATTAGGCTGTTAGTGATGGGCAAAGCAGGGAATTCAAATTTGTTATTGGGTTACATATGCATGTAAAGATATGTCTTCTCAGATAGGAAATCAGTGAAATTTGTTTGGTTACTTATTGTCAGAATTTCTTGCAAGTGGGTAATTATCTCTAGTGGTCTAGTTCAGGTCTAATATGATAATTGGTTTAATCTAGCAAAAAGTCATCCTGTTATAGCTAGTCTCCAAATTAATATAACTTTGTTGGTAAACTAGCTCCTTCGTTTAAAAAAGGGAATAAAAAACTTACTATCTTTTAATCATTTTGAATGAAGAAGTGAAATGCAATTGCCATGTAGATGTATATATTTGAGGGAGCAAATTGTTAAAAGACATCAATTGTAACTGTAGTAATGATTAGATTTGAGAAAATGCTAAGGATTGTTGTGACAAGAATTAACATGTTGTTAATTGTATCTCTTAAATTGGAACTTTAGGGCAAGTATATAACTACAGTTGATGCTCAAATGCATGAATCTCATTAGTTAATCCCATTAGTATGTTGAAGTCCTGTTGTGAAACATGTTGTGTTCTGTAAGAGTTTTGGATACTGGAAGTAGAGCCTGAAGTTGCAATTAAAAATGTACTAATAAATGTTGTTTTCCACTCAATAGCTCTGAAGTCCTAATGGAGGAGCAAAATGGTAAAGAACTGTGAAAGGTGGGACGTGAATAACAAGATTGCTCTTTTATTATGCAGTCTGGAGAATTTGTTGATTTAGGAATAACTGGAAAATGCAAATTCCACAGCGCCAATGTCATGCCCAACATTTACATCCATCAGTCAACTCAATTTTCTAAGGTGTCAATTTTTGGCATTGCAAGCAATGTTTTTCCATAGAAGATGAGATCTATCAATAGTTGTTGTGTGCTGTTCATAGAGATAACCATAGAGTGACATGTACAGTGTAAGTATCATTCGTTACCATGCTACACCTAAAGGTTACCTATCTTCTTTGTTATAACACAATAAAGAAAGACTTAACATACATGCATGCATATCCATGCAACTTCACTTCCTATGTAAAATGAACTCAATCCAGACAGAATAGTGTGGGATAAGGCTCTTGGGATAGTCCGTCAGAAAAAGGTGTCAGGCCTTTATTGTCTCCACACCCAAACCCACCCCCCCCCCCCACCCCCCATTTAGTGTTAAGACAGAAAATAAAGGCTTGACATTCAGGTTACCAATTCAGATCATCAAAACTTTGAAATTTTGTATTTACAAATTAGCATATTTTTGGAGTTTCTAATTAACTAATGTAGTGAAGTTCCAATATAACCTGGGAGCAGCGTGGCAGCATCTTCAAACAACTTAGCATCAAATGTGGTATAACAACTGCCCAAAGTAAACAAACACTTTTAGACATTTAGACCTGAGGGCCTTCGTCAGGAGAGTTAGGACGAGTTAGGACGAAGGCCCTCAGGTCGAAACGTCTATTTTAGGCAGTTGTTATACCACATATCTAATGTAATGATTGCAAATTTTTTTGTATGATCAGTGCCATTCAGGATACTAGCTCAAATATTTCTTAATTGTAGTTATTAGCAGTAGTCAATTCAAATACAGTGTTCCAACATTTTACGATATTCCTCATATTTCCATGAATTCTAAAGTGAAAAGGCTAGAGAATGAAACAAAAAGCGTTTGCAACTTTTTTTCAAACTAGAAGAGGGAGGGTTTGATACATTTTAAACCTAAGAAAATTTCGTAATCGTATATTTTTAGTATCTCCAACATATTCGAGTAACCAATAGGAATGCAAAATTATCCGCCCTCGCGATCCACGTGTGTGTGGTGATATTTTATGTAGTTTTGTCCATTTCACTTGTGCTAATGCCAGCCCTTTTTAGTTTTGTCGGTAATTGTGAAATATTTCCTCTTTGAGGTTAGTTGTTGAATTTAGGTAGCTTATCCGATAGATTTTTCGTAATTACTATGTCCAGGTTTTCAGACTTTAAGAGGCGCTATACCATTTTTACGCCTTTGTGTGTCAAATATCACGACATTTATAATAGTGAAAGTTCTAATTTTTCTGGTTGTCTCTTGCATTTATAGATTTAAATGGAGACAACAGACGAGAAACAACTAAAGTCCTTATGTAAGCTCTTTATTGGCGGGCTACCTCGTACAATTACAGACGAAGATCTTGAAGCATATTTCTTGCAATTTACCCCTGACGAATCACTTAGTGACTGCGTTGTGATTAAAGATCCGGAAAAGCAATCGCGAGGATTTGGTTTCGTCACTTTCAATCGACTTGTTGACACCGACAACTGTTTAACGAATTGTCCACATGTAATTGGTGGTAGACAAGTTGAGGTTAAACATGCTATACCAAGAACTGAGCAACAAAATGTAAATCATGCACGTACTAACAAAGTATTTGTCGGAGGCCTACCGAGAGAGGCGACTGAGGAAGATATATCAGAAGCCATACAGAATCATGTGTTAGGGTGTGGTGAGAGCTTAAATGCAAAAGTTTCAAAAGTTAACATTGTTATGACAAAAAATGAGGATGGTATAAATCCACCAGTATCACGTGGGTTTGCTTTTGTTGAAATGGCAACTGATGCAGATGCTGATAAAGTTGTGATTGTGAAACTCTTTAAAATTGCTGGAAGAGAAGTGGAATTGAAGAAAGCTGAACCAAAAGGAGGCTTGGGCAGAGGTTATCGTGGTAGAGGTGGCAGGGGTTCTGGCCACTTTCGTGGCGGTGGAGAAAGATGGAATGGTGTTGGCTATAATGGCAATCCTTACACAGATGCAGGCTTTGGTTTCAGTGGTGGATATTCTGGCTATGAATCTTATGATGGTGGTTATTTTGGTCATGGTAATGAAGGTATGTTTGGTCGGTATTCCCAACAAGATTCAGGATTTGGTCCCTTCCGTGGGGGAAGACCTAGAGGTGGTGGTTACAGTCAAGCTCCATATTGATATATTTTTTGTAAGTATTGTATAACTCATTGAAAGGACTTTTTAAACTCCAGACTAGAAGCAGGTTTTGAGTCTGAGTTTTAGCCAGGAGAATGAAAGTATTAGAATACCATCCGAAAATGATAATACCATCCGATAATGAAATATTTTTAAAAGTTTTCAAACCAATGCAGGCAGTAGACGGTATTCTAATACTCTCATTTCTCTGGCCTTAGCATTATATTCCTGTATTCTTGGGAACAATGGATTAAAGGAATATGAATAAACTGTTTGCCATCTGCTATTGCCCCCCCCCCCCCCTTACAGTCAATCTACCAGAACTTGGAGAAAGTATTTTATTTTTAATTATATATGCAAATTTTTTAACCAAAGCTGCTTGAATCTAGTTAGTCTTGCCCCCTCTTGGTATATATTTTGTAATTATTAAAATCATGTGGGTCTGTCTATGTTCATCTGACTCAATGTAATGTAGTAATAAATGATGTGACATTCAAAGGACAAAAGTATGTGTATATGTGTGAAATTGACAAGCAGATTTTTCAAACTTGAATTTGATTTTATTGCTCACTAAATCTTTCATTGTTCATTTCCATATTTTAGGTTGTGTTGATATTTGTTTCAGCCTGAAGTCTAGTTTGGGTTCAAGTCTCTTATTTAGTGAAAACACTTAAATGCTTTTGTGGATAAGAGTTTGTTTCTGTGAACTTAAATTGCAAAGTATTCAACTGCTGCATGGTGGTTACAATTTTTGCCAAAAACTATTGGACAATAATAAAAATGCATGACACTTCTCTTGTCAATCTCTCATTCAATGGTTATCTCACAGGGATTGAAATATGGTTGGGTTAATAAAAACAGATAGAAATTTAACAATGCGTGTACAACTATTAGGATTCGTATATTATCAGTATATATTAATATATCGCCAAAAATTGTAGAGTATTTAGTAAATTCTATTGTTTCCCCCATTGTAGTTTCAGGGTGGCTTGGCAAACCCAAGAAAGTTTAAAATTACTACGTATGCATTCCAGTTGTCAATAATATTGTAAATAGCAAGTTTTGTGTTAGTGTTATTGAACAAAAATGCGTTTATCAGACTGGGACTGACGTAAATATTGTGGGCTTGTTTGCTTTTGTTTGCTAGTGCTGTAACTGCGGTCGATCCGTCTGCGTTATTTGTAATCACGTTCAAGAAAAATTCAAAAGAAACGGCGTAAAAATGGCCCAGAGGATTTAATTTTATGTTACTTACTATTAAAGTGAGGCGAAGTTACCTAGGAAGACTTTGTGACAACTCAATGGTTTTGAGCGGTCCGTAAAAGAAATGAAAAATGTGAAAAATGAAATAAAAAACAAGATGAGTCAGAAGGGAAATTTTTAGAATTATATCTTATAGAACGTAACCTCTTCGGGCATGATAAATGATATCTATGGTATTCTGGCTACGATATCTTTATTTCTTCTATGACATTGAATAAAAATTTCTCTTGCGTTTTATCACAGGCAGCCCAGCGTTGGAACTTGGAAATGAACTTAGAACTCTTCTGACTCGAAGCCGTGCATGCTGTGACTGAAATAGATATGATCGCAAAAAAAGACGCAAATTTCACTTTTTTAATGAGAATTTTGATATTCTGATAATTTCAAAAGGTAGAAAGAGAACTTTTTACATACCATTAAAATAAAATTGCGCAAATCAATAAGGCATAGGAATTTAGATTACATTTTATTACACAAAAATACTTACAAACTTTTACGATAAATTCCATATTTTTTTTCTAAATTTTTGGCATGGTAGCATATTGAGATCAGTGGCATCACATTGAGCGCCCAACTGAAAACAAGCTTCATTGTCTAACCAATGGGGATGGGATCTTGATGACACGTGTGCATTTTGACCAATAAAGAAGAAGAATTGGCATCGGGGCATTGATCGGGGGCCGGGGGGTGAACACGTTCTCTTTCTGCCTCTTGTGTTTGCCCTTACTTCAAGTTTGTTTCGAGAATTTTTCCAAGCAAAATACTTTGAAATCAAGGTTAGATTTTTTAAAATAATGTTCAGAATTATGAGATAGGCTACTTATTTATGTATTGGTCAACTTTATAGAAATATATATGTTGATAAATCTTCATTTTTAGTGGAAATAACCTGCTTGAATATATTGTTCGTTTCAATCATCCAGCTGCGAGTTTCAGTTTTAAATTGAAAATGCTTTTATGTTAAATCTTTAGATGTCTGATGACACAGCCGATAAAGAACTCAAATCTTTATGCAAGTTGTTCATTGGAGGAATTCCTCGGTCCATAACCGACGAACAGCTAGCAGAACATTTCCTACAATTTACAGAAGATGATTCACTCAACGACTGCGTGGTGATAAAGGACGAAATGAAGAACTCTCGCGGCTTCGGTTTTGTCACCTATAACAAGCTGAGCGATACAGATAATTGCTTAGCAAACCGTCCGCATAATCTTGCCGGCAAAGAAGTCGAAGTAAAGCATGCTATACCACGAGATGAAAAAATTGAGACCAACCACGCTCGTACCAACAAGATTTTCGTCGGTGGCCTCTCAAAAGAAGCGACAGAAGAGGAGCTTACTAATGTGATCGAGAATCATGTTCTGTCCATTGGTGAAAACTTGAATGCAAAAATCACAAAAGTTGATATTATTAGAGATAAAGAGACCGGTGAGCCACGTGGGTTTGCCTTTTTGGATATGGCGTCAGAAGATGATGCAGATAAAGTTGTGATTGTGAAGCACTTTGAAGTTGCAGGTCGTAGGGTAGAGTTGAAGAAGGCTGAACCCAAAGGTGGCCAGGGTGGTGGAGGTAGAGGTGGTAGAGGAGGCAGAGGTGGTCGTGGTAGAGGTGGTGGTGGTAGGAATACTGGCCAGTTTGGTGGTGCAGGTGGGTGGGGTTTTGGAGATCAATATAGTGGTTTTGGTGTTGACAGTTATGGAGGGTATGGTGCTTATGGTGGTGGTGGATATGGATTTGATAACATGGGGGCGTACAACCAGTATGCACAACAAGCTTCAAGTTTTGGACCATCACGGGCATCAAATGGGCGGTATCGTGGGCGCAGTGGACCATACTAAATATCTTCTCTTTGTAAGTATCTAATTGGTACAGTTCGACTCCCTTCAATATTGCAACATGATGTGAATAATGTAATATTTATTTGCTAATTGTTCCGAGAAGCTCCTATTTTCATAGTATATTGCATCAATATGGCATAGGGATATTAACACCAAGTTGCTATGAAATTGGCATGGTTGTAATTTCCAAGTTACTAACTATTTGCTTAGATAATTAGCAAGTGAATGTTGCCATATTCTCAGCAATGCTGCAATATAATTATTGATAATTCCAAGTTTCATGTCACATCTATCTGGGTGATGTACATCTACTATTACTTCTGCACAGTACTGGTATTTCGGTTGTTCTTTTTTCCTTTTAGCTGTGCAGATTTATAGATAAAGATATAACCTCCAACTAAAAATTCATTCTTCCTATTTTAATGCTTTAGGTTGTTAGCAATCTTGTTCAGTGATTGGTTAAACATTAAGTCTCAAGAAATAGGAACGTAGCCCATAGGCTAAGGCTGAAGAATTAATCGTTAGACCTCAGAAGCAGAACTACTACAAGATTTAAGCGGACTTGGACACAGAACAATTGAGGCTAGGGCAAATGAGGACATCATGAAAATCATTAAGAAATTTTAGTCATTTTAGCTTTTTTGTAGAAGTAATCGTTTTTAGGTTTGTTTTTAAGTGTAATATATTAGTTTTATTAAATTTCTCACAATTAGATCCACAGTAAAAGATCATTAACTTGTCTCAAGTTTCATTTCAGTATAAGATAGAAATTGTTCAAAACTTTGGTGATTTAAACATCCATTTATCAAGAAGCTGATATAGCTTTAAATGACAGTGAAGGAGATATGAATATTAGGTCATTAGTGATGATGGGCAACAAAACAGTTTACAGTATGGTTTATAATACCAAAATAGGTCAAGGTGATATTAGAAGAGCATTATGGAGAAGTCTTCTGATTTCTCTGTGCTAAGAATCATTTTGTTAAAAAAAGTGGGGAATTCAAATTTGTATTCAGTTGCGCCTATGCATGTAATTAAGAAAATATTGTCATCTGAGATAAGAATCAGTAAAATTTCAAAAGCAACTTGCTAAGGAACATATTCATATGACATCTGGATGGTTACTTATTGTCAGAATTCGTGCAAGTAGGTAATTTGTTCTAGTGGTCTAGTCCAGCTCTAGTGTGATGATTGGTTTAATCTAGCAGAAAGTCACCTTTTTATAGCTCCCAATTAATGAAAGTTTGTTGATTAACAAGCTCCTCTATTTAAAAATGATCATTTTGAATGAACAAGTGAAATGCAATCACCATGTAATGTATGTTTTGTTTCACTACCACACCAATTATTTGAAGGAAGGAATAACATCAAAATTTTATCAATAGTGATTGGATTTGAGAAAATGCTAAGGATTGTTCTGATACAATTTAATATGTCATTAATTGTACCTCTAGAAGTAGGGGTACATTTGAATTGGAACCTTAGGGCAAGTATATAACTGTAGTTTATGCCTAAATCTGATTAGTTAATCCTGTTACTATAGTGCTTTTTTGAAACATGCTGTGTTGTAAGAGTTTTCGATAATGGAGGTAGAGCCTAGAGTCACATTAATTAAAAATGTACTGATAAATGTTGTTTTCCACTTAATAGCTCTGAGGTCTTGGTGGAGGAGCAAAACTGTAAGAAACAGTGAAAGGTGGGACATGAAAAAGATTGCTCCTGCATTTAGCAGTCTTAAGCATTTGTCGATTTAGGAATAACTGTAAAATGCAGGTTCCACAACATCAATGTTATGCCTGACATTTAAGTGCATCATAGTCAACTCAATTTTGTAAAGTGTCAATTTTTGGCATGGCAAGCAATGTTCTTCCATAGAAGATGAGATCAATATATGTGGTGTTCATGGAGATAATCTTAAAGTGGCATGATATACAGTGTAACTGTAAGTATCGTACATTGCCAATTTACATGTTACAGTTAAATGTTACCTATCTTCTTTGTTCTCTAACCCAATAAAGTTCAACCTCGCATGCATGCACACTTCCTTCGACACATGCACGAAAAATATTTTTTTATTTTGACAAGTGTTGAAATGAAATAAGTCATAATTATAGCGAGAACGAGGCTTACGGTCGTGCCTCATATTAACCAATAGGAATGTAAAATTCTCTGACCTCGTGATCCTGGGCACGTGTGGTGATATTTTATGTAATTTTATCCATTTCACTTGGCTCTTTTATTTTTCTCGGTAATTGTGAAATATTTCCTCTTTGAGGTTAGTTGTTGAATTTAGGTAGCTTATCCGATAGATTTTTCGTAATTACTATGTCCAGGTTTTCAGACTTTAAGAGGCGCTATACCATTTTTACGCCTTCGTGTGTCAAATATCACGACATTTATAATAGTGAAAGTTCTAATTTTTCTGGTTGTCTCTCTTGCATTTATAGATTTAAATGGAGACAACAGACGAGAAGCAACTAAAGTCCTTATGTAAACTCTTTATTGGCGGGCTACCTCGTACAATTACAGACGAAGATCTTGAAGCGTATTTCTTGCAATTTACCCCTGACGAATCACTTAGTGACTGCGTTGTGATTAAAAATCCGGGAATGCAATCTCGAGGATTTGGTTTTGTCACCTTCAATCGACTTGTTGACGCCGACAACTGTTTAACGAAATACCCACATATAATTGGTGGTAGACAAGTCGAGGTTAAACATGCTATACCAAGAACTGGGCAACACGATGTGAATCATGCACCTACCAACAAAGTATTTGTCGGAGGCCTACCTAGGGAGGCGACTGAGGAAGATGTGTCAGAAGCTCTACAGAATCATGTGTTAGAGTGTGGTGAGAGCTTGAATGCGAATGTTTTAAGTGTTAACATTGTTACAACGAAAAAAGAGGATGGTATAGATCCACCAGTATCACGTGGTTTTGCTTTTGTTGAAATGGCAACTAATGCAGATGCTGATAAAGTTGTGATAGTGAAACACTTAAATATTGCTGGAAAAAAAGTGGAATTGAAAAAAGCTGAACCAAAAGGAGGCTTGGGCAGAGGTTATCGTGGTAGAGGTGGCAGGGGTTCTGGCCACTTTCGTGGTGGTGGAGAAACATGGAATTGTGTTGGCTATAATGGCAATCCGTACAATCCCCCTGGTTTCAGTGGTGGATATTCTGGCTATGAATCTTATGATGGTGGTTATTTTGGTCAGAGTAATGATGATATGTTTGGTCAGTATCCCCAACAAGATTCAGGATTTGGCCCATTCCATGGGAGAAGACCTAGAGGGGGTGGTTACAGTCAAGCTCCATATTGATATATTTTCTGTAAGTACTGTATTGTATAACTCATTGAAAGACTTTTTAAACTCCAGACTAGAAGCAGGTTTTGAGTCTGAATTTTAGTTAGCATTATATTCCTGTATTCCGGGCATTTGAAATTATGGTACTACATGTATTTGGGAACAATGGGACAATTTAATTAAATTTAGTCATTACAGACAAATTTATATTACAGTCAATTTAATAGAACTTGGCAAAACTATTTTATTTTCAACTTATCACGAGCATGTGACAAAGTGTGACTGACCATACATACAAATTTTTTAACGAAAGCTGTTCAAATCTAGTTAAACTGCCCCCTCCTAGTTGTTATTAAAATCAGGTAGGGCTGTCTTATGTCACGAGTGCCCCAGACCAAATCTAGTAATAAAAATTGCCTGATCTCAGTGATCTGGCACAATGATGTGACATTCAAAGGCCAAAAGTATGTGTATATGTGTGAAATTGACAAGCAGATTTTTCAAATTTGATTTTATTGCTCACTAAATCTTTCATTGTTCATTTCAATATTTTAGGTTGAGTTGATATTTGTTTCAGCCTGAAGTCTGGTTCGTGTTCAAGTCTCTGTTTGTGTTCAAGTCTGTTTATTGAAAACACTTCAATGCATTTGTGGATATGAATTTGTTTCAGTGAACTTAAGTTAACTTACTGTAGTATTCAACTTGCTGTTGCATGGTAGCTACAATCTTTGGCAAAAACTATGGGACTATAAAAATGCATGACACCCTCTTGTCCATCTTTCATGTGATGATTATCTCACAAGGATTGATATGGTAGGGTTATATTAATAACAGATAAAAGTTTAACAATGCATGTATAGCTATTAGGAATTACATCATCTGGTAGCATATCAAAGATTGTATAGGGTGGCGTTGCAAACCCAAAAAAGTTAGTATGTATACATTAGAGTTTTTAATAGCATTGTAAATAGAAAGTTGATCTGTGTTGGTGGTTTTAAGCAAAAATACATTTACCACACACGAAACGTAAATATTGTGGGTTTGTTTGCTAGTGCTGTAACAGTGTAACTGCTATCAACCCTCCACTGCTCAGCATTGATGTAGTCCTCCCAGAGCATGAGACATATTGGGTTTGTAGACTTTGTGACCACTCAGTGGTTATTTGCGATCTGCAAAAGAAGAAATGAGAAATGTGGAAAATAAAATGAAAAACAGGATGAGTTGGAAGCGAAATTTATACAATTATATATTATAGAACGGTAACCTCTTTGGATATCTATGATATTCGTTCTAACATTGGATAAAAACGTTAAAAATTGCGTCACTCGTTGCTTTCTTATCATAGGCAATGTATCATAGCCAATATATCATTGGAAGGCCTGGATGTTACGTCATTGTATCAGAGTATAAACTAACAATCAGTGGATAAATTTAAAATATAGCTCAGTGGCGTATGGTAGTAAATGAACTAGATAGATCATAGATGTTCGATGGAACTAATGGAAGAAAAAGAACTCGAAGAAGCAATTTCTCAGTATAACAAACAAGTCAGTTATTTCTTAGATTTTTAACTGAGTATCACGGTGCATATTAAATTTAATAATTTTTGACAGAAAAATGTAGAAATTCTTACATCTATGTGATTCTGTGATCTCATCTCTACCAAAATAACTGAGATTTCTAACATTTTGTATGAATTTGATAAAATGGACTCTCGTTATTAATACAATATGAGCACAGCGAAATATAAAAATTGGACTTAGAGTCAAAGTTATTATTGGTAGAGAGTACGAGAAACAGTTGTATATTGAAAAATGGCTGGAAAATTATCCCACATCTGGTAGATAAGGAACATTGGGGTAAATAAATTGAGGCATTTTTTAGATTTTCTAGATATAGTATATGGCTGTGGAAGTTTGCAGTGGCTAGGTACTTCTTTTCTCTTAGATATCTAGCAAGTCAGACACCCTAGACTTTTTTGTCTGTTTTGTTTAGCTGAGTAAAAAAATCAGATGTATATATCCATTTTGCATTTGGCAAGTAAGACTGGCAGACTGCCCTCTGATGTAAACTTAATATGACAAATTTTGAATTCAGTCAACTGCTTTTTATATTAGAATCTAAACTATATATAGGCTGATTGAAGGGTTTGTTGTGCTTGCCAATATGATCTTTTAATCTCTATTATGATTATGTAGTTAAATCAAATCGAAGCAGTTTTGCAAAGTGAAACCAATGATGAACTCAGTCAACTCAAAGAAGATCTTGTTGAAATTATCAAAATAAGTGAAGGTAATTAATATATTTGGTTTTAAAGGTTATGAGGCATAGATGATTTAGATGTTTATTCTTGTTGAAAAATTTTTTTGTGACAAAAGAAAATTTCGGAAATTAATTTAAACTTGTTATTATAATGAGGGCGAATATGATGGGCCTTCCAGGCTGCCTTACTGTGTTGAAATTTTTAAGAACAATTATTAATAAGTCTGGTTAGATTTCACATTGGTGGTAGCTGTATGTGTGTTTTGCATAGTTTGCATTGTAAAATTTAGCTAAGTATACAATAACATGGATTTAGGTTCCTAAAAAGATCAATAATATTGTCTAATCTGCTTGTGGCAATACTGTATGTCAAATGCACCGTTTTTATACAAAAGTATATATAAAGGTGTTGAAAGTTAAAAAGTAACCAATCTTCTGCCAATTAACCTTATTGACAATGACAATTCACACAGATACCAATCATTACCATTTGTAGAAAGTCTATTGTGTTTGAAGAAAGCTAAACTACTAAAGTTGCTTGATGAAGTTGATGAAAATGATGGAGCAGAGGTATGATCAGCATGCAGGCTGGCAATATTTTGTTTTTTTGTTTGTGACAATTAAATGAATTAATACCCTGTCATTGCCTGGCAAATATATCCTATCTAGTGTGCATGAAATTTATAAGAGAGTTAGTACTCAAAATTTGCCTGAAATTTTTTAGCCAGATCGATAGAACTCACTATTTTTTTTAATGGACCCCAACGAACACACACTAAAAATTACTTCACAGCAACTGTGATTGCATCTAGTTTATCTGCATTTGTTCAGACATGCTCACTATATGAAGATAAGGAAGGTCCTGACCAACCTAGCTCATCATTTTCTTGTGTATCAGAAATTGAAAAATCCATTGCTGGAACACGATGCAAAGCACCTTATTCTTTTGTAAGTACTGGTATTTTAATTTATATATTTATATAAAACAATCCATAATGAAAAGTACTACATAGATAAGAAGTTGCATTATCATAATAATTTCTACTGTGATATAATTTAGGATTGGGGTGTTGCAGGATATTACAATGCAATGGTCCTAAGTGTTGAAGAAATGGACGATAGTGGTACTCAGGTTTCAAAGGTACTGACAGTTTAAAGTAACACTCAGCAGTAGGTCATGTGCACTCATGATAATATGCAGTACTCTGATGATTAATATTATGCAGGATAGGTATTAAATAAAAGCAAGTGTGCATTATTATCTAGCAATATTTTTCATTGAATTAATCTGCATATGTGAATTTAAAGAATTCTGATCTCCAGTCGAGCTGTTAAACAATTCACTGTTAAAATTGTGCACTTAGTTATAGGAGCTTTCATACTTCGCTTGTTGTCAAACATTTACAATTGATTCTATATTCTTTTTGCATATCACTAACTCTATTCCATTAATCTGATGCCAGGTGCGTGTATTATTTACAAATCCAACACATAGATCCATGCTTCCATGTCCATATTTCCTTGATGAGAAATGTAGATTTGATGCAAAAGAGTGTAGGTGAGTTCTGAATAACAATACATAAAATATATCTAAAACTATATACATTTGAATCAGAACAAAAACAAACAAAGCAAACTACCAAAGGAAAGATTAATAGTTGTAATTCGTATGATTTCATACTTGTAACTAATCAACATTTCTGCCCAGGTTTTTATTTTTCATGAAATTTATTTGTGTTATGTTTTCTTGGTTGCTCTCTATTTGATGGGTAGAACTTGATTAATCAACTTAACCATTTTTATAGATACTCCCATGGACATGTGGTAAACATGGCAGATCTTAAAGCATATGTGGAACCTGACTTCAGGTAAATACTGAGAATGAATGAGGCATGGTACCATAGCTTGTATGCAGAAGTAAAACATAAACCAATGATTATAGCTTTTGTATATGAGTGTGTTTTTTTTATAACTAAAAAATCATATTTACAATAAACAACAGTCTTGGTTTTGGTATGAACTTATTTGTTTTTTGTGTAGCCTGCTACGAATTGATGGCAAATGCCTAGCAAAATATGAGGATGGAATTTGGTATAAAGCAACCATAATGTAAGTTTACATATGTAACTGAAAGAATACCAGCAAGAGAAAAACATACAGTCCTGTACATCTATTGAATTTTTTTTAATAATATGGAAAGCAAGTCTCTATATTAGTTGAACTTGGTGACCAGCTTTTTTGCTATTTTTGCTGTGTAGTTTATTTTTCTGCTCTTAGTTTGTGTATTTTAGTAATAACCGGTTTTATCGCTCTGCCACCGCTAGGCGGTTGCATTGTTAAGTCTTTGACCTCAGCAAAAGACAGCTAATTACAATAATTTTTATCAGACATTTGGCTGCAGACAATGTTGATGTTCACTATGATACGTATAACATGGATAAGAATGTCAAGCTGGAAGATGTCTGTCCTATAGAAGGTACGTTTTCGAGGCACTTTTTTTGGAGTACGCTCTCCCCTCCCCCTTCGATCAATTCCATATGGATACGAAGAAAGGTATGTACGCAAAAAAATAGTGAACATACTGCAGCTACGTTTCACTGCACTAATTTTATCGTTCTTGTTTATTCCTCTGTTATAAACTTGCCTTCTAAGCGTGTTAAAACTTTTGCGTAATGGGGTAGTGGAAATCTTAGGTAATTATTGGAAATAGTCGTATATTCATTTTTTGCTAAAAAATCTTTAATAGATCCAGAGGATGGTTCTGATGATGACGAGGACTCGTTAAGTGAATGTGAAGAGGCTGGGCAGGAGAAAGTGATTGCTGAATTTTGCCAAGCCAGCAATGTTCGAGGCAGCGGTACTTTAGGCGACTGGGAGATACACACTAAGGTAGGACTAGGGTAGATTCTTCGGGTATTGTTTATTTGTGGATGTGTCTTCGTGTACATTAATCGGGGCTATCAAGAGATGATTTTCAAATTTTGAGAATTTATTTTAGGGGATTGCTTCAAAGCTTATGGCAAAAATGGGATACGTTTTTGGGTAAGTACAATATGAACATGTTTATCTACTGATATCTGTCTCTGATAATTTTACATAGCCCATAGAAAAAAGACATCTATTGTCTATTATTTATTATAACTCGATAGTTTGCACTAGTTACCACAGTAATAATGTTCTTATTTAGAGACGTTTCCGCCGTTTAGGAGAGGTCTGGGAAAGAACGAAGATGGTCGCGTTGAACCAGTGGAAATCATTCTCTTACCGACAGGTTGGTTGACTTCAGCATTATGTTTCTAGGTTTCGTGCGTTGAAATGACGTTGGAGAAATTTCCATTGTGATAAGTTGCGTTTGAGTAACTGTATTATATACAGTAACTAGTTCCATGCAGTCATTTCCCTTTCATTCTTCTTCATTATCTTCTGATGTTTAAGGCAAGTCCCTTGACGCTTGCGCAGAACTTCGTGAAAAGAATAAACTTAAGCAGCCATTTAAGAGAAAGAAAATCAAAGGGAATCAAACAGCTAAAGCTGGCATTGATCAGGTGGGTACAACGAAAATTTGTTCTGTGGCGGAGTTACGACTCAAAAAATTTTGTTGTGTTTTCTTCTTCACATAGGGATGATTCACGTACTCCATTTCTGATAAATTACTTCTTTTGACATGCTTTTACAATTTTATACCAACAATCAACAAGACTGATCCAGTCTGTTTCACACCGTTACATCATCTATTTTTTAAGGCTCCAGTACAAGATGTGTTCGACTTTATCAATAATACACTTGGAGGAAAAAAAGGTAAGAAATTGTGTTCAGGCCATTCCACGGCTATATTAACAACATATTTATTGGACAATGCCATACAGGCCTGTAAAATCTGTTTTTCGTACTGCCAGCGACATTTTTGAAAAAATGACAAAATTATTTTATATTATGGTACAATTATGGTATTTATATATTGTATGGTATTTTATAAATATGGTATTTTATATTATGAACAAGCCAATAAGCTACTTCTTGTTTGTTCTGATGAATTGACAAATATTTTCTCTGAGACAACAACTGTGAAAACACTTTGTCGAAAATTTTCTGGCAACGGTATTGCTAGATCTTCCGGACATTTTCCGACAATAGATTCTACTTTTCCCATATAGGTATTTTTAGTTTCTTTACTCTTCATTTGCCCTCTGGGTGGTGTGTAGAGGGAGCCTGACTACTGATACTAATAGTTTGTTTTGCTGTTATCAGGAAACATTGAAGATTTCAAACAGAACCAACAGTCCACAATGATGCTAGATCGTAGGAAATCGACAAAAGGCAAATCTGACAGAAATTATAATGTCGAGGTGAGTTGATAATGCACCCTCTTTCTCGAACGCGTTTTATTGATGAATTGATGCATCGTTGGGATTCATTCAGTCGCAGCCTGCGAGCAGGTTGGGAGAGCTAGGAGCCCACTCGCAGGCTGCGTTGTATACTGTTAGCTTTAGCATGTTAATTTATTACAAATTTTCAGATTAGATCTTTCACTGGTCAATATTGTTCTCATCATCCAGTACTCTGCTTGAAATATAGCAAAAAAGGCTCAGAGACACTATGATCACATATAGGTGGTTTGCTGGAAATATTTCAGGAACTATAATAACGTTTAACGCCACTTCATCCATATGTTTGTAAGACTGTAGACTTTACAGCAAAAGTCTAACTCCGATCACAGAAACTTTGAAGCCCGTTTTAGACGTCACATTCCGTTCGCATCGAATGACAATAGATGAGATGATATGCTTTGTTAACCCGAACCTGAGTTGGTCACAATAGTGTATAGTATGAAAGCGAAGAGACGAGCTTTAAGTAGACATACCGTTGTTTTGTATTTTCAGTTATTCAAATTGGAACAAGAAAAACTGAAATTACAAAAAATGTTGAATAAACAGGAGGTTTCCGTATCCAGGAATAATGGAAAGTAAGTTTTGCAATTATTCAATTTGGTTGCCAGTATTTTTGGTTTAACGAGGGGAAATTCAGGGGATAACATCAGGGGCCGGTTGTATCAGTTCCATTTAGCTAAAATAGAAAGTAAGTCTGTTTACAACTACAGTGCATAATATTCAAGTTGACTCGTTCGAGAGAGATGTAAGATTGTTATTTAATTTTGACTTATCCACCGTTTAAGCTAAACGCGTTTTATACAACCGACCCCAGGTGGATTACTCAGTCTTATGAGGCAAATTAGTCATTGAGTTTTGAATTTGCTAAAAGACATATCCGGAAATATCATTCGCATATTCTTGTCTTTTCAGGGACGCCGCTCTTATTGGACTAGCAAAACAGAAAATGGTTGAAATGCGAAATAAAATTAAAGACATAGAAAGACAAGAAAAACTGCTCAAACAGAAAATACATCAGAATAATGAACATAAGAAATTGACAGTCTTCTAAAGAATTTAAGCCCAGAAGATTTAATGCAATATAAGTGGGTTAACACCAGAGCGACCCAAAATTTCGAGCGGCGCCCGGACCAAAACTGTCGTGGGGCCGTTTCGTGAATGACATAAATTGCGCAATCACTCTTTCCCTCCCCTTGGCCTTGGATTTACAGGTATCCCCCTTTAAGGCGGCTAGTATCGTCGTATACCTTTTGTTGGAATTGTAACTTTAATGAGAATGTTCCATACGCAATTATGATTTAATGGTCAGTAGAAATAAAAACAGTTGTTGTATCTGGAAAATCTTGCATGGTACGATGAAATTCTTACTTCAAAACCGCCATGGAAAAGCGTTCGAGCGACAAGCGAAGCATAACTCTCGCCGGAAGCGCAGAGCAACTAATTTTATATCAGTGCCAGGACGAAAAAATTATCAAAACAGAACAGTAAAAATTAAGTAATTGACAGCGGCTAAAACAAAATTGATGCGATGTTACTAGAGTAAAATCGCAGCAAAAATCGGAAGTGTAAACGAGCATGAGGAACGTCACCCAGCACTCCAATAGAGACACAGAAAATAATGTAGTAAATTGAAACTAAAACAAAATTGATACACTGAACAAAAATTAAGTTATGCAGAACATCAAACAAAAACAGAATTAACAAGTTGACCTTACAAAGATAGAATTACAAAGGTGACTAAAACTAAAATAGTCATTTCAATATATTGTTGGTGATGTGTATAAATACTGGCCGTTTTGCAACCACAGCCATAAGTGGTCTCTGTGCGATAAAATTAATAACATTGATACGATGAATTTTATATTTTAATATGCATATTTTAATATGCATGTTGTCTAATGTTTATTGTGAGTCGAACGCTAAATAAATATAGTAAAATTACTTGTGTCCATAGCGGCCATTTTCTGGCTTCGCCTTTCCGTTATGTCGTTCGCATATTGTAGGTTTAGCAAGATGGTAGAGCTATCATTTCAAAGTTGGACAACGTTGAATCGATCCGTCGTAATACTTCAAAGAAAGACTTTTCATCAGGATTGTCTATTAATAGACGTTCCAGGAATTTCAGATTTTCGTCTGCACGAAGACGGGTCTTGATTTCCCCGAACACGCCGAACGGTAAAATAATCTTACCAAGTTGTTTCGCATACAAGAGCTCTTCCGTGCAGTAATCGCTATTAAAGTACTCCTCGTTCAGCCAAGCAATAAAACAATCGCATTCCTCGATGGATGCTTTCAAAGCCGGCTGTAGATATCCATAAGGCATATCAGATTCATCAAGCCATGTCGGGTAACCAAGAAACGCCAGACCATTTTTGAATGTGCGCAGAATAGGCTTGTCTTTTGCCTTGTGGCTGAGGAAAAAACGAAACTGTGGTTTATATTTTGTATATCTGATTTTCTTGGTTATTAATGGCACGACGTTTGAACCCAAATAATCTCTTAGTCTCTCGTGACTTAATTGTTGAAGACGCTTCAGCTCTGTGATATTGATAAGAGTTTCCACAATATCAAATGAAATCCGATCTTCCTTCTTCGAAATTCTTAGATAATGGCATTTTTCTATCTCTAGTGTCCAAGTTGTGCCTGTCGAGTCGTGCTTGAAATTTGTCAGAATCACAACAATGCCATTTTCTAGCTTGTAGTCGAACGAAAACCTTAGCCACCAATATCCTGTACTTTCGTCAAGACCAACTTTCTCTAGTATTTTAATATTGTGCTCGTTCATTGAAGTTGTCACAGCCAGTTCCGTTTTAAGATCAGCTAGATTTATCTTTCTCTCCATAATTAGTTAGTTTCATGCAATGTAAACTAAAACCAGTGGCGTAGCCAGAACGATAATTGGGGGGGCCCATATTCATATATTCGTGATACGCAGGATTAATTTCTTTTCAAATCAATTGTCTTTACAGTCTGTTTACATGAATATATGAATATGGGCCCCCCCAATTATCGATGCTGGCTACGCCACTGACTAAAACAGCAGTGTATTCTGAAACAGCAATCCAAGTGCCTTTGTGCATACAAAGATGATAAGCTATTTAACATATCAAAGTCCTTCGCAGCATGCAGGTGTAGAGTTGCTTCTATGGTAATTATCATGATGCATGCATAATAAAAACTACAATAATTATATTACAATATTTTCCCCGATTCCGATTTCCGAGAAACCACTGTAAGTTTTGGAATTTTAAGGCTAGCGGAATCCTGGAACACCTACTTCAATATCCGTGACAGTCCTAGTAATCTAAACAATACAGAATAAAGAATAACAAAAATATAGGAATTCGTCAAAGCACAGTTAATAGAACTAAGCACCAACACCCTGGAATTTTGATTGCAATTTAGATTTTGACGTTGCTCGACACCCAACTATACTGTCTATACATGCCAGGTTACGATGCTGAGTGCTGACGCAATGTCAAAAAGCTGCCTTAATAAATAGTGGCGTAACTCAATCGCTGGCGGGGCCCTCCGTCAATCAGGTAATTATAATCATGGTAATTTTTGTCGTGGCCCCTAAAGTTCGGGGGGGCTCCGTCACTTGACACCCTGACACCTCCAGGAAACGCCACTGATCCTAAAACAGATGCTTTGCCTTGTAAATTGGCCTCTGCCCAAAATCCAAGGTGGTCCTCCATTTTAGGGGCTAGTGCCTATTATACAGTGATGTTGAACAAGAGGTAAGCTATTACAAGAGGTAATACTGAACAAGAATTAATTGTGTTTTTTTGAAAAATATGTTATTTTAAGGTGAGGGACGTTTTATGTTGCAATGCTGCTATTAATTAACGCATCCTTATCATGTTGACATAAGATCTAATGTCCTACATTCAATTGTTATTAGCTCCAGTGCTACGGGAGTTCGTGCAGCGTACTTTTCACACGAGAAAATAGAGGTAAGGAACTTTATTATGTTATCATAGAACCATGTTTGCTTTTTATTTCATTTTTGTATCTGGATGCGTATATAGGACAGGTCTATGTAATATAATATTGTATGTGATTCAAGTCCGGCCGTGCAAATAGTTCGCTAGTATTGCTGATTACTGATTGAGTTCAAGCTTGAACCTCGATGAATTAAGGTAATGAGAGGAATCCGATATTATGCTGCTTTAGTACATTAGAAAAAGAAGACAATGTGGAGCTCCGAAAGACTCCACTAAGCTCGCCGACCTCACTCCGTCTCTTTTTAAAATTAATACTCTTCAAAGTCGACTGAAAGGTCACGGAAAGTGCGCGCCGGCCATTATAGGGAGTTGTGACAAAACTGATTGAGTCGAAAATTTGAAAAATTCTGTCTGATATCTGAAATTTGCCAATGAATTCGACGTGTTAAAACAATTTCGAGCTGAAAATTAACGGTTGGTCTCTAAATCAATACGTTCACATACCTTGCTGTCATCACAGCGCTAATTTCTTTCTTTGAACGTTTGACCTTTGGGTGAAGTTACAATAATTTGCGTACTTTATAATTATAACAAATATTCGCCTTTTTTCGACGTTTTGCGACTATCGATATAACCACAAATTTCTCTGATACCTAAGAAGACTCTTTGATTCTTATTGACTTGGGCTTCGTTGGACGCTGATTATTTTTTAAAACTTCATTTTCTTCTCGCCTGTCGTGGTCATTTTATCGCATCCCACATATCTCCACATTCGTACAGCAAAGCACGATCTTGGAATGATAAAACACCTGGTTACAAAACTAATTTAGGTGTGCTACTTTGTCCTCGATCACGTTTTAGACCGTGAGGTTAAGGCTCTTATCTAAGAGATGGTAATTAGTGAAGAGTCTTGCAGAAGAAAAGTGCATGAAGTGTAATAAACACAAAAGTTTCGTTGTTCCCAAATAAACATCTCTCACTTTAAGCTCCATAGCTATTACCTTTAAAATCACTACAATTTGTCCAATAAAATCGAAAACTACTTCATTGTTTAAGAATATAACAAAGGCTGTCTTTTCTATCATAGTGTGTAGTTCAAATTCTTCTAAAAGATGAGGACAGACAACCGCAGATTGTTATGGGAAGACTGGTTGGCAATCGCTGTATATTTTGTTTTTACGATTGGCCTCGGTCTGGCGGTGAGGTTTGCAATGTTTTTAGCATGTAAATAGTTCACGTGAACAGAGAGATGAGGGCGCAATATAATATTTTCTGCATCTTTCTCGATAAATATCAACGTGGAGGTTGAAAGGAACACTAAGCATATTATAGTAGCGATTATTTAATATTGATACCAAGTGCATGAGATGCACAAAAAATCATGAATTTACTCTGTATTCAACTATATCAGATATTCAACCTGCTTATATATAGGATTTAGTTCTTAGTGCTTCGCTGATAGTATTTTGTTTAATTCTTAAATCAACGTTTGGGAATTCGGAATGTCATAAATCGTGAGCCAATCAACCTAATTTTTCGGTTGTTTGAAAGCATAATACAACAACTGTTTTTTTTTTCTAAGGTGAAATTTCGACGAAGAACGAGACAAGAATCGGCAGAAAGTTTCTTTTTAGCAGGTCGTTCCTTAGTTTGGTGGATGGTTGGGGGAAGTATTTTTGCAAGTAATATTGGTGGTACTCATTTTATTGGTATTGCTGGTGATGGTGCAGCGACAGGTATTGCAGTCATCTGCTACGAATGGCAGGTAAATGATTGATTGTGTGATTTAGTGGTAGGTTTCGATGAAGTATATTACTATTTCCCATTCCATTCGTGTTGAAAGGACTTGAATTAATCTGTTACGAAATGCAGATAAATGGTACCAATCTAGTATATATTATGCTGGGACTTTGGGACACATTGCTTCTGTTTGAATTTTTCAGGCTTGTTGGACTCTGTTGATCCTGGGGTACTTCTTTGTTCCAATTTATTTAACATCTGGGGTAAGCAGATATAAACAGTGATGTCGTTACTCGTTACCTACTAGTAAGTGAACTGTTAACACTGAACAGTAGGTATAAATCAAGAACTCATTATTCATTTATTCTCAAGATAATTCTTTCTTTAGATTTACACAATGCCGGAATACATGCAGAAACGTTATCAAAGCCAGTCGATCCGCACGATATTAACGTTTATAACTCTTGTGAGCTATGTCTTTACCAAAATATCGGTACGTATTGGTGAAACTCATGTATCCTGAGAAAAAAGGATATTATTAATGAAGTGAATATTTCTACGTACAAATCCTTAACTGCTGACATAATAATGTCAGCAGTTAGGAATTTTTACATAGAAATAAAGCAGTTAAGGATTTGTACGTAAAAATTGAGCTGAATGACAATGAGAAGATTGCTTCCAGCTTCAACAAGCCGAACTGAATTATGTTCTTCGAGCACAGTAAAAATCAAGTCGTACTGACTGAAAGGACAGCTATTAGCAAATGCAGTTATCGTTTTTTTTAGATTGATATTTACGCTGGCAGTGTGTATTTTCGAGAGGCGACAGGATGGAATATTTATATATCAGCATTTGTTGTCCTGAGTATTACAGCTGTTTATGTCATTGTTGGTAAGCATGGATGGTTTTAAAGATTTTCGAAAAGGAGAGCAGGACTGGATGGTGTTAACAGTTTAAAGCCACGCAATTTGTTCTGCTTTGAATTTGGTGTATCATGCAGCTAATAGAAGACACTGAGTTTATTTAAATGATCCCCTAATCCGATTCTTGTTTCCAGCCTTCAAATTTGTGATCCAGTATAACATCATCTTTTAGGTGGTCTTGAAGCGGTCACATTCACAGATATTTTACAAGTCAGCATTATGTTAATTGGCGCCATCATACTCACTATATTAGGTAAGCTGATTTAGATTCCAGATTTCAAGGATGTGGGGTAAACTGATTGCAATCAGTGTAGATGCCTAAACATTTTACAAGTTTTATTCCTCGAGGTTTATATTTCTTTAAATTTATTTCAGGTTTTAATGAGGTAGGTGGTATTGATAGGTTATGGGAAGAATATCCCAAATCGTTTGGTCGCCACTGGCGTGAAGTAGAGAATGTAACCATCAATGGCACGACGCAGGGGGGTTATGGTAATTCATCAAGTTGCTATGGCCTTACTCCGTATTGGGCAAATATGTTTCGTCCTTTTGATGATCCGGACTTTCCATGGTTTGGACTCTGGTTTGCTCTGCCGATTGTCGAGATCTGGTACTGGTGCACAGATCAGGTAGGATTTTAACTATGTATAGCTTAATTTAGATCACCTTCAGACATATCCCTGAATAACGCAGCCCAGTGCTCGAGGTAATTTTCGTCACCTCAATCGTTACTTGGGCCCGGAATTTCTCGTGCAAACCAACTCCTTCAAAATGTGTCAAAAATTTAACCAGGCGTACATTTTATGAGTGAGTCCGTTTAACTACGCAATTGTAGGTGATGGTTCAACGTGCCTTGGCAGCGAAGAATGTCGTGCACGCAAAAGGCGGAACAATCTTTGCCGGATTTCTTAAGATATTGCCCATGTTTATTATGGTTTTTCCTGGAATGATCAGTCGTGTTCTGTACAAAGATGACGTAGCTTGTCCTGATGCCGAGAGTTGCAAGAAAGCTTGTGGAAATGAGTTGGGATGTTCCAATTTAGCTTATCCCAGGTATTAGAATATGCAGGAACAGTGATGATTGTGGTTGTGGTGAAATTACATGATGATAGTAATTTTGCAAGGCGATGGTTAGGGTCGGATGTCACTATACGGACGTATTTTCTGATTTTACTTGGGGGCCCGAAATTCAGGGGGTGCATACTTTCCCGGAAATATTCATTTTTTGAATTATCTGAAATGCATTTTGCCGGGACATGTGACATCAGCTATAACCTAGAGGCTTATTTTTTACTATTACTCTTCTTTTCACAACGAAAGAATAAACATCAGTTTAATCTCCAACTACTGCAGGTTTTTTAATGACTTCATTTTCACCATTCACTCTTGTGCATAGGAGGTGCAAATTTTTCTAGAGGTTTATAATTTTCTAACAGAGGGATGCAAGTCCCCACCTCAGGTGTCCCCCGGCGAAATTCGTCCATATACGTAGTATCATGCTGATAACTAAATGCGGCTCAAATGTTTAATCGATCATTTTAACCTTGCTTTAGGTTGGTATTCAATTTGTTACCAACAGGGATGGTTGGGATCATGATGGCGGTAATGTTGGCAGCTGTAATGTCCTCGTTATCTTCAGTGTATAATAGTGCCAGCACCATATTTACTATTGATATTTGGCAACGGCTAAGACCAAGGGTAAGGAATTACATTATTTTTGAAGAAGCTTTTACGCTGCCTTTTGGTTATAATTAATTTATTCTTTGAGTTCCACAATACGTTAGGTCCCGTTCGCGGTCGCGTCTTGCGACTGACTTTAAACACAAAAGAAACGAATATTGTAGAGTAAAAATATATGAATATGTCCCCCAAACGTCGTGCCGGCAATGCCACTGCATGATATAGTTAACTGATTTTGCGCTGAGTGGAAAAGAAGTCCTATAGTGTTGTAGTACATTAACAAGTGAATTAGCTAATATTAACTAAAGTAGCTTTGTGCAAATATTTTTAAAATGACCAATTTTAAAATGTTTGCAATGCTTTTAATTTTTTCTTTATTAGGCAAGTGACAGAGAAAAACTAATGGTTGGCCGTGTTATTGTGGCTGTCCTCGTAATACTGGGACTAGTATGGATGCCTTTGATCGAAAGTATAATTTGAATATTTATACTCCCATTAAATAATGAAATGCTTTATTGGGTGCATGGCCGACCCAATAAAGAGCAGGTAACTTTGGAGGCTCGCTACCCTCGCGACAGTCCAGAGTTACCTGAATATTTATTTATTTTACGGCTGATTTTATGATCGGGGTGACGTAGAAGCTTAATTTGGCCAAATACAGAGCCAAGGTTCACAGTTAGAACTTCTAAATATAACCATAGATAAGAAAAGTGAGAAACCCCATGTTTTCATTTTCCTGGTAGTAATTCAACTCAAGTCGCCTTGCTGGCCTCTATTCTATCTATCCCCAGCCGTTTGTCGTGAAGAAAACCAAAATCCTGAGCTGATAGTAACATTAGTTGTTTTCTATTTTAAGGGGGAGGTAGTGGTAAGCTTTTCCGCTACATTCAAACTATCAATTTTCTCCTTGGCTCGCCTATAATGGCTATATACTTCGTTGGAATGCTTTGGCCTCGAGCCAATGAGCCTGGGGCCTTGGGAGGCTTCATCATGGGCGTATTATTAGCTGCAGCGAGGTTTGCAACAGAATACATTTATGCTGCTCCAGGGTGTGGTGAGGACGATACACGACCAACCTTTGCCTCCATTAACTACATGTACTTTGGTAAGACATTTTTGGTATTTTTCATGCACTGTGCGATAAAAGTTAGTCACTATGATAATGAAACTGAATTGCGACGTATGAACTAGGCGTCAGTAAAATCGTATTTACCTGTTATTACCAATGCGTCTGTTCTAGGGTAGCTATGTAGCCATGAGCACCATATACTTTGGCTGGGACTCGTGCATGTAAAACGGCATAAACCAAGAAGGGTCCGTTGCCGTCAATGCGTGCATGGTAAATTGAGTTCCATTTTTACCCTGTAGGAATCATTCTATTTCTTGTGACTGTGGCAACAATTATCATACTTAGCTTGCTAACAAAACCTATCCCGAGAGAAGAGCTGGATGGCTTGACTTGGGTAACATTGAAGAATAAAACGACCTTGCAAAACAGTCACAAGGAAGGAATCAAAGACAGCAAGGTTCCATCCTCTTTCGACAAAGGTAACTTTAAATTGCCATGTGCGACAAATCGTGATTAGTAGTTCTTATTTAATGTATTTTCACCCTCCAGTTTCTGGCATTGATTTCCTGCATTTCACATCTTTATTAATCTATATTCTATGCATACAGCTTCCTGTCTAATTCTATTATTCGTCTTTCACAGATATAGAGTTGACAAAATACAAGGAATCGGCCGATGAAACGTTCACACCAGACGCTTTTCAAATCTCATCAAGAGACCATGATGTTCTATTTGAAAGTCGAAGAGAGAAACTAATATTAAATATTAGTTCAGTAATTTTACTTCTGGTTCTTCTATTCTTATGGATTTGGTATCGTTAAACCATTCTGTGACAACCTGGCGAATAATGATTCAGTATAATGAAATTTTGTTTTTTTTATCTATCCTGTAAACATTTTACATGCACTTGTTCGAAATAGTCGAAATACATATCATCAATAAATTTTATTTATAGTGTTTCAATTTTTTAAATATTTTCAGGTATTTTTAAAATTTTGACAGATATCCAAATAATCCAAGTATTTTTAAATTTTTATATTTCAATTTCAATTTTTAAAATTTGAGACCAGAGGCCCATAATTGCGGGCTTGTTCGTTGCCCGGTGGCCGTTGCGTCAGAAATACGTGAACACAGCCACGCGTCAATGCTCTACATACATGCAACCATAGGCGGCCCAAAATTCGCGCGAAGAATTTTTCGGCAATTTGTCAATGTAATGTACAAATTGCCGAAAAATTCTTCGCGCGAAAAAATATCGCGCAATTTTGGGCCGCCTATGATGCAACTGGAGAAACAAAATGTATGGAGTCAGTTGATTCTGGCAATATGTTTGAAAACGAGGAAAAAGATAGCACCTACAATCAATTGCTATTTTTTTATTTCGAATGCGTACAGGAAACGGGTACTCACATACAGTCTCTGCATTGTTCACGATGAGGCAGGAAACGAAGTTAATGAACACATTTTTTGAAGGGGAGAATACCAAAAACAATTTTTCCGCTTTATAATGCCGTAATATTTACATGAGAACGTAGTTTTTCCTCAAGTATAATCATGGAGGAGCCAGGAGCTGAACTTGATCAGTGTGGCTGTGATTCTGTGGATAGTCAGGCCTATAGACTCGCGTATAGAGAAAACCAAATAAACAGTAAATAGACATTAAAATTCCAACATGCAAAAACGTGATTTGTTTGCTAACCGGGGGCCGGTTGTTCAAAGCTATAGTTAGCGCTAACCCTAGTTTAATTTTAATCCACTGTCTTAGGTGCTTCTGAACCACTGTTCCGTCTGTTCTTTTTAAAACTTTAGAAAAATCACTTCTTTTAGAACAGATATTCAACTTTTTTAAGATGAAAAAGATTGATGTAAAGATTTGCGTTAACTACATGGGTTGAGTTAAGCAAACGTCTTTTGAACAACTGGCCCCGGGTGACTTTAGCATAATAGATAATAAATTACTCGGTTCTCGTCCAGTTAAAAACAATAGTAGGCATCCTTTGTTCTCTCTGACCAATCAGAGGGGGGATTTTGATAAGCAGGAAACTTGAAGCATGCATGGAGAAGCGTGCTATTACATTGAAAGCCCATTCGTGAACATTTCCTTGTTGGGGCTAGATGACTTGGCTTCGTCTCAAGTTCTGAAGAGAAAACTATACTGATTTAAGAAGCGAACGTTTCATGATCAACTAACAAGTCGTCTATCTTGTTAGCGCTGCTGATGACTACATGTGTACAGGTATTTATTTATCTTAATCTTCCCTGCTACGGATCAACGCATTTCGATTTGAACGGCAAAATTTGCATTGCCAGTTGCGACCATGTGTCCCGATTTTGTTCGACTTTTGCAGCAAAATCTTCTCAGTATTGCATTAGTTTTGATATCATAATAAGTTTCCCTTAACTCATACTTTCATTCCTTATCATTTTAGAGGGAAAATCCTGGGGAAAAACGCAAAATCCCGGAGAGATGTAACCTCATGTAAACCAGCAAGGTTAGTTTATGCAGAACTAAATTTTAGATAGCTTCTTGTGGGCATGTAAATCCTTCGTGAACTTGTTTCCTTCTTATGCTTCATTATAGTTTGTATTCGGAACTATAAGACTAAGTAATGAGTACTTACAAACCTTATTTCATTTGAACTTGTAAATTTTTTTTCAACGATGTGAGTTTATTTTATGTTTCGGAACTCGGGGATATTATTTGGCCTTCACTAACTCTCTATGTTATCAGTTTAAATTTTTTATCGCTTTGTTCATATAATATATAGACCTATTAACGCAAGATACGAGATAGTTTATTTCGGTTTAAGAGAAGCCATCCTGCATGTCTTTAATATGTATAATAATATGTATATACAATCTAATATATTTATGGAGATCTGATAAAGACACGAAGGGATAGAGCCAGGCGCACGAATTTATTCGACATAACCAACGTAGAGGGCGGGTGCCATACGATTAAAAAATGACAAATGTCTAGACAAGCTAGCCTGCCGTATGTTTGTTTAGATTTCAAACTTTGCTTCAAAATTCTTCGCTCATCAAGACTCCGCTTTTCAATTTTTAGAAAGAAACGTTCGCAATCTTCCAAAGCCAAAGGAAAGAAAAGGAAATGTAATGATAGAAAGCAACTAAGAAAGGTGACTGAATGCAATCCCTAAGTGCGCGCTAATTCGAAAAGGTTTTCTACTCAAAAATTGTTCGTGCCACTTAAAAGCCGCAAAAGGCAAAGAAATTCATGATTGCATGTGGACTTCAGTGGGGTAAGGGCATGGGGATTATTTTATTTGTGTGCATTGTTGGCCTTTTGTGCAAATTCTAAATGCGTTTGAGGTTTCATTTGTGCTCTTGAAGTAGGAATGTTTGTGGACACTCCAGTGACTTCACAGTTCAGTCGCCTGCACCGGAGTACGCTTCGAATGTCCGACTGTGATGTTGATTTTCCCTGGGTATCAGCTGTGTGCATGTGGGGGGAGGCGCCGCCTTTCATGTGCGCATCTTTCGGGAGGCCTGCGGGCCCGACTGATATTTGGGGAGAGTCGGCAGCTCAGCCGAGCGTCCGGAGCATGTTTCGGTGCGAGCAACTGAACTGCGAAGTTACTGGAGTGTTTACGAAGGTTCGTACTTCAGAAGCGCATCTGGAACCTTGAAAGTATTTGTTATTTGAGCAGAAGTTCTTCAGTGTACACCGATGAAATGATTTACATAAACTTGCCAAATTGAAGTCCTAATCCAGTGGCATTTGTATTCGTTCCCAGACCTTTGCTATATGCTCACGGTCATGTTTCTGACTCGCTGTAAGACAAAGCTATATGCTTATATGGCCAAGTTTCAGACTTGCTTTAAGAACTTTCTTTATCATAGTTGTGTTATGGAATTGTTTGCAGACCTTGCTATATGCTCACGGTCATATTACATACTTATTTCCAGACCTTGCTATATGCTCATGGACTTGTCATACACTTGTTTTCAGATCTTGCTATATTATATACCTATTTCCACACTTTACTATATGCTTAGTGTTGGATCTCAACACGCGAGTCGTTTCTAACGGGAACATTTTCACTCAGTTGTTTGGCCGATTTGATACCAACCGACTATTCATGATGCATGCAATGTGATGCTAGACTATTGCGTTATACTCTGTTTACCTTCCTTCAGTTTCCATTTTCGAACTTCAGAACAGGCTTCTAACCAGTTTTAACTGGCCGCTTCTAACAGTAGGAAATACGGGTGAAAGGGGCCCCTCATTTGTATTTCTGTGTTGAAGCTATAGGCAAAACTATCCGCATGTTAAACGATCTTTGCAAGGGGTTTACAGTATATAATGCTTTAGTCTGCATCGGTTTAAAATGAAAAAAAAACACGCAAGTGTACATGAAACAGCTTGCGTTAAAATACTAAAAAATCGTTCAAATCATCCCTGACTATATGCGGGGAATACTTGTGTCTAAAAAATGTTATTTCAACAATCCTGAATAGGTTGAAAGGAATTGAATTTAAGTACGATATTTCGGTTAGAATTTTCGACAAAAATGTAGGATAAAAATTATGCGTGCGAATTGGGATTGCGTTTACATCCAATCTTAACGTATGAAGTATCAAGCCATTATAAATGATACAAAGTGAAAGACATCATCGCCAATGAAACAACGTTTAACTGCGTCGAGGCCAAGATATTGGACGAAATGAAATCAACTCTGTTTCTGATTTGATATTTCCGATGGCTAAAACTGAACATTCTAAAGATAACTGGTGGAGCAGCAAACTGCACGAAACTGGATTGATCTTTCTACGCCAGAGAAGACGGTTGACGTTGATTTACATCAATCATATACTACAAACTATACGATGTTCTGAAAGACGAAATGAAGGTGTGAACCACAAAAACTGAAGTTATGAAAGCGACTGAACGCAAGTTGTGAATAACGAACTGTAAACGATCTTCCACGCTTTGAGTTAGAGCGTTCATTGGATTCGTAAAGATGAGACAATTGATGCATTGAAGTTGATGAGATTGATGCATCGAAGTTGATGAGATTGATGCATTGAAGTTGATGCATTGAAGACGACCGGCTACGATTTTGACGGCGACGACCGAGGACAAGTGAGATACCAGCAGACGACCACCGATGAGGATGACCGCAGATACGACGATCACCGATGAGATGACCACCGAAACGACGACCACCGATGACGATGACCGCAGATACGACGATCACCGATGAGATGACCACCGAAACGACGACCACCGATGACGATGACCGCAGATACGACGATCACCGATGACGATGACCGCAGATACAACGATCACCGATGACGATGACCACCGAAACGACGAGGCCAAAGACTCCTGCGATGACAGATAAAGATGATGACTACTTTCAGGTTCACACTTTATATTTGTGGTATACTATAGGTCCTGTAGTTCAATCTCGAATCCAGACCTTCTAGTTAAATTTACATTGCGATCAAATAGGCTTTTGTTAAGTCTGGGTTCGAGGTCTCCTGGTGGTTTTAGTCGAATGTATTTTCCACACTTGGTTGGACCGGTCCCTATGTTTTGGCATTGCATGTTAAATTTTCAACTGGCTGTTTTAAAGTTGTAACTCTTGAATTGTTCACGTGTTGTTCCTTCGTGAAAATTTGTCACTCGTGTGTAGATGCATTTGACGTCTTCGCTAAGGGTAGTCCAATAATAGCTATCGTGAAATTTCAAAACTTTGTGCATGGTTTTTCAAGTTAAAATCTAAAATGAAATTATGAAGTGAATGGTTGAGGTTTAATAGTTTGCATGTCTCCTCGGTCGCATGTGCGAGGTTTGGATTAGTTGCATGATACCTCAACTAAGTTTGGCATAAATGATTTCAAAGGAAAAAAGTTAGG